TGTAACTAAACAGAGAAAAAAAATTTCTCTATAATAATTTAATTTAATTAAAAACGATTAGATTAAGGAATTGTTTTATTTTTAAAAATGTTAATTACAAAATTATCTTTTTGTTTTCGTTCTAGTTTTTGGTTTTTAAATATTTATATAGAAAATATTTTTACTATTTTTAAAAAAATATTTTAATAAAATAAAATAAAAATAAAGCGATAGTTTTATAATTAAAAATAAACATCTTCTAAATGTCTAATGTAACGTTTGAATACCGAAATTCTAAAGTCAGAAATGTACTAATTTCATACTAAAAAAGTGTTAGCCATTAATGCTACCATCCGAGGTTAATCTAATGATCCCCTTTTCTTTATTATTCATTCTTTGAGAAAGTACAGAACAGAGCTTAAAAAAATTGTGAGCGCAGATGCAATAGTTATTAAAATATTGTAACAAGTCCGATAACTTCCCATGGCTTGAATCTTCTTTCATTTTTTTTCTGTCATAGCATTCAATTAAGCTTTAAATTATTTTTGTTAAGGTCAACTTATTTTTATTTTAATAAAATACTCAAACAATTATTTTATAAGTTGCATCAATTGTTTGTGCTATAACTAGCTTTTGGAACAATTAATCTGGATACTACGATGATAATATCAGATGCGGCAGGAATATTCTTCCGCTAATCCTGAGGATTAATCTGGCCTAAACATGGTAGTTGTTAGTAGATCAGCACCATCTGTTAACGTAAACAACCACAAAAACATGATTAATCAACCTCTGAAAAAAGATTAGTCATCAACCAAATGATATTGATTGCAACGGAAAGTTTCCCTGACCCTCACCCAGGCATGCATGCACCTAATTTGATCAAGTCTTGTGGCTGAGATCATTGCCGTGAAACCAATGCATTTGCGTTGTAAAATATTGTGATTTTTAATTTCCCATTCCGTCTGCATGATTATGGTAAATAGTTCTATATAATACAGAAAACATCTAAAATTATAAGTGTTACTAAATAGTTTTTAAATAATTTGAATTACCAAATTAGTTTGTATAAATTTAAATCATCATCATTAATTCTATAAAAAAATTATCACCAAATTAACCTTTTACAAAAATTATTTTTACCACTTTAGTCTTCTTTTTTCATAAAAAATCTTTAAAGAATTTACCCCGTAATGAATTAAATTAACAATACCTTATATTTTATAGACAAATTCATAATGCGTATAGATCTACGTTCAAATAATTGGAAGAAATTCATAAAGCACGTCTAACGCTTTTCAAATTAAATCCAAACACGCATTAATTCGCTTTTTCACGTTACATCGATCACAATTCACAACTCAATTTAAACATCTTTTGAATCTTTAAACCTTTGGCAGAACGAGATGGAAGCATTAATTCCAAGTGCATATAGCTCTTTACTAAGTGTGGACCAGGCTATACATATGTTATGACGACGTTTGTGTGTCATGGAATATGACTAATTAGAAGACAAGACTTGATTTCAAAATAGTATAAAAGACAATTTGTCGCTACCAAGTAAGTAACCAATAAGAAGAAAAGCTGGGACTTACTTTATGATTAAAAAGGATGGTTAAAATTTTATAAAGTGCCAGCTGCAATTCAATCATTAATCTTTTCCTAGCTGGTTCTGCATTCTGCAATCCAATCATTATCAAATGTCAAGCATTTTGCCCCGTTTAACAATTTTCCATTAATCAACTTTAGTGGCAAGCACAAGATGACACTACAACCACATTGAAAATTCCGTAACATCTCAAGCAAAGACTGTAGCACTCAAACTGGTCCTTTTTATACTTGAACCGTTCAAACTTCAAAGTTCTTCAACAACAAGTTTTCAGTTCAGTCCGTGCTATGAACAAGACCTTTAATTAATGTAATAGAAAGCTCACCTCAAACTGATAATTCAAGTCCCAAGAATTTCAACAAATCCTAGTTCCATTTAACCGGCTTTTACATTGATGCTTCTTCAGCTGTTCAATCTAACTCTTCAAGTGTACACCCCAAAACTCCCTCAAACGCCTGCATTATTAGCCTTATAACAACAAAGGGAACTTAATTAAGGAGGGAAAAAAAAAGCACCAGATACATTGCCCTACAAAGTATAAAAAGTGTGCTTTCTAAGTTATCGCAAAACGTATATTAAATGCCGCAAAAGATGCTTAATTAGATGGGTAGTATTTTTATTTGAGATTTTAAAAGTTACAGTATTGAATCCAACGAGTTTTCCTTTTTCTTTTTTGTAAATTACACGAGTATTTTAAATTTTGGATAAACAATCAAAGGTTATTTTCATTGTTAATAAATATTTTTATTACAATATAATGAGTTAAAGATATCAAATGCTTTTAAATTTGAAGAAAAATTATATAAATAAATTATTTAAATCACAGACATATTATCTTTGATATGCTATATCAATTTTTAAAAGTTAAATTTATTATAATTAGGATTAATTTAATTAAAATAATTTTAAATTTAACTTTTTAAAAATGATAAACATATATGTCTAATGATTGAACATATCTTTATTTATCTTGAAAATGTTTTAGATTAAATATAAAAAAAAAAGTGAATTTTGAAAAATATCAATTTAAACTGGCTTTCTGCCCCCATTTTTCTATCATTTTTTACCAACTTCATTTAGATTGATTTATAATCTAACTAGTCGCTTCAGTCTGATTTGTACAAATATGCTCCGAACCATTGTTTATTGGTTTTGGGTCAATTGTTTAGTCATTCGAATTTTTAGATCATTTGAACAAGCTAGCTACCGACCGGACTAGTTCATTTAATTTATGATTAAATAGATATGTGTGGTGGTTTTATACACCATAAAAATTATATGCTTTTTTTCTTCTTTAAATAAGGTCACATCCTATTATTTTAAAAGAAAAATGAAGTTCAAATATTGAGTTATCAAAAGGAACAGTTGATCGTATACTGTATAATTTTTAATATAATAATTGTTATCATTAACGCACTTCTTTCTCACTGTAGGTTAGAATATATTTTTGGATTAGTGGAATTGGATTGATAACTTGTTACTCGTTGATTTGATCTGACTAAAATATTTACTTTAATTAAATATATTTAAAATTATTATATTTTTGTAAAAAAATATATGATTTTTATTTTGATGTTCGTATAACTTAAGTATTTTAGTTAATTTTACTGATATGACCGCACATATATAATCACTAAAAATTAAAAATTTAGATTCTGCAAAAGTCAAGGACTGAGAGTATGCAAATATTTTGTTTAACTGTTAAATTAAAACATAATAATATATAAATTTAAAGCATATTTAAGTATTTTTTCAAACTGTTTAACTGATTGTGGTTTACTTTAGACTAGATTAATTAATAAATATAAATAGATTTCTAAGATAATAACTCCGTCATAATCACTCACATGATTAAGTTAGTGTATAATTACATGTTATCTAAGGTAGTCCATCACATGATTAAGTTAGTACATAATTATATATAAGAATCTATACTATCTTTGATAGAATACGGGCTTTGAGTCCTCATTAAATTTAAACAAAAACGTGGAAGAGTGTGTTTGAATTTACTCAAAAGCAAACACGTAGCAAGTGTCCAACTGTGTTTGAGATTAAATTATCTTGAATTTGAATTCTATAGTTACAATTCTGATTCGACTGAAAAACAAACACACGCTTAAAGCATGTTTGAATTAATGCTACAAATTATAACTTTTATATGTTTTAACACAATTATTTAATTGTTTGATAATAGATTAAGCATAGATTTTAAGACACATTCACGCATAAATTATTATATTTTGAAGCGGTTCCAAATAACCTAATTCTTGCTTTAAAAAAAAAAGTAGAAAAGAGACGGAAAGTAAAAATACTACTCTGTTATCAAAATGGTTAGACAAATTAGAAAAATAATGTTAATTCCACACAGTTTTTATATTATCTTTTGAATAATAAGTTTATTTTATTTTCATTTTGCTAGTAAATAATAGGGTAAGCACCAAGTAACAATATCAGCGTGCAAATAAAAAATGTCTAAAATTAAATTATGCGCCAATACCTAGAGTTAGCATCTTAGTAGACTCATTTTTTTTTTCTGGTTCAAACAACAATGGGTTGAATAACTAAAGGTCAAGTCTTCAGTATTTTGGTGAAGTCTGTGTTGAATTAACGAAAATGTTGGTCCAATATTAATTTTGAAGTTGACACAACCCAGCACCTGAACCCAACACCTGAAACCCAGCCCAATATAAAATTACAATCGCAGTGCCATGGAAGGGTATTTTTCATGTTAAACAAGAAACTTATATTGCCTCGGAGAGGAGGATTAGTAATATATATATTTTTTAATATGGTAATTTTAATTTTTTTATAATTAGTTAATTTTAAAAAAAATTAAATATTATTGTCAATAATGATCGAAAATTCTATATTATTAGAAAAATAAGACTTTCAAAATTTTAAAAAAGTAATATCTGAATCCAGATATATTATCTTTATTATAGTCAATGTGTAATTAACCATTTAATTACAATCAAAAGTACAGTTGTTTAACAAATTATTATGAAAAATACAATCAAAACATATTTATCAATTTAATAAAAAATTATATGCTGAAATTCAATCCGTTATAGACTTTTGCGACATTAATGTGCAGTAATTAAGAAATCACGCGTTGCGGTTTGAGATTTTCGATGTAGAGACTCATGAAGGAAGAGGCGATGGGTTTTAATTCATTATCTTTGAATACTTGAATATTTCCAAGAGGAAGAGAACGAGGAAAAATTGCAGAGACGGGTTGACGTTTAGGATTTCCAACGTCTATATAACGTCATAACGAACATTGAATGGGTTCAATATTCAACATTCAATGGAAGAATATTGGAATACGATGCAACATGTTTCCACCGCTATATATAAAGCAAGTAGAGTCTAATATTTTCGTCACAAACACGTCGAAATCTGTTTTGCAAGTATGGCAGGCAAAATCAAGAGCAGTAGCTATGGTAAACACATATTATATAGTGACTCTGAAGATGATTATGAGGCTCAGGATACGGAAACAGAATTGAATCTACCTTTGGAGAAGTTGAATCTTGGACCTAGAAAGAAGTTGCTTGTTTTGAACATTAATGGGTTGCTGTTGTCCAGATTTCATCGTCGCGAAAAAGAAAGAATTCCCAAGTTTCGTGCAGCTGACCATTACTATAGAAGCTATCTTGGTACGTAACACACAAATTTTAACGTACATAAACCCCACTTACATCGTTTACTGCAAATGGGGAGGCTTTTTAATTATGTTGAATTACAAATTTAGGTATTTTTTTTAAAATTATTGTGATGTAGTATTTAAGAGGCCCTTCAGTGAAGAATTTATGAAATTCTGCTTAGAAAGATTTGAAGTGGGTATTTGGTCTTCCGCAATAGGGTAAGTAGCAGGCTTTTTAAAATGTAATTTTTTAATCTCATTCTTGATGTCTTTTATTTAATGACTATGTTGATTGTGAAAACAGGCATAATATTGATATTACCTTGGATTATGCCATTGGAGCTTTGAAAAAGAAGATGCTATTTGTTTGGGTAAGTGGATTTTCTGTATGAAAATTATATTTTATCTTTTTATCGTTGAATTTCTGATTGGTGGTTCATAATTAAATTTGTTCAGGATCAACGTCGATGTACAGATACCGGCTTTAAATCCTTAGAGAAAAGTAATAAGCCTCTTTTTTTCAAGGAGCTTAAAAAAGTATTCGATAATGGCACGAAAGGAGGCCCGTATTCTGCTTCAAACACTCTGTTGATTGATGATAAACCATACAAGGCCTTTCTCAATCCGGTAATTATAAGTTTTTTTGTTTATGCTATTTATTTTTTGGTAATTTACTTTTAACAAAGTTAGCTACTCTGAAATGCAGCCTAATACAGCAATTTTTCCCAAGTCATATGATCCGGATGAGAATGCTGACAGAGTATTGGGTGAGATGCTAAATGTTTTTTTATATATTTTTTCTTAAATGTTTTTCATTTTTATGTTTTGTGGTGTTGTACTTGTAGATCCAAAGGGTGCACTGTGTTTGTACCTCAAAGGGGTTGCTGAAAGCCATGATATTCAGTCTTATGTGAAGAATAATCCCTTTGGACAACCCGAAATCAGCACAGATCATCCCGATTGGAAATTTTATTCCCTTGTGAAAGCGACTGTGGGAACTGCAAGGGCTTTAATTTTACCAAGTTCGAAATGAGATAAATAATATATCGCACATTTTGTTGGCTTTATTTTTATCCAATTATGTTGTAATTCGATGTACTTTGTCCACTTTGAATTTTCACTATTGCTGTTTTTGGTCTCTTCTTTAGTATGAAGAAACTTCGTTGCTCTTATTAACAATCCGATTTATGTTTTGTCTAGAATTTTATTTTATGTTCATAAATGCTTTTTTTATGCAGAACGGTTGGCAGTTCTGATTTTTTAAAATAATTTCATTTATACAAGTATCTTAATTTAGCTCAATTAAGACAATTAAATGAATAAATCGCGGGAATATTATTTTAATAATCAACTTCGATATTTATACCGACTATATTATAAATCGAGTTGGAATTAATGTAATATCACAGATTATAATTTCTAGTGATAATACAATAGGATGGTATTTTAACGCTACTCACTGGAGAAAACCCAACTGTTTGATTTTAACAATCTTAGTAATAAAATTATATTGTTTTCATTCTAATGTTTGGCTTTCAAAAATTTAAATAAAATAATTTTACTATTCTTAAAAATATTTTAATCAAACAAAACGAATTAGAGGTAAAAATTTATAATTTAAAATTGTTATTTGTATAAGTCTAATTTAACCTATGTATACCGAAATTCTAAACCCCCGTTATTGTATGTTACAGAAAGAATCAGTGATATTATTAAAAAAATGAGGTGGTAAATGATGAAATAGAAATAGAGAAAAAGATTAATATATGTTAAATAATATATATGTAGAAAAATAGTTTAAAAAACTAATTTATTTTGGGAAAAAAACTTTGGACTAAATTTCACTAAATTGTCTTATTATTACCACATCCAAACTCACACTTGACATGGTTAACAAAGAACATCACACTCGGATATTAAACAAATGATTCCATGGACGACGATAGTTATAGTTAGTAAACATGCAAGCGAGGATCAACATCAACTCTTGCAACGCCTTCTTTATCCTCAGCAACCTTAGACACTTCAACCTCCCCAACCACTAACTCAGACACCTCATCTTCCTCGTCCACATAGTTGGGGTCCTTCTCGTCGATGGCCGGTGGCACCGCCATTAACTCGTTGTCCACCGTGTCAGCAGGCCCTTCCCACGTGTACTTCCCGCCGTGGCCGGACTTGGGCGGTGGCCTTCTTAGGCCGATGCCGTCGACGGGGTGGCGCTCCTGACGCTGGACACCCTTGTTGACGAGCTTCTTCTCAACGTACTTTACGGTGTCTATGTTGTGAGTGTTGAGCTCTTCCTTCTCCACTCTCTTCTTTCCTTCTTCGTCGTGGCTCACCGCTCTGATTGTCACCTTATCTTGTTTCTCGTCGACGGGTTTCATCGTTCTGCTCTGTTTTTCAATTTTGATGTCTTGTATGTTCTTGTTCGTGAGTGCTAAGTGTGAAGTGATTTTATAGGAGCTTTAGCGTGGAAAATATGGAGACTAGAATGTACTGGAAATGGAGGATATGTTCGAGCTCTCGGTTACGCTAGAAGTCTCCGCCACGTGCTGGGCATTTTCTTTGTCACGTGTAAGCTAGTAAGCTTGATAAGATTATTATTGTTATATTTTTTTAGTTAAGCTTGACAGTATCAATACAGTATCAAGATACGATTCATACGTGCTCATTTTTTATGTTTTTCTTAAATAGCCATAGCCCATTAGCCCACAGCTAGCTTTTTATGGTGCCGACCCATTTTATGATTGGTATCAAATTTTTTAAATATGTATAATAAATATATCGAAAAGAGAGATAAAAAAATAATAAAATTTAAGCATAATTTTTTAAGTATTTTTATATTAATTTTAATTAAATTTACAGTTTTATATTAAAATTTATGACAATATTAAATAAAAAATTAAAATTAAAATTTAATTAAAAAATGCTGCTAAAATATCTAAAATGTCTCTGAGTTTTAGGTTAACAGCATATAGTGTTTTAAGAATCCACATTATTTTTATGGATAATTATAACTAGTAACTTTTTATTACATATTTTTAGTTAATATAGTTTAATTTGCTTTTCGGTAAGGAGGATTTGATTTTAAAATTTTGTATCTAAATTATTAGAAACCCAATTTCTACATAAAGATGTTTCCTTAATACGTGCTTTCAAATAGGGATGGCAATGGGTAAAGTATCCGATGGGCACCCGCAAAATTTACCCACAATGGGTAGAGTATTTACCCGCTATACGGGTACGAGTATGGGTATGGATAAAAATCCGCAAATTTTAATGGGGATGAGTGCGGGTATGGGTATCTAAGTACCCACCCCGCCCCCATACCCGCATATATATATATATGCTTGAACTTTATTCTACAATTATGCATTAAATTTTTGTATTATTATATTACTTATGTGAAGTTATATAAGATTAATATAAAAATATATTTAATAATAAAGTAAATCAAAAGATTTATTTTGGCTTATATTTTTAATACAAAAATTTATTTACTATTTTATATCATTTAATTAGGCTAACACAATTTAATTATTACATAGTTAATATGAAATTGACTTTTTAAAAAATATTATTTATATATGACACATATAAAATATTTTTTACACAAATATTTTTGTTAATAAAATCATATTGATGTTTAAATCATAAAGTGAATGATAAATAATAAATATATTATAAATTTTTATAAATTTTACAATCACCTACTATTACCGTAAACTTATTATTTATTAATAACATTTAAATTTTATTTTTTATATTTTAATTGAAAATAATATTTTTCTATGCAACATATGTATTATAAGCACAACTATAATCTATTGAATCTAAATAATATTATTCTTACTATTTATTCACATTCAAAGAAGTTTTTAAAAAGATATAAATATAAAAAATTATTGTTAATTTTTATTTGTTAATTTTTTCAGATAAAAAAGTATAATTTTTTTAATATACACATATATTTCTTTATTATAAAATTTTATTGTAACTATTTATCTTTTATTCAAATTCTTTCTTTTAAAATTTATATACATTATAAATATTTAATTTCACTAAAATAATTTTTCAAAAATTTATATTTTTGTAATAATATTTTTGTATAGTATATGAGTTAAAAAATACTAGTATTAATATATATATATATATATATATTATATTATATTATTTTAATTAAATCTATTATTTTTCTTACAATTTCAAATTCAAAAGTTAAAAAAAATATTTTATGTATCCACTTTCTGTTGTTAGTATTGAACTTCTCTACTCTAACTCTATTCTCATTCTCAATGTCTGTCTCACTAAAACTTAACAACTATGAAACGTTATTCATTAGAATTAGTTGTCAATGTCGTCACAAGAAGTTACTAAGTGATACCACACGAAGGGACAACCATTGTACAAATCTATTTTGTTGTCGCTCTGACATTACCAATCAATCAAATCTCACACAAGATAGGATTATCACTGACAAATAACTTGTGTGTTTAGTTTTGCTTATTGTTTCTAAGAATTTTAGTTTAGAAAATTATTATATTAAGATACATTTAATGTTTATGATCTTTGAATATTTGTTTGTTATCTATGTTTGTATCTTGTTCGGCAATTATATATTAAATTTTTGTATTATTATGCTACTTATGTGAAGTTATATAAACATATTTTTCTTTATAAATATTTTTTTTCTCAAACAAACGCGAGTAATGAGTACAAGACGGGTATGCGGGTACCCAGAGGATACGGGTACGGGGATTAATGTTCATACCCACACGAGTATGGGGCCGAGTACGGGTATTTTTTTAAAACGCGGGTATGGGGATGGGTATTGTAGTACACTACCCATACCCTACCCCATTGCCATCCCTACTTTCAAACATCAACTCTAAAAGAGACAAGTAGACAACCCCCTCTTTGAAGAAATAAAACACATTAATGAGATTTCATAAAAAAATCAATTGTAGAAAACTTAAGATATAATAATTAATTAATAAGTATATAATAATTATAAATTAAAAGTGAGTTTCAAAAGCTTAATTTTTTTTTTTAAATGCATATTCATTGTGCATATTTTTTAAACATTAACTAAAAGCCGAAAAAGAAGGGGAGAAAACGTAGATATTGCAGCAAATTTAATTGGCAAATGAAGATTTCACATCAAACCATCGATAAAAAAATACGTAGTACTACGTAGGGATAAAAATAGTTTGGGCTAACCTATTTAAAGTTCAGACCATAATTTATAATTTAATTTTTTTAAAGTTTATTTTGGTTTAATCTATTTAATTAATAGATTTAATTTAAGCTTTTTAAAAAGTTAAATTAATTAAATAGACTAAATTTAAATTTAAGAAAAAATTTATTATACTATTAGAATAACTTATTTAAAATTTATAATAATGTATTAAATAATTTTATATAAAAATTATAATATAATAATATATTAAATCAATTAAATTTTAAAATAATAAATTTTTAAATTAAAAACTTTAATTCTTTTTGTTAGAGTTAAAAAAGGTTTCTATTACATACTCTCTAAAGAAGGGATGTTCTAATAATGTATGAATATTAAATTTCTTGAGAAAATTATAGATCTTGGAAGATAATTCTAATTAGTCAATAAAAATAGATTTCAATGCTATTAATTAATTAAATTTTTAAAATAATAAAATATTAAATTAAAAATTCTAATCATTTTCATTGAGTTGAAGAAGTTATGTACTACATATTCTCTAAAAAAAAAAGTTTTACTTGAATTTTTTGCATATCTTATACGTATAATATAACAATGATTTACATTACGTTATTTCGAATACATTTATATAGTTTGAAAGTAATAAATAAAAATATGTAATTTTATTATACATATTCAAGATATTAAATAATTTTTTTAATAATTTATTTAAATATAAGTTTTATAACTTTTAAAAAGATATGTCTATTTAGATGGTTTAATAGTCTATTTATAAAAAAATTTAATGATCTAATAAATATTTTAATACGAAGTAAGCTATTAAAAAAATTAATAGGCTAAATTAGGCTTTTAATATGGTCAGACTAAACTTAATAAAAAGTTTATGACACATAATAAAACAGACTAAAACTTTAAAATTATTAAACAAATCAAATCTATTTATGCAAAGTTTAACTTAATTTAATTTATTTCTATCCCTAACTGCAAGTGACGGTCAAGATCCAAATTTTATTAAAAAATTAGTGATGTTTCCAAAGTCCGCCTTTAAGCATCAAGTAAAAGCCAAAAAAAAAAAAAGGGAAAGAAAGAAAAAAAGCAAATACCATTATCAACTTTTGGTGCTTGTTTGGGGCTTATCCTCTTCTACATATTATATATTTGATCATATTTCTTACCTATAAATTTTAGAGTGAGAAATAAACTCACATGTCACGTTACGATTACAAAATGCAGTTGGAGATACAATTTAGTAAAATAATATTAAAAAAATAAAATGCATAGTTAAAACATACCCACCATATAAAAATTTATAAATAAATTGTTACTCTTAGGGCTGTTGATACTCTTTTAGAAATTATTAAAAAAAATTGCACCGTTTTAGTATAATGAAAGGTAGATTACTCTAGAGAAAATATGAAGCAGCATCTATATATAAATAAAGGAAGTGTATTAAATGCTTTGTCCACCAAGTATTGTACTAAACCCTCGAAAACCTGCCTTACAAGTATGACAAGAAACAATAGGTCCAATTATGAAAACGTGGATTATAGTGAGTGTGAAGATGGTGATCATGTTCAAGACTCAGAAACTGAATTGGATCTTCCTCTTGAGAAACTGAATCTTGGACCTCGGAAGAAGTTGTTGGTTATGAACCTTAATGGGTTACTGCTTTACAGAGTTAATCGTCGTAATAAGCAAGAAATTCCGAAGTCTCCACGCGCTGATGGGAGATATGGAAACTTTCTTGGTAATAAATTGTTTACTGCCATTTGGAAATACAAATTAAAATGTAATTTTTCTAAAAGATAAAATTATTGTGATGCAGTTTTCAAAAGGCCCTTTAGCGAAGAATTTATGCAATTCTGCTTAGAAAGATTTGAAGTGGGGATTTGGTCTTCTGCAGTGGAGTAAGCAGCACGATTCCTCAAAATGTTTTTCTTTGTTTCGAATAATTGTTCTGTGATTAATTAAGGATATTTTTTTTACCATGGAAACAGGAAAAATATTGATGCTGCCTTAAATTATGCCCTTGGAGCATCGAAAAGCAAACTGCTGTTTGTATGGGTAAGTTAACCTTATTTAATAATCATTAATTAATACATGGTGTATTTTGCATGATATTTTACTGACCTTTGTTATATCATTCTAATATTCTTCTTAAATTTATTAAATAAAAATATTTAGGTATCATTATGTTAGAACATAAAATAAAATATATTAAATATTTTCTTTGATTAGTAACGAGGAGGATTTATAAGAATAAATGGTAAGATAATTTAGAATTATTCTATTTTATTTGTATTTTAAATTTGAGAGATGACTCATAAATTTGTGTAGGATCAATATCGATGCACGAATTCTGGGTTTAAATCCTTAGAGATAAAATACAAGCCTCTTTTCTTCAAGGAACTGAGTGAAGTATGGGATAATGTCAAGAAAGGAGGCCCATATTCTGCTTCAAATACTTTGCTGATTGATGACAAACCTTACAAGGCCTTACTCAATCCTGTAATTTAATTAAACCTTTGCATATTTATATAATTTGTTATTTTAAATATATGTTTAACAACTTCAGTCACTGCAAACTGCAGCCTAACTCAGCAATATTCCCTGATTCATATATGCCTAAGGATGAAGCTGATGACACTGTGCTGGGTGAGAAGCTGTGTTTTTAGGATTACATTTTTATTTTTAGAGTTTAGATTTTTATTACTAGTTTTTTATAAGGTATTGTACTCATGTAGATCCAAAGGGTGAGCTATGTTTGTACCTTAATAACCTTGCTGATGCGCATGATGTTCAGTCTTACGTTAAGGATTATCCAATTGGACACCCTGCAATTACGTCGTCACACCCAGATTGGGATTTTTACTCTAAAGTGAAGGCATGTCTTCGGCAACAAAAATAATGCAAACTATGTTTTACAATGCAGAATCAGAGAAAGTAAGGCACCAAATCTATCTGGGTAATGGTTACAGTTTGGCCCGTTCAAATATTTGTACTTGTGAAACAAATGATATAAACTGCACCATGCCAAAATCATCTATGCTTTAATGCAAATGGTGTTTTATTTCACTTTTAACAATAGTAGACGAGAGGTGACTTTGATGTTATTTTCAGTATTCTGGATTTATTTTTTTTAATATCTTAAAGGACAATAATTAAAAATTGAAAGTGAAAGATTAATATTATCACTATGTTTTTATTGTGGATTTCAATTATATTTTTTTATTTATGAGTTTTATAAATATTGTTCGTAAAACAACAAATAACAAAGACCTTCCGAATTTATGTACGATGATTTAGTTATGCAGAATCCTTCCTGAATGTACAGAAGTGTCAATATAATAATAGCTAGACAATGGAAGGAGACTTGGGTGAAGGAAAGAAGGTTCAAAAAAGAGGCGTCATCCTAGGAGAGAAGTTTTATTACAGGGATTAAATTCAAGAAAAGGACATTTAAGCAATTCATATTTAAAAACATATATAATTTATTAAAAGTTTTAATATATTTTTCTCTTTCGGTGGGGAAGGGAATTTTGTTTCTGCCTTAGGAGTGAAAGTGGGTACAAGATTATATATGATGGGATTAAAATAAATAAATAAAAACAAATAAATGTAGAAATATAATAAACTGAAATTAATACTCTTTTATGTAAAAACTTAGCACACAAACTTGTGAGAGCAAGTCAAGAGTATTATTTTTACCCTTTTACTACAATTTTTATATATTGACCGATGAATTGTCAATGAAGCATAGCCTCAATGGCTTACGATTACGAAGTTGGACAAGGCAAAGACAAATCATGAGGTGTTCAAATACAGACAAGATTATTGTGTGTACATTACAGCCATATACACTCTTGAAAATTCCCCAACTGTCCTCGACACAATGAGACGACGGAGAAGTCAAAGAAAGAACGAAAATACAAAAAACGCACCCAAACTAACTACTTCTGCAACCCAACCGTACCCATTTGCTCCCACAAAATTCTTTAGGGGCTGTATTGGACTCTAATTTTTTTTATTTTACTTCATTTTATTTCTTTTAAGTGTATATATCCATGAATATTTATTGGACATTTTAAAAAATCTTTTTTGAACACGTTCAGTTAGTTTTTGATTGCTCAAAATCTCATTTTTCAACTGTTAAAAATTGATGTGTACATTAATAATGTTGTTCATACTTTTTAAAATCAATTTTGTGATGAATAAAATTGATATGAAAAAAAATAAAAGTTAATATTTGTATGAGACAAAATTAATTGTAAATGTGAAATTCATATATATATATTTTTTGTTAAAATACACTTTGTGTTTGTACTTGAAAAAATATTTTATTGAAAAAAATTGATTTATTAAATTTACTTTTAAAATGTTATTATTGAATATAAATTATTTTATTACCATGATTTTCTTAACTATTTTTAAAATCAATTCTTAATTATTCTAAACTCCTAAACTTGGTGTATAAAAAAATAGAAACAAATAATATTAGCTTTAAGACTGATTTTATCAACTAAAAAATATTTTTTTGTAAAAAATATAAAAATAGAAAAAATAACTCTTCAATAAAATTTTGGTAATTTGAATTTTTTTGACGAATTTTAAATACTTAAAATTGTTCTCAAGAACTTGTATTTTTTTTTTTAAAAAAAGTTTTATAGGCTGGCGAAGTAAGCTTAAGCCTTAAAGGCCGATCGAACAGCAACAGTCATCTCCGCATCCATCATAAGACGCACTCAAATGAAGGAGCAATTACCAAACCCAATCAACCCTCAACTGTCAACGTTATATCCACGTTCCCCAAAACCTCGTTTTGACCGAAAATTCTCTCTCTCTCTCTCTCACTCTCAGACACACACTCTCTCTTATTTATTCTGTTTCCATAGCACTCACTCGTCCGTTATCGTATGAACCGTGTGAATCCAGGGATGTCTTTATTCTTGTCTTTTCTCTCCACCCTTCTATTTCTCCTCCTTCAATTCAATGCCTCTCCAAGGTATGTTTTTCGCTCTTCTCTCTCTATCATGTTTTCTTCCATGCCTTACTTGTTTTGGTAGCTGCTGTGCTTTTGGTTGGTTAGAGTTCGAAACTTCCTGAATGACAACGAATGAGACAAAATTTTGAATTTTCAAAAGTGGGTTTTGGGCCCGTGAACTGAAGCCGCATCTCTTCCCTCTAGTGAGTTTAAATCAAACGTTTTGGCTTATTCATGACCTAGACAACTATTGGGGGTTAGGGTTTTTATTTTTTTCTATTTTCCTTTTTTACAATTATGCAATTATTACTATATCAATCCATGCTCAGTGTATATCTAGCGTGTTCATCATGGCCTTGTTATTTTTCAAATTTCTAATTTTCATGAGTGGATTCGATTGTGTACAGGATAGTGAGTTTGCATTAAGATAGTTGGTTAGTTGAATCCGTTGGATTGGGTAATTATCAATGGGGGGTGACACGATGAATGGGTCATGGTTCAGTGCTCTGTGGCCAGTCTCTCGCAAGAGTGCATCAGAAAACAAGGCATTGATTGGAGTTTTGGCATTAGAAGTTTCGGGATTGATGTTGAAGGTGGTTAGTTTGTGGCAGTCTTTGAGTGATGGGGAGGTGTTGAGTCTGAGGGAAGGGATAGTGAACTCAATTGGGGTCAAAATGCTGGTGTCTGATGATGATGATTACTTGATGGAACTTGCATTGAATGAGATACTTGATAACTTTCAATCTCTAGCAGGGTCTGTGGCTAGGTTGGGTAAGAAGTGCATGGATCCGGTTTATCATCGTTTTGAACATTTTGTTTGTAACCCGGCTCAAAATTATCTTCAGTGGTCTGGGTGGGAGTATAGGTCGAAAAAGATGGAGAGGAAGGTGAAGAAAATGGAGAAATTTGCCGCTGCTATGACCCAGTTTTCCCAAGAGCTTGAGGTGCTAGCAGAGGTTGAACAGACTTTCAGAAGGATGCAGGCGAATCCTGAATTGCATCGGGTGAAATTGCTTGAATTTCAGAAAAAGGTCATGTTGCAGCGCCAGGAAGTGAAAAATCTGAGAGACATGTCTCCATGGAATAGAAGTTATGATTATGTTGTTCGATTGTTGGCAAGATCACTATTTACAATACTGGAGAGGATCATACTCGTCTTTGGAAATAACCATCTACCAATTCTACAGCAACAAAATGATTCTCAACATATGAATGCTAATAATCTGCTGCGGAGTCATTCCTTCTCTGTTCTAATGCATTCTTCTGTTCATCCTTCCGAGAATGATCTCTATGGATTCAATTCAGGACCAGTTGGAGGGAGGTCAGCATCCAAGTCAGGCTCTGTAGTTGACAAGAGCAAGAGAAAGAAGAAACAGCAGCACGCCCTTCATCAACCGGCTTTATATGGAAAGCATTCGCGTTCAGAAAGCAAGCAGTTAGGACACATTGTGGCCTTCAAAGGTTGTATGTCTGCTGCGAACAATTCTCCTGTCTTACAGAGCTGTATGCAGACAAATGGAGGTTCCATGAGGTTGACAGATTGTCATTTGAAATCTAGTGATAAAATGAAAACAGTGGATAAATTATCACTCTCCAACAGAATTAGAATATATTCTAAATTATCCATCAATAACCGGTTAAAGTCAGCTTCATTCACCCTTGGCGATGCGGCCCTAGCACTTCGTTATGCAAATATGATTGCATTGATAGAGAGAGTGGTATCATCACCTCACCCAATTGATCTTGAAACAAGAGATGATCTGTACAATATGCTTCCGACTTCTATAAGAACTGCTCTGAGGGCTAAGCTTAAGTGCCATGCAAAAAGTAAATCTTCCTCTATCCATCATGATGCAAACCTTGCAGCAGAATGGAATATGGTACTTGTACGGATATTGGAATGGCTGGCTCCGCTTGCACATAACACAATAAGGTGGCATTCCGAGAGAAATTTTGAGAAGGAGAACACAACTTTGATCGCAAATATTTTACTTGTTCAAACTCTCTACTTTGCAAATCAAGCAAAAACTGAAGCTGCAATGATTGATCTTCTTGTAGGTCTCAACCATGTATGCAGGATTGATACAAAAGTGTGCATAGGAGATACAGTGGATTTTGCTAGCACTAGATCTTTTAACGGTGTTCGTTTGAGAAAGAATGGAATGTACAATGAATTTTTATAGTGACATTGACAACATCTGAATGTTAATGTCATCAGCAATGTATAGCTATCATTTTCAAATGGGAGGCCTTGCCTAATAGTACTTTTAATATTAGTATGTTGCCGAGGCGAGTTACGATTGAACCAATGTAGTTTAAGGTATTCACATTAGATTATTTGCCCAAAATACTTTAAAAAAATGTCTTCACTGGCAAATTTATGATTTTTAAAAAAATAACCGTCTTTTTAGTCAAATGTCTTAGTTAAAGAGTGTTCGGATGATGCAATTGTTGTAAAACAAATAGCATTTGAATGCAACGTTAACTTGATGTTAATTATTTTAATCGAAATGAAGCTTCTACACTATCCTTCTTTAGAGTTCCCAGGTTTTGATTGGTCTTTGAGAGTTGATGCATAACTCTGCACTATTTTTATGTCTTTCACTTTAATTTGTTTTTACTCACTTTTTTTTTTTAAAAAAACGATATTAATTTTTATTTTTTGATTAAAAGAGATAGAAATAACTGATGTATGAAATATTAAAAACTAATAAAATAAAGCGAAATTTTCTTCTCCTGACATCACCACAACAAGATAAACATAATAATATTTGAGGAATAAATAAAATTTGTAATTGAAGGAAAGTTTTGTAATAATTTCTTTTATGAAAATAACAATTTTTCAAAAAATCACAAAAAAGCTTTTAAAAAATATAATTGTTTCTTCTAAACTCATTGAAACACTTTTAAGAGGTCTTTGATATAAGGCATCTTTCATTACTAATTAAATCATTTCCTTATGGATTTTTAGCTTGACTGAAAAAATGCTTATTAAATAAAATTAATATTGGTAAGAGTTGACAAGAAGGTGTCGTGGTGTAGTTGGTTATCACGTCAGTCTAACACACTGAAGGTCTCCGGTTCGAGTCCGGGCGACGCCATTAATGATTTTAAAGTTTTTTAATAATAAAAGGCATTCGTTTTATTACATCTGAATCATATTCATCTTTTCATTAATAAAATTTAGAGGAAATTTTAGTAAATTATTTTCCCCCATTTTGGGTTTTACATATGTATGTGTGTGTAAGTGAAAAAAACTATGTATTTTTCATTTATTAAAATGATTATTCTGTTTGCTTAGTTAAAAAAAAACCTATTTATTTAAAATAATTAAAAAATACATAGTTAAAAAACGAAAATAATTAAAAAAAATATATGAAGAATGAATAGAAAATATGAAAAATAATTAAAGAAGTTAGTAAACTCTCATTTTAATTAATCCTCTCAAATCATGTCATTTACTTTAATTAGTTTTTATTAATTTCATAAAATTATCGCTTGTATTTTTTTTACAAAAGAACATTCATTTTGAAATTTTTATATTTAAAATAGAAAAATAACTAAAAACTATTATTTCTTATGAACGAGCAATGCTATTTAGTACGAAAAAATCAGTGCAAATTTAGAAAAATATTAAAGCGGTTGTATTTAATTGATTAAATGATAAATAAATTAGCAAATTGACAAAAATCACCGTAAACCGCTTTCATCAAATTTCGTACCATTTAGTATTATCCTTACGAATTGAAGGACTAAGTTAGAATTTTATAAAGATAGGAACTAAGGATGCCAAATATTTTTGTTACACAAGATACATATATATAAAGGACAAGAATTGATGACTTTTAAAAAATAAGCATAAATATAAAAGTTACAAAATGTCTTTTACCCTTCAATTACCATCATCTTCATATTTTCGAACTCATCAACTTTTTACACAACTATAACCCATTAGAAACACGCTTTATTGTTCATCATTTAATCTCAAAATCGAACACTGATGCGTCTCCCAAACTTTGCAAACACAACATCAACAGCGGATAAAACATATACTACCACAAACGCTCCAATGATTCATGATGAAGTGGCAACCAATTTTGGCACCGCGAGCAAGGGTTCAAGCTTACGCATGGTTATGCCGAGCTTGTCCTTGGTGTCTATGGTTGATGGCGTAACATGGCTCTCAAGTTCCCAATCAAATCGGTGAAGCAACGATCCCAACACCAAGTGAAGCACTCTATGGGCCAACGGCACACCGGCACACATTCTTCTTCCAGCCCCGAAAGGGATCAACTCATAGTGCTGTCCCTTGTAATCAACATTCCTACCATCACAAAACCTTTCGGGCTTGAAAACCAAAGGCTCCTCCCACGCGCTTGGGTCTCTCCCTATCGCCCACGCGTTCACGAAAACCTGCGTGTCTTTGGGTATGTGGTATCCCATGAACTCCGTGTCCTCCGTGGCCTTTCGAGGGACAAGCAACGGAATCGGAGGATGCAATCGAAGTGTTTCCTTAACCACACTTTGTAGGTACGGCAACTTCTCTATGTCACTCTCCTCAACCTCTCTCCCACACCCAACCACCCCTCTAAGCTCACTTTTCACCTTCACTAGACACTCACGGTTGCACAAAAGCTCCGTCATCGCCCATTCAATTGTGCTGCTCGACGTTTCTGACCCAGCCATGAAAATTTCCTGTTCATCGATCATATATAGATAATTATGTATTACATTAATGTATAGGATGTAATATATCTTTTAAAATTTATAATTTGACTATATATAATGTTAAAATTAATTAATTAAATTGGTTACTTCTTATATTATTATGATATCGAGTAAAATTTGATTCGAAGTAACTGTATCAATATTATCATATATGATATACATATGATAATATGATTGGCACTATACATGATAAATACTGGTAATTTAAAAAATTATAAATTACTACTATAGACATAATTAATATGCGTGAACCTATAATTGTACCAATATGAAAATGTTGAGGTCTTTATCTGAGATGTTGAGTGCTTCTTGACTTTCACTGCTTTGAAACTCAAGCAAGACATCCAAGAAGTCCCTTGACATGTTCTGACGCGGCATCTCCAAACGCTCTTTCACGAACCTGGAAGCGATTCCCAGAGCTTTTCCCATGTCCCTATGCATCTTTCTCCTGAGACCCTGCGGGTCCAACCACCGCAGCCACGGGAACAAGTCGGTGACGTTAGCGTGCCCCGTCCACTCCATAAGACCCATCATTGCGTTGAAAAACTCCGACACGACTTCTGATTCCGGGTCGAAAAGGTCCCGCGACAGCATCAAGTTCCCAAGCAAGTTAAACGTCATGAGGAAAACGAATCGCGCCACGTGAAGCCCGCGACCCTCTTCCAATTTTCGAGATTCTTTGGCCACCCAGGAGAGCATGTCGTTCACGCATTTTCGACGGGTGGAGGCGGTGTCGTTTATGCGTTTCGCGACGAGCATGTCGACGGTGACGAGGCGGCGCATGAGGCGCCAGTAGGAGCCATAAGGAGCTAAGGCCAAGGAGGATTTGTGGTAGTTATGGACGCGCATGGTTTCAGTTATGGTTCGATCAGCAAAGGATTGGTCATGGTTTTTGAAAAAGACGGTGGCAGCATCAGCGGAGAGAATGACCATGGTGTTGATGGAGCCTAGACGAAGCCATACAATTGGACCATACTTGTTTCTTAGGTGTGTGAGAGTTCGATGAGGCATGTCTCCGAGCTGGAACATGTTTCCAAATATAGGCCATCCCGGTGGCCCTGGTGGGAGGTGGCTGTTCGAGGTGGCGGTTTTGCCGCGGAAGATGAGGAAGAAGAGGAAGAGAGGGAAAGACAAAGAAAAGAATAGGAGAAAGAGCGGAGGACAATAATCTGAAAGCCACCACGCCATGATTCCGAGGAAGCAGCTTGTCAAATTGGTTGTTGAAATTGCAACTTTTGTTGTGTGTTATCTAGCTCTGAAGACTGAACATACATAAACTCTAGGCAATACAAGTTGTCTGAATCAGAATCATATAATATTGATACCTTATGGATATTGTGTGTTTATATATATATATATATAGACACACACGTAACCTTAACCATATATTTCAAATGTAAAGAAATACTTACAAATACTTTTTAGATGCAGAAAAAACAATCGTTTTTACACCAAGGACTAAACATTTTGTATTTTATTTTATGCTAATCTTAATCTATCTCTCCTTATAAGCACTTAGGGTACTTCAAATATGTTGATTCTTATAGAAATATATTCTTTCATATTAAATTTTAATTGAATAAGTAAGGCTATTAGAATTTGTGAAAATTAGGATAAGGTCCTTTCGTCATTATCCCATTTTTCAAAATTTTAATACAGACTTGAAAATTCCAATGTCTTTACAGAAATCATCTCATGTTCACTCGATGAGTCTCTGTTGTAGCTAGACAAATTGAAACCTCTTCAACGGATTAAGTGGCCAATATCACTCTCCTTAGTGAGAATAAAATATATATTTATGAATTTTCTTAGGGAAAGTCTGAAAGATATTGGTTTTAATAGCTTTTACGGCCAAGTATTAAATTATGTAGTTTATCGATGGATCATAATTAAATATTTTTTAATTAAACTTAAGATTAATAAACGAACAAAATATTTAAGTGCAACATCATAATTATTAATTACCAGATATATCAGGCTGACACAAGATTTATCAAGATTTTGAATAAAATTATAATTTAAGAGTTTTAGATAAATAATAATAATAATAAAGAAACTAAATGCACACATTTTAAAAAAGGGAGAAACTTAATTATTTTTAAGAGACCAAAAATACCATTATACTTAATTATTATTATCCTGCAAACATCTCGACCTACTAGTATTAAATTTTATCCAACGGTGCTTTAGTTATGGTCCATGGTAGATCACATTATTTAATAGTTCACTATAAAAGTCACCTAATTTAAAAATATTAAATAGGTCTCTTTAAATATTTTAATTAATAAAAAATATTGGTATATTTATGATATAATAATATTTCACTTTTAATATTTTTTTAATTTCATTTTTAGTGTCTTAAAAATATGCATTCGTCTAAATTAATATAAATAATTAATAATTAAAACTTTAATTACACATATTACCCGTTAATTTTTCTTTTAAAATAAATCTTTCTACGGGTAGCATTTATCTGTATTCTAACCATGGTTAAGAACCCGACTAAAAACTACCGTAAGATTTTGCATTCAAAGAACTAATTAATGCATGTAATTCTAGCGCTGTGTTTGGTCTTTAATCTTTATGATCTGGGAAATTAGGTGAGGCTTGATGGACGCGTCGACTAAGCTCTTCAGCCAATTGCATGTTTCTCTAGAAGGAAGTTACCTCTGACATTTCTACAATGGCTTCATGCAGTTAAAACTTTCTCTGGTGAAAAGCTGTTAACTATGCCGAACCTGATCATTGATATTTTGCAGATGAAAGGTTGATATACCCAAAAAATCTTAATCATGATACTAGGAAGTTAAGTAGTATATGCATGAGTTTTTTCATCAATCAATAATATTTGTGTGTGTGTGTGTGTGAAATTTGTGTAATAGTTGCATTTTGTATTTAAAATAATTTTGTCAAAGATAAAATGATTGGGGGTTAAGACAAATATTAATTATTTTTTTAATACATACATACTGCAATTTTTAATTTAAATAAAAAATATTATCTTTTCATTAACATAAAATTTACTATCAATAAAACACAACCAATTAATTAAAAACTAGGTACAACTAAGAGACGTAAGATTAAAGTGATCAAGGCGTATAATTATTTTGTTGTCGTATAGTTAACAGCAGTCCGTTAGAGGATATTCCCTTTTTGTTTATTTTTAAAACGAGTTTTTTATTTGTCTATTTATTTTAAAGTAAAAAAATAATTATTTATTATTTTAAAACTATATATTTTTTTAAAAATCATACTTATCATATATGAGAGAGAAAAACAGATTAAGAAATAAGGATATTTATTATATTTTTTAATGTATATATTATCTTTGTTTATTTAGTATAAAATTGATTAAAATTGGTTTAAAACTTTCGAACATAATTAAAATGTGTATAAATTAATTGTATACATTTTATAGATTAACTTTGGTACGCTTAATGTAAAAAAATAATTATCAACTAATTAAAATATGTTATGAATATAATTTTTATATTTATTATCACATAAATTAATAATTTTTATTAACATGACAATCATTATATTTAAATTAAATTAAAATTTTAATTATAATGTTTGTTTTACATTTAAAAAAAATCAAGAACTAATTGTTTAACTTAAAAATACAACATGAAAGTCGAGCTTGCAATCGAGCAGGTTTGGGTGGATCTCTTGGGTTATTTTTAAACTGTATGAATCAGATTCTTTCAAATAATGCATTTTTAGATTAAAATATTAAAGTAAATATTAAATTTAAAAAAAATAGCCATGAGTTAACAAGCTGTACATGTTACGATTGTTTAGAGGATTTTATTCTGGCTTCTTCCATTCGCAGGGTAGAAGAAAATTAGTTCCTTCTTCTGTGCCTCTGCCATTAAGCCACGACTGCTTTTTTGTCCGTGTTTTGGAAGCTATTCATTATCTTATGATTTGCTTTGATGTAAGTGAAGATGACACATTTGGTTGTGTGTGCGTATTTTATTATGTTTTGCCTCTGTCAGCAACAAGCCTTGAGTTACAGAACATGTTTGGTGTATAATAAGTTTGTTCTGTTCTTATTGTCATTGTTATGACTTCTTCTGTACTGTTCTTAATAATATATTATAATCCGTTTGAAAGAGTAATACACACAATCATTGTTTATGGCTTAGTAATATTACTCTTTCAACTGGCAAATGCATTAGCTGGATTTAGTTCAGTCTTTCTTAATATGTTGCCTAAATTGCCAATCACTACTTAGAGTTGGAGTTCTCATTTGTCTATTTTACTTGTAAATATTATACCTCCAAGAGTTGGGACTCCTAACTATGCTGATTTAATTCACTTTAAAGAAATAAAAGAAATAATGACTTTTATTTCAATCTTGCAAGAGAATTTTAAAAATTTATTATTTCTCAAAATTTAAGGTAAAAATAAAGTATAGTTGAGATATCATATATCCATGAATAAGTTATAAAATTTGGAGTTTTAAATAATTCTTTTATTATCTTTTAAGAGGGAATTAGATTTAGTATGATTTTAATATAGTATTAGAGCTTATTCAATCTTAATGTAATTGCAGAAATATTTATTAAAATATTTCATATTACTTAGAAATATGGTAAAAAAAATTAATAGAATGTTTTTTTCATATAACTTGAACAGACCTTTAGTTTTCAAGTTGTGAGACTTTTGTCTATTTAGATAATACAAAAGCTGAAGGAGAGAGAGTAGGAATTGGGGGGAAGAGGACAAAGAGTGTGATTTTTTTATGGGATAAAATTTAAACCTTAATCACATAATATATTTCTCTAATTAAATCATTAAGCTATGAAGAGAAGAATTACAGAATCTGAACTTGTCTCTTGGAGTTCCTACATCCTAAGTTTGGGCCGTGAGATTGCCATTGTCACGGTTTTATTGAGCCTGTCACTATTAGGCCCACACGATTTATAAAACTATTTGTAGCCCAACAAACAATATTGGGATCACATTTGTTATATAAACATACGTAAAACGTAATTTAATTGCCTCGAAGGATCATGATGATCAATTTGCTTATGAAACTGCAGGCATCTCCTCATTTATTTGACCAAAGATTTTGGGATTATGAAAATTCAGTTGTGGGGCATAAAAATGTTTTTATATCTATCAATAGGCACTATAAAATGAATATGACCTTGGTCCAATGTCGGTAAATTTTTCAATTTAAGAAGTCATAAATAAATTAATATAAAAAATAAATAAAACTTATTTAATAAGTTAAAAACTACTTATTTCTTCAAATCTTAGAATTTTTTTTAAAAGAATAGAAAAAAATGTTATTTCTAACTTATAAAGAAAGTTATATTATTATTATTTTTCTAAAAAGACTTTTCTAGATGTTTACTCTAACTGGACCATTGTTTTCTTTTTTGAAAAAATTCATGAGAAAAAAAAATTCATAGTAGAACATAATTATGAAGAGTTGGGCTTCTACCAGTGGCTCCCTTAAGGATTCTGTCCCACCAATTCTATGTGAAAAGTGGAAAACATGATCCTCACTTGTTAATGACATAAAAAAAATGTAATCATATTTTGGGTAGGCTTAAACGTCGAGTGTATTCTATGATCTCTTGCAATTCCTTCTGTTTCACTTTTATGATGTAGTATAGTAATATTCCCTAGTGGTTTTGAACCTTGCCAAGTGAGTAGTTTTAAATGTATTTGTATACAAAGGTAAAAACATTTGGGATACCATAGAAACCTTATACGATATGTTGTCGATTATTAATGTCAGGAAAAAATGTAATCATATTTTAAATAGTCGTGTGACCTTGGAGTGTTTTCTATCATCTCTTGTAATACCTTTAATTTCATTTTTTATGATGTTGGTAGCGCAATATACTACTAACGGCTTAGAACATTGTCTAATTGGTAGTGTTAAAACATATTGGATACAGATTTAAAGGTATTAAACATATGAGAACTATAGAAACCTTATATAACGTGTCAAACTTTACATAAACTCCTTATACATCGCTTTATATAATTTAAATTCATGCACAAATATTTATCCAAATCACTATAGTAAATTTTTAAGTAAAAGTATTGTGAATAGAAAATGATGAACAATAATCATTCCTCCATCAAATTTGATCAGACTAGGTTGAGTTCAATGAACCTCGTGATGGCAACTTTTTTGGTGATCATATAAGCAGTGAGACTAATTGTCCTTTGAAAATCCATTAACCTTATGCACTTTTAAGCACTTCTTCATTGCTAAAGCACCAAACAAGATTATATATATACGAGAAAGTGAGTGACATTAATGGGTAAGTGAATGTTTTCTTGAGAGTTTCCTTGTCTTTTCTTTTCAAAAGTAACCAGTAAGTGCAAAGAGGAGAGATGTAGAAAAACACTAGAGTAAATGTACAATTTATTGTAAAAGACCCAAACTCTGCAGATCAAATCAATGTTCCAACTCTTACATTATATTCTCAATAAACTGAGAATCTCAGACATTAGAATTGCTATAACCCTTTGTTCTTTTGTCTCTATCTCTTACAATGTTCATTGCTCAACCGTGTTAGTTGCATCAGTAAATGTATATCAAAATTAATAACTATATTCACAATCTGACACAGTTTTTGAATTTATCTGGAAGGTAATAATTTCCTGTCATGAAATGAAGCACGTCTATGTCTATCTCTTGGATTAGCTCAAGTTACTATAACTCATGGTTTATAACTTTGTGTCACATATATGATACATGCAAACTTAATACCCAAAAATGGGGCCAAAATGCCAAAAAGATAGCTTGGAGTTTACAATCCCAGCTTTGGCTTATCTAGGCACAAAGTTCTCATACTATGTTCTTTGCCCCATTTTCCAATGATAAAAGGAAATAAATTTGAACCCTGCCAGTTACTGCTGCTGCTGCTGTGCTTTTTCAAGTCTTGCTTCCTCACCAAGTTCAAGATTTTTTTTGTCAATTTAGATTATAGAAATTGTTACTACCGTCTTGAATTAAATATTTTTATAACATTTAAATTAATTTTTTACTAAGTTTATACAACTTATAAGTTATATTGTTGTAAGAATCTTGAGCCAACAAGAAGTAAAATTTTAAATTCAGGAATGACAAATACTAGTAAAATACTAAAAAGCTCATACACTCAAGTTTGTATTTTACATTGCATAATTAGTATATATCATTTAATTTTAAAGGTAAGAATCATAGATCTAATAAATCTGAGAAAATCAGGGATCAGAAGCTTAGAACATAGAATCACTCTGCGAGTATTTTATAGTAAAATCCTTTAGGATTTACGTGTAATGCTTTAACTTAGTTGGTAATGAATAATGATTATATAAATTGGTAAATATTTATTCACCATAAAAATTTGTTCGGAAAGTGTTTAAACCTCAGATAATTTACAGAAATTTTGGCATTACTTTAATAGTATATCTAGTTAAGGGATGAAATAAAGAGAAAATAAATGAAGGGAAAAGAAATAAAAAAATTAAAAAATATTTACATGGATAAAAATAAAAAAAAATTGATGAAAATTTTAATGTTATACTTATGATTTAGATTATCAAAGAACTTTAATTTCAATATCTAATTTCAGTTATAAACTATATAATACCATATTCAATTCCTACGTCAAACAAACATTAAGAAAATTTAATACTCGTTGTTTAATGTTTTTAGTTGCTTAAACTTTGTATTTACTATTTGATATACTTTCGGTTAATCTTTTAAAAATGCTTACTAATATTTTTAAAAATATATATTATAAATTCAGCGCCTAAAAAATACTTGATTTATATTTTTATAAGAAAATATAATTTAAGAAAATACAAAACTAAAGTTTAAATTAACAATTAGTATTCTTATAATATTAATTGGTTAATAATTTAAAAATAAAAATGATAAAAAAAAACATAATAATATAGTTATTCTTATAATCTCTAATAAAAATTATTATTTGTTGATTCATAAATCAACTTCCAGCAACGCTCATCAACAAAACCCTTAAATCTAAATCTTAATTTTAGCGAACATAGGCCAAGTGAACTTGGGGTCTGTCTGGTTAGATATGTAAATGGAGTTGAAACGAGAAAATACACATTAATTATGAGACAAGGACAACATCTGCAACTTACGAAGTTAACACAAACCGACACTTGAAAGGTAAAATATCAAAACTCCTACTCCTTTTTTAAATTTGGAAGAGTTATTATATTTATACAATAACTTATATTACGCCCTTTTTTTTACCCTCTGTCATCACATCAATCATCTTTCTCATATTCCTTTCCTTTTTCCCCTTATTTCTCTCTTATTTTTATGAGTTGTTTATTGTCTGTTATTTGAATATTATATCGTAACGCCAATCACGCCTCCGGACGCTGCTTTATTACCCCTTTTTGCTTTAGAGTGCCATTATAAATTCGTAATGCAACAACAATTATTCACAATCAAAGATCAAAAATAAAAGCTGAAACAAGTCCCTCACTTTTTGCGACAACATGCATTACCACACTGGTGGAAACTCCACAAAAGGCTTCGAATGGAGATGGGAACTAGCACCACTGTACCATGCATTGCCCCACCCATGTGGCAGTACCCACGTTGTCACCATCCTTAATTTTGCTTGCCAAACATCTACTTGTTCTAACCCAACTACTATACACAGGAAGAAAAGCGCTATTTCTTTTCTTTATAAATGTGTAATTGTAATTATTGATTAAAAATTAACCGTATATTTTATAATAAATTATAGGATTAAATATATTTTAAATTCCTTAAAATGTATCAAATTTTGATTAGTTATAATGAATATACTTGAAATGGTGATTATGGGTTGATCAGGTAATATGTGCCTATTTTTCGCTAAAATACGAAGAATAAAAGCCTTCAAAGCGAAAATAACTAGATTATTAGAAAATGGAAAACGAAAAGAAAAAGGACCACTTTGTTGGGCTGGGTTATGCCATTCTGAGTACCGGCGATTTCAAAGATCAATTTTTATTGGCTTCTGCACGATATTTGGTGTGTTTTGACTAGCCGGGTCAATTTTTGTCATGAAATTAAAGCTGAATTCCAGTAATGTCCCTTGCATTTGCATGTTATCATGAAATTCGATGCTAACTTTAGGGTCGTATACGTGAGAAAAACTTTGCTTGTTCATGACTTAAAGTGAAGGTCTCTTTTTTTCTTCCATGACATGAAAAAAAGGAACAGCAGGCAAACCAAATAATGCATCACTATCGTTTGGTGAAAGCCTCGAAGGTTTGTCTCGGAGAATAATAAATCTGAATCATGTTCATTGGGTTAAATTACGTATATCATGTGCAGTGAAAAGTTGCACAGGTTAATTGCATCTACAGTCACTGCCTAGTGGTCCACAGCTCAACGTTTCAACAAACGTGGGATCCAAATTCAAAAGAGTTTTCATAGAAATAAAAGGGACTGTTACATGTTAGTGACATTTAAACAGAGGACCATTTAATTTCAATTGCTTCTTTACCCACCAGAAAATTTCAGAAAAAGAATATTCAGAATACGCACTCTCGATCTCATTTGCATGCACCCAGTTCAAATATTCAATTTCTCATCTTAAAAAGAAAATCACGTCACTTGCTTAAAGGAAATCAATTCTTGAGAAAGGGTAGTGGTATTATTAACTTATTGAGTGATAGGAAAAGGAGCATAAAACAGAATAAAGCAACCAGAAGAATCACCGACAATTATTTAGGGAGGGTTGTTCTAGACTAGATGATTGTCAACTGTGAAGCCCTTTTACCCTTCCATTTAACTGAAAAATTTGACGTTTATGAGCCAGAGTTGTTTTCAAACCTTATCAATTGCATCATTGCGAGCACATGTGAACTAGTTAATTTTATAAGAATTATGTATATTGAGTAATAAGTCAATGACTAGGGACTTGTTTGAGCACACAGTGCATGTTCAAGAGATGGGGAGACCTTTAAACAAAATAATTATCTTCTCTGAGGTCTATGGTTGTGGACTTGTGGCTTATTTAACTAATTCCAACAAGAGATGTAATAGACATGTTTACTTTTCAGATGCGACCTTGGGTTTCATCAGCATAAATATGACAGTCACTCAAAGCCGAGTGTATTGTTGTAATGTCGTTGATACCCATTTGTGATTTCAATTTGTTGTTGCGCATTATTTTGGTCGATTGATAAATATCCTGCGATATTAACGTAAAATACAGTATTTTAGAGTTATCTCCAAACAAGGAGAGGGAATGAAGAAACCCAAGAGTGTTGAATACCTTTGTACAAAGCTTAAAACTAGATTAGCCAGCGGTAGGTCAGTCTCAAATTTTCATAACAGTGGCCCTCACTCACATCAGGGCTTCAAATTGGTTAGCTAGTCTCTCTAATCACCCCACATTATGTCACAATAATTCAGCAGAAGTCGATCATATTGCACAAACAAAATACAGTAATATATATTACCGACGGCTTATGAAAATCATTAAGATGACAATTATTTTAGACTCAGCTTTTGGTCTATTTCTCATTTCATTCTTGTGTATAATTCTGTTACTTAAATTCCCCCCGGTGACACAGTATATTAGTACTGTAAATATGAGGTAACATATCATCAAAGTCAAGAAAGAATCATACTAAAATTTGCACCCCTCTTTTTCCTTTGGCATGACGAGCCAAGCAAAAGAAAAAGCAAACTCTTGTCACCGATTCTATTTCTTCTGAGGAAGTGGACGAGCAATCATACACGCTACAATCCCCTTCCAAACCCCATAACCAGCTGCTACCTTTAATCATCACATTCCCCCAATCCCTAATTATCTCTCCAAGACATATAATAACACCTTCAACGCTTTTTCCTCAATCACACACTCTATCTAATCATGCCACATTTTCTTTCTCACCCAATTTCCCGTTCTCAAATCCTCCCCTTCTCTTAAATTTGAAAACACATCCACTATTGTTCCCCTCTTTACTCTTCTCACGCCATAACATGAACAAGGTTTATCTTTGTCCCATTTTCATAAACTTTGCACTGCCATTGCTCTTGGCCTTGTCCTTCCTCATTGTCACAGAGAGTGCACCCGAGAATGATACACATGCCCTCACCCAATTCCGCCTCCAAACCGACGCTCACGGCTACCTTCTCCCCAACTGGATCGGCGGCGACGCTTGCTCCGCCGCATGGCGCGGCGTGGAATGCTCCCCAAACGGCAGAGTAGTGGGCCTCTCCCTCCCTTCTCTCAATCTCCGAGGTCCAATTGATTCTCTATCACCACTCTCTTACCTACGCTTCCTCGACCTCCACGAAAACCGCTTAAATGGCACCGTTTCACCTCTCTCCAACTGCACCAGCCTCGAACTCCTCTACCTCTCCGGCAACGACTTCTCCGGCGAGATTCCGCCGGAGATATCCTCCCTCAGGCTTCTTCTCCGTCTCGACATCTCCGACAACAACATACGAGGCCCAATCCCCAAACAACTCTCAAAGCTAACTCATCTTCTCACTCTTCGGTTACAAAACAACGTGCTTTCTGGTCAAGTCCCAGATTTTTCTTCTTCACCACTCAACCTCAGCGAACTCAACATGACCAACAACGAACTTCGCGGTCACTTACCCGACGCCATGTTGAAGAAATTCGGCAACGCAAGCTTCTCCGGCAATGATGGCCTATGTGGGTCCACCCCATTACCCAGATGTTCACCCACTGAACCTATTTCTCCTTCTTCTGAAACTACAGAAACCGTTCCTTCAAACCCGAGCTCGTTGCCACAAACAAGTGGTATCATTGCAACAACTCCTCCTAGAAACAAAGGGTTGAGTGCTGGAGTCATTGTAGCAATTGTGGTGGCGGTTTGTGCGGCGGTGCTGGTGGCGGTGTCTTTCGCCGTGGCTCACTGTTGCGCCAGGGGAGGGAGCTCCGGGTCGGTGGTGGGGAGTGAGAGCGGGAAGAGGAAGAGCGGGAGTAGCTACGGAAGCGAGAAGAAGGTGTATGGTAATGGCCATGGCGGTGTTGTGGATAGTGATGGGAGTAATACTGAAACTGAACGAAGCAAGCTTGTGTTTTTCGATAAGAGGAAGCAGTTTGAGTTGGAGGATTTGCTTCGAGCTTCGGCGGAGATGTTGGGGAAAGGGAGTTTGGGGACGGTTTATAGGGCGGTTCTTGATGATGGGTGCACCGTTGCGGTGAAGAGGCTAAAGGATGCGAACCCGTGTGAGAGGAACGAGTTTGAACAGTATATGGATGTTGTTGGGAAGCTTAAGCACCCCAATATTGTTAGACTCAGAGCTTATTACTATGCTAAGGAAGAAAAGCTTCTTGTTTATGATTATCTCCCCAATGGAAGCTTGCATGCTCTTCTTCATGGTTAGTGATCTAATTTAATCACTTCATTTTTTTTTATGCTCACTAAACTTTAAATTACTAAACCAATGCCCTTTTCTAATTTTTAATGATATACTAATTTTATAGAAATGCTAAGTATTTATTTTTTAATTAAGTTGTTTATGAACGTAATTGTATAATGATATCTTCATATATGTCTAAAAACACAGCAATAACTTGTGTATAAGTAATTTAATTAAAATTTATAGGATATTATAAAATTTAATGTATACATCTAATTTTATTTATAAAAAATAAATATAATTTATTGTAATTAATAAAAGGTAATTATATATCATAAATTTATATTAAATATTAAACTTTGAAATTAATATTTGTTAATGTATTAAAAATAGTATTAAATATTAAATTTTGAAATTCAATATTTGTTAAAGCAAGCTGACACACGTGAGAAAGTTGTGTAAATTGAAGATTGAGTTTTGGGAACGTTGGATGTTGACAGGGAACCGTGGTCCAGGCAGGATTCCATTGGACTGGACGACAAGAATAAGCTTGGTGTTAGGAGCAGGAAGAGGGCTAGCACGAATTCATGCAGAGTACAACGCATCCAAAATACCTCACGGCAACGTCAAATCTTCCAACGTGCTTCTTGACAAAAACGGGGTAGCTTGCATCTCAGACTTCGGTTTGTCACTGCTTCTCAACCCCGTTCACGCCATTGCAAGGTTGGGTGGCTACAAAGCTCCCGAACAAACAGAGTCCAAGAGGCTGTCTCAGGAAGCTGACGTTTACAGTTTTGGAGTGTTACTGTTGGAAGTTCTCACGGGAAGAGCTCCTTCTCCAACACGTAGTGCTCCTCCTCGTCTGGAGTCAGAGGAGCAAGAGGTGGATCTTCCCAAGTGGGTTCGCTCTGTCGTGAAGGAAGAGTGGACTTCCGAGGTGTTTGATGAGGAACTGTTGAGGTATAAGAACATCGAAGAAGAGATGGTGTCCATGCTGCACGTGGGCCTTGCTTGCGTTCTGCCACAGCCTGAGAAGAGACCAACCATGTTGGACGTTGTTAAGATGATTGAGGATATAAGGGTGGAACAATCTCCTCTTGGAGAGGATTATGATGAATCTCGCAATTCACTTTCACCTTCCCTTGCCACCACCGAAGAATGATTCTGTGTGATTCTCGTCGTCTATAGTTCCATTCGTGCATTCTGCTGCTCTTTAATTTGTGTTAGTTAATGTTTTTCAGATGTGTGAAATGCTGTTATTGCATTTGTTTAGTTGCTTGGGTTCTCGAATGCTATGCAATGGCCGTAGTTATAAAACACAACCAATCTTCTGGGGTGCCACTCATCTTCCTGTACAGTGGAATGCCACCAGGTTTCCATAGTCTTAGCTAATTTTGACATGATATGTCGAACTTTTCAATTCAGGAGAAACAGTTACTAAAACTTGGCCACATGAAGCGTTATGAATTTATGGTAGCGGAAACATTACACACACAGTAATAATTACTCAGCACAGGATAAGTTTTCATGAGGAAAGAGGGCGCGAGTAATATTAGATTAACGTTTCTTTATATTCATTGAAAAGAAGATTATAAGAATGATTCTGTAGAATAACTTTTTTTTATTTGAATAATTTGTCAGAAGAAATAAAATAAATAAATAGATCTTATCAAAGTAAAATTATTCTTTCAAAATCAAAATTTTTTTATAGTAAGGAGAGAAATAGCAGAAAAGTAGGGAGGAACGTGAAATTTTATTATTATTTTTTTATATTTTACTGAATATCATTTTAAAATAATATAAATTACTAAAAAAATTTAAATTTTACACAATTAAAAAAAATATTATATTAAAATTTTAATTTTTTGTTAAAATAAAATTTTATTATAATTATTAGTAAAAAATATAAACTGCTTTTTTTATTATTTCTATCTGTATAACACATATTTTTATTTAATTTTTCATTAATTATTTTCTACTTATTTTATTTTTACCCATTTCTGATTTAATTTGTTTGAAACACAGCATAAAGGAAAATTTTGCTTATAACAATTTATTATATTCTTATAATATGTTGAATTAAACCCTTAATTAAAAGTAATAAATATATACTTTTAAACTATTCATTATGTTAATAATATTAAAAAATAAATTTTTATTGTTTTTAAATGTTTAAAACCAGTTTTAAAATAAAGGTTAGTAAAATCATATTTTTTTTTCAGCAACTTTTTCTTGTATTTGCTTCTTTATCTTAGTTTTATTACTTTCCTCCTTTAAGACAGGCGTAAACACACATTTTGTTATTACCAACTTCAATAATTTTAAGTCACTCTTAAACTATTCCTTTATTTATTTATTTTATATATAAAAAGCTATTTTTTCTTTATTAAAAGTTTATAAATATAATATTTAACATCATTTATAATGAAAAAAATTATTAAATACAGAATGCATTATAACGACGATATATAACAAATGCAAAAATAAAAAAGAATGCATGATCGTATCTAAATTAATTTTAATAATTTAAAAGCATCAAAATCTAACAAATTGAGAATTAAACTCACAATCTCTTTTGACATACATTATTTTTTGTTCTGGATTAGCATGAATCCAAAAATAATTCAAATCATCAATATCAAATTAACAATGAAAGAATTTTCGTGAATAATGTGGAAATTTTTTTAATATTTTTTCTAAATTAACACAATTCTAAAAGCATGATATACCATCAAAGCTAAAATTTATCGCCAAAGAAAAAGTTAGAATAAACGGTATGATATGGAGAAATTCTAGCAAATTCAATTATAAATAAGAGAAAAATAAAAAGGGAAGGAATAATAAAAATATGAGAGAAAAAAACAAAAAAAAAGGAAGGAGAAAATAGAAAGATGAGAGGAAAAAAACTTAAAAAACAAATAATTACACAGAAAAAAATAAATAAAACTATAACAATGGAAAGAGCTGGTAGTTGGGAAGGAGGGGGGAAAAGCGGCAACAACGCTAGAATTCTTAAATATCGTCCAAGTAGTAGTGAATAAAATAAAACTGGCAAATTCATACATAACAACAACTTAAACTAAGAGTGGATAAAACTCGATCTGTCCTACTAAAGCGTTAAAGTTGAAGTTTTCAAAATTAAATTTAATGTACATTAAGGACAGGTTCGAAATATACTTTTTAAAAGCAACTATATATTAGTAATAACACTTCAAAATTTAATAGATAATATTTATATATTATAATATCGCATTTTTATTAATATTATTTATTTTAAAAATATATTATAAAGTATACTTTAATTTAAGTTTTATAATTTAGTTATATACAACTTAAGATTGGTATATATTCATAAGTCAGATTGAGTCAGATTGCACTACTTTTAATCGCTCACTGTTTACATTTTTCTTAAACAAAAATAACCATGCATAATTCTACTCAATGGAACTACTAGTTGAAACCTATGCAGGAACATCATGGAGATCAAATCTCACAGTAACAGTAGCACACGTCTTTTTTTGAAACCCATGTCCTTATATCCGCAGAGAAAGATTTCAGCAACGATGGTTGAAATTTTAATAAACGGTCACACAATTTCTATGGCCATTTTAGAACCATCCGTGCCCGTTTAAAAGGTTGAAATTTTTCCCTTTTATATTTTTTAATTTTTTGTTTGAAATATGTTTTTCAAGTTTTGACTCGCGAGGGATGGCAATTCATTGGTTGACGGACCAGACGTAAGAAAATAATTAAAAAATAAATAAAAACTTACCCTCGAGACCGGTAATTACGGCCCACAGAAATTGACCCTTTAACTGAAAATTAGATGGGCCATGCAATTCGTGGTGCGGGAAAGACACAGTTGAAGCTTCATTTTCTATTTTATTTTATTTTATTTTATCATTTCCTGTACAAATCTTAAAAAGATAAAAACAGAATAAAAATAAGGTGGCAATTTTGTAATTTAAAAAAAGTAAAATTGAAAAATGTTTTTAAAAACTAAACATGTCCGTTGAGCAGTTGTTTTTGCAACTGTTTTAAAATGGAGCAAGGTTTAAATTAATTCTATATTTAATTTTAAGATATTAAAACATAAGCTCAACTTAATCTTAATAATAGTTTTTTTATTACAACATGTTTTTTTAAGCATAAAAGTTATTTTGTTTAACTATAGCGAAACATATATTTACCCCCAAAACCGCTTAACGAAAATTCTTTTCTTTTATGTCAGCTTTAAGAAAGTTCTATTCTGTACTTATTGAATGGGATAATATTTAGATATTAAAAAGTTTTGTACTTGCTGAATATGATTATGTTTAGATATTGGATATTTGATAATCAATATGATAAATTAAAAACAGAATGTAAATTAATTTGTTATATAAATATTTCCACAATAAATTTGTAAAGAAACATTAAATGATTTATTTACATATTTTCAGTATTTTATTTAATAAATGCGTAATTATATTTATATCCAGTACATTTTTTCTTATTTAATAAATTATGTCAATTCATCTGAATGTGTTAATGCTGGTAAATTTTTTAAATAAATACAATATTTTTTCTTATTAATTATTTTTAAAAATAAAATTTTGAAATTAGAATGTTATACTTAAAAAAACTAATTTTTAAAACTAACAACTAATATTTAAAAATTAGTTTTCAAAATTATAATTTCATATTTTTAAAATTTAATTTTTGGAAGTGTAAATTTTTAATTTTAAAAATTAAAATATTAATTTTCAATTTTTATTTATGAAAATAATTAATGAGTTTTAAAAAATTTTAAATATAAATTTTTAAATTTTAAAACTTATTTGAGAAATTTTTTTTATTACTATAAAAGACATTTGGGAGAAAAATAATATTTTTAAACCATATAAAAAATCTGGAAAAAATAACCTTTATTTATAGATTTTTGTTTTAATTTGAAGTTAGAATTAACGCACACCAACCTTCAATACCATGTGCTCCTTCGCTTTTCCGTTCGACTCTTCCGATGCTTCCCAATTCCTATTGGGAGCAGCAGTGTACAAACTATAATTCAAATTGGAAACAGTGAATTCAAATTAATTTGATTTTTCCTTGGCAGAACAGTGGAGTTATTTTACACGGAAATTAATTCTATGAAAGCTTATCACGTCTCCACCTTTTCTTCCTGAGACTAACGACAAACAATTTCTCTGCACAGAAAGAGCTAAAAACAAATTATTCATGTCATTTACTCTAATTTCCGTTGATGAAAAATTCGTTTAAAAAGGTTGTGTTTCCTATCGTTTTTCATCAAATACAAAATCTGGAAAACTCTTAAACTGCAGTACAACAATAAGCATTTAGGTAACCGACTATACAAAATTCCACGTTTGGTTTCAATTCAATTGCTAAAGAACTTCATTTCACGCATTTTAAAAATAAATAAATATTTTTTAAAAACTAAATATATTTCTGTCGCGTTTCATTTATTAATGAAAACAAACACTTCGTCTTTAGACACACGTATATCTCTAGAGTGATTAAAAAACAAAAAGGAATGATAATTGATATAAATAAATACATATTAATATTATTAAAATGTTTATAAATTAGGTTTGCATTAAATAATATAAGAACTATTATAAGTCAGTTCGTTTAATGGAGTAAGAATTAAGAGTATAAAGAATATATATTTTTAATTATTGATTAAATTTTATTAAAAATATAAAAAATATTAAATTAGAAGTAACATTCATGTAATTTTTATATTAAAAAAATTAACAATAAAAATAAAATGGACATGTTAAAATGTGTTATCCAATATATGGCGAAACATTTATCCATGGAGGTGAAAAAAGTCTTTTAAAAACGAAAACAAAAAGTTGTTACAGAGGGTCCAGTAAACGGGAGCAATATAAATGTGAAGAGCGAAAGCATATTCTTCAAACCTTGGTTCCATAAAACAGCGTTCGGCGTTTTCACGCACACGCCACTGCGCATCGAACTTCTTCTTCTTCTTCTTCTTTTCCTTCCCCTTTCTCTGTCTCAGTGCGTGCGTGAAAGAGTGGTAGGGTTGTGTGTTGAAGCAAAAATGCATTCGAGTCACTTGCTTCTCGAGGAGCCTATTCGGATGATTTCTATCCTTGAGTCATCCAAGGCCGTGAGTCTCTTCTTCTTCTTCTTCATCTCTTCTTTTCATTTTATTTTATTTTTTAAATGTATATTGCATTTTCAGAGCTTCTTCCCCGCAATGACGAAGATCGTTGGTACCTTGGGTCCTAAATCTCGATCGGTAGAGATTATTTCTGCGTGTCTCAAAGCTGGAATGTCTGGTATATTCATCTTCCTTTTGCTTCATTCTTATTGTTCTCCTGTTTCTCATTCCCCACTGTTTGGTAAACGCTTATTTGATGTGAGGTTATTATATACTTATTCTGCTGTAGTGGCTCGTTTCGACTTCTCTTGGAGCGACCCTGAATACCACCAGGAAACTTTGGAGAATTTGAAAACTGCTATCAAAACTACTAAGAAGCTCTGTGCTGTGAGTTTTTTTTTTTTTTTTACTTAATATCTTTTTGGTACAAACGTTCTCTTAAATTTGATTCGTTGATTACTTTGGTTAGAAGTTAAGGATGAAACTCGCTGTGTTTTACATGTTTGATGTCCTTTTTAAGGTTTTGCTGAATGCATGGGGAATTTCCATTTATGTTCTTCCAGTTTATGCATGCATGCTTTGTTATTGTTGTTTAGCTTTCTCGTAGAATTTGTTTATGTAATGGGAGAAGGGATGAGTGTTGGTTACTCCGTTATTGTCTTTGGCAGGTTATGCTGGACACGGTGGGTGCAGAAATGCAGGTTGTTAACAAAAGTGAGAAATCGATATCGCTTCAGGCTGATGCTCAGGTTGTTCTTACTCCTGATCAGGGACAAGAGGCATCTTCACAGATACTGCCTATCAATTTTGATGGACTGGCAAAGGTTTATTAAGTTTTCAACCTTCACATGTCATTATTCCATTGACTTACCTTTCATGTAAAGTTTTGTTTTTACTAGGAATATTAACTTGAGTGATTTCTTTTAGTAAATTTCTTTGTTGCCAACGGTCTTTGCTTGGATTAGTGCCAATTTTGCTGTTGCACCTTCCTAATGTTGCTTAGTTTAACTGTGCTGTAAATTTCAGCTATCAATGGGGTTTTTCTTTTGCTTATGATGCTATAAGTGGTACAATGCATGACTCTTCAGAGGCCTTCTGCTGGAGTTGATATTTGTTACTTACTACATAATTAATACAATTCATATATTTTGTAGACGCATTTTATTTCAATGAAATGTTTGAGTTGGTCTGAACCTTAATCTTATTTGTATTTGCTTACAGTCAATGAAGAAGGGAGACACCATTTTTGTTGGTCAATATTTGTTCACAGGAAGTGAAACTACTTCTGTGTGGCTAGAGGTAACATAAGTTGGGCCCAGAAGGCAAAATTTATTCCAATAATTCCCTTATCTTTTTATTATTGTAGTGTCCTTCAGTTTTTCTTTTCTTTTCTTTTTAATCTGTAACAACCATTTGTTTGAGTTTATATTTTAATTGTTTGAGTAATTGATTTTTACGGTTGATCTTTTCCAAATCAATGGTTAGGGTAGGGGCTAGTACAAATAAAAATAGTTGAAGTCCTACATGCATGATGAGTTCTACACGAAACTGTGCAGGTATCTGAAGTTACAGGAAAGGATGTCGTTTGTACTATAAAAAATTCAGCAACATTGGCTGGATCTTTGTTCACTTTGCATGCCTCTCAAATTCATATTGACCTGCCTACCCTCTCTGATAAAGATAAGGAGGTCATTTCTACTTTTTACTTGCATATTTTATTGAGTTACCTATTCTTAAACATGTTGAGTTTGCATGTGCCAAGAATATAGCTTTCTTTAAAGTTTTGGGCTATTATATTTTTTTCCTTGCAGGTTATAAGCACCTGGGGACAGAAAAACAAGATTGATTTTCTATCATTGTCATATACTAGGCATGCTGAAGATGTTCGCCAGGTAACTTGTTATCCACATTCTTTGCTTTACTCTTCTGTACTTCATAATTTGTCATTTAAATATTTTTTTTTCCTATTGCTGTTTCCGGTTTTCTGTTAACAGCCTTTTATGTGTTTGAAATCCAGGCCCGTGAATTCCTTTCTAAGTTAGGTGATCTAGACCAGACTCAAATTTTTGCGAAGATTGAAAATGTTGAGGTGAACTGCATTTCTTCATAATTTACTGGACAAACTTTATTTGTATGCTAATTAGATTCCTTTCAGCTATGCTGATTAAACTGCTAATGTACACCTGTGTTGTTTTCTAGGGATTGACCCATTTTGATGAGATTCTACAAGAGGCAGATGGTATTATCCTTTCCCGTGGGAATTTGGGCATTGATCTGCCACCTGAGAAAGTTAGATTCATTGTTGCAATTCATCTTTGTTTGTAGTTTGAAGTGCTTCTACTTGTGTATGTGTTGCTGTGGCTTTGAACATGTGGATACTGTATTTAATTCCTTTAAGTTATTATAAACATTTGTGTTCGTTGAATGAATTCAAATAAGTGGATACTTTAACATGTTTAAGGGCGATATTGGACAAAATACTTTGAGATGCTTGACTCCTTTTTCTTAACTAGATCATATAGATATCCTAAGTACTTGGAGTCCTTTATATGACATTTGGATATATTAAACAACAAAATTTAATACGTTTTGATAAATGTTCCAAATATCTGTATTTGAACATAACAATTTATATATGACAGCTACTATGAGTTTTGATTTTTTTATTGTAATTAATGCATCACTAGTCATCAAATGAGCGAGGGGTTTGCTGTTAAAACAAAAAACTAGAGCAAAGAGAGATGTCCCTGATATCAATTATATGATCATAATTCATAACTGTCTCCATTAAGTGAATACCTAATTATTTTAAGACTTGCTGTTGAATAGGTGTTAATCACTGCCGTTTTCTTTTGTAGGTATTTTTTTTCCAAAAATCTGCCCTTTACAAGTGTAATATGGCTGGGAAACCTGCTGTGCTTACACGAGTTGTGGATAGCATGACTGACAACTTAAGACCAACTCGTGCGGAAGCCACTGATGTTGCCAATGCTGTTTTAGATGGTAAGTCACTGGTCATATGATAACGCTAATTAGGATGGTGAGTAATAGGCTGTCCGGAAAATATTCTCCTCTTTAAGTTTAGATTTAGGTGCCTTAAAATATTTCATATTTGAATAAAGTCATCACCGACTTTATTTAATTCTCGAAAGTTCTGATTTGTAGTAGCTGTTGAAAGTGAAATAGTCTAGAATATTGTTGAGTTATGAAACTAGTAACTTGGCCAACTGACTTATAGGACTTAGAAATAAGAGCAATGCTCTTGTACAGTCTTCTGCTTGTGTGAGAAGTGAATATATTAAGTGAGTGGAGAAATTGAAAGTGACATGTCTATGCTGTGCAGCACAGACATGACTTATGAAACTAGTAACTTGGCCAACTGACTATAGGACTTAGAAATAACAGCAATGCTCTTGTACAGTGTTCTGCTTGTGTGAGAAGTGAATATATTAAGTGAGTTGAGAAATTGAAAGTGACATGTCTATGCTGTGCAGCACAAAAGAAAGTGTGATGGGATGTACCAGGAAAGGAGAGCGAGTGAAAGTGAGAGAGCAAGTTAGACAGTGTTGAACATAGATGGTGTAATCATTTTTGCATGAGAGAAAAGTCAGAAAACACAGTGTTAAGAGTCTCACCATTGTAGTATTGTACACAAAATTAGCCTTTAAATGCATTATAACAGGAATTTTATTTATTTATTTATTTATAGGTTTGAATTATGTCATTTCTCTTTCATTAGTTTAGTGCCTTTGTGTGTGCTTAAGTGTCGAAGTTGTCTATTTGGTCATTGCGGTTGGTTAGCATGGTACCTGCGTAACCCAACCTTTAGGTGACTATCAAAGGCAGGAAATATCACTATCTTCTTTTTCAGAACTTGGCCTGTTTCAATCATTTCAGTTTTTCCCTTCATTGGGGCCTTTGTATCCAATTATTGTGCTTGTTGCTGTGCTTTTGATATTTATTTATGACTTGTTACCCAGTAACCTTCATTAGGTGATTAATAAAGACAGTCAATAAATATTTTTCTTTTCTTTTAATTCTTGTTCTGCATGTTTTTTTTTTAACCATTTAATGGATATTGTTGAACTGGTATTAATAAATGTGCAGGAAGTGATGCAATACTTCTGGGTGCCGAGACTTTACGTGGGTTATACCCTGTTGAGACTATTTCTACAGTTGGCAAAATTTGTGCAGAAGTAAGTGCATTTCACATTTGTATAAAATTTTCTAAGAAATGGTGGAAAATATGTAGTTCTCACACCCTTTTCTTCATATGAATATCAATTTCTCACACCCTTTAGATAATAGTGTGGCATTACGTATGTGCCTTTGACTCGAGGAAATAATCTCCTATACGAAATGTCACTCAAAATAATGGCCGATATCTCGTTCTATTTCAGGCTGAGAAAGTTTTCAATCAAGACCTTTATTTTAAGAAGACCGTCAAATATGTTGGAGAACCCATGACCCACTTGGAATCCATTGCATCCTCTGCTGTAATTACATTTTAACCTTTCCCCTTATTTATTTTATGGTAGTTCCTAGAGCATGATGAGACATGGTGCAACAATAAGGTTAGTATCTTGTGATGTGGTGGTCAGGGGTTCTAGTTGTGATATCAGCCTCTGCTGACAGGGTAAGGCTGCATGCATATGATCCTCCCAGATCCCACATTAGAGGTAGCCTTTTGCTGTGGGCCAGTTTCTTAGCTTTCTAGTGCATGCCTGTCTATTTTAAAGAAAAGAACTTCTTGTCCATTAATTTTACTTCGTTGTCTTTGTGGTTGGTTTAATTTCATCTATGGAAAGAGACTTCTTATTTGCAAATCCTACTTGTTTAGGTACGAGCAGCTATTAAGGTGAAGGCTTCCGTTATTATCTGCTTCACGTCGTCTGGAAGGGCAGCAAGGTTAAACTAGTATCTAGAATTGTTAAACTATCTAGCTTCTTCCAAATTGTATTCAATCCAGGAAAATGAATGCTATTGGATCAATTAATGTTTTTTTCTTCCTTGCATTTCCACTTGTATCTGCAAGACTTTCCTAAAAGCATCTCATGCACTTTTCAGATTGATAGCAAAATATAGGCCAACAATGCCAGTTCTCTCTGTTGTGATCCCCCGACTAAAGACAAATCAACTGAAATGGAGCTTTAGTGGGGCTTTCGAGGTTAGATCTTAACTTTTGCTCATTTGCATCTTATTAGATTCTCTCCAATTGAATTGGTTACTTTAAATTTTGAAGGATTTTTGACTGAGTTAGGACCTATTTTTGTAAGTGAAAAATGGGTTTTACGCCTATGATTAATGGATAACATTTTGTAGGATGTTTTGTGAGTAGCTTTCTGTTAAATGGATTTCTAACATTATCAAATTCCGTTGTTGGGGTCAAGGACTGTTTGTATCATGCATATCATGTTCATAAAATTTCACAAAAATCTAAAATCATTTTTTACTCTATTGAGATTTATTAAACTTATATTTTTCCAGCAAATGAAAACACGGACCAGATCCCAAAATGATTGTTATCTTTTATGAATTTATATGTGGAAGAACTATGTAAAATTACTTAATTTATATAATCACTGGATTGATCAAATCATTTTCTATCAGAAATTATTGAGTGGCATGTGGTTATCAAAAGATACATCTGCAATAGTTGACCCCCTTGATACATGTGTGAATAATTCTAATTAAATTGTTCTGAATAAATCATTTTTCATTTGCGCATTGCATTGCTACGTAAGAACGCTTTATTCTGCTGTTTCTTGTTTCCGTTTCCAGGACCAACTACCAACTCATTTGTGGGAAAGCTTATTTACAACTAATGTAATTAATATACTGCTCCCTAGTCCCTACTATATATTTATTTATTAGTATCTACAATCTTATTTTACTGTCAAATGTCCTTGACTATACTTTTATCTACGATGTATATTTTACATATCTATTATAATACTATCTAATTATACTCTCTCTTTAGCTGTAATTAATTGTATGCTGGGTAAAGCAAATACAGCCATGAATTGTATTAAACTTTGGAGGAGGATGCTGTACGGCCTGGGTTTGGACACATTTGTTCCATCTAATGATTAGAAACTTGTATTTACCAGGATTTATATTGTGTTGTTGGATCATCTTGTTTACCAACTTATAAGTAAATTTTTGACAGGCTAGGCAATCACTGATTGTAAGAGGTCTCTTTCCCGTGCTTGCGGATCCCCGACATCCTGTAAGTTACTGTTGCTCTAGGGCGTCTGCGCCCAGTTATTGTTTCACGAGTTTATCTGCATTAATATTATAGGATTGTTCTTTTTAGAACTGCGGGTGCTGAATTTAGATCATTCTACAAAGAAGCTAGACAACTGGGTTGGGTACTGTTTATCTGTTCTGCTTCAATGCATGTTACGGCTCCTGAGTTCCTTGTAGTTCCTCTAGGCTCTAGGTAGATCTGGAAACTGGATAGGTTTTATATTTTTCTGTAATTACCTTCATGGCTACAGTGTTGAAATATAAGCTTCATTCTGCATGACTTGCATACATGCTTCTTTACAACGACCCCTCACATCTCAGTTTCAAGACGTTGACGCATACTCTGCCTGCAGGCCGAGTCAACAGGTGCCACAAACGAATCTATTCTCAAGGTTGCCCTTGATCATGGAAAAGCATCTGGAGTTATAAAGCCACATGATCGAGTGGTGGTTTGTCAGAAAGTTGGCGATGCATCTGTGGTTAAGATTATCGAGCTTGAAGATTGAGTGCGTTGGTACAACTACAGTTAAGGCTTTTCTTTTTTGGTCCTCATCAAGTTTTTGGCAGTAGCAGCAGATCGGTCATTCTGCTTTCGGGATTTAAGGTTATCTCCACTGTGTTTGGTGGTTAGTTATATTTTTTGTGTTGAAAATGAATCTTAGGCTAACTATTATTACCGGTTATCACACTTCCAAGATCAGAGGGAATATGCCCTTGATGCCAATTTTTTGGTTAAATTCTATACATGGACAAATTGAAAGGGAAGTTTATTCGACATTGATTGTCAAGCTAGGGACAAATTGTGTTCTTATGTAGGCGGTAGCCAATTGCATGACGGTTGTACTGTATTCAGCTTGTGTTCTCGCTATCATTTCGATTACATACGGACCAAACAATTCTAGATTGGCTATATTTTACCCGTTGCTCATACTGATCTGAGTTACCCGAGTTGACTTTTTATTTTGGTCAACTTGACCTGTTTGAATCAAAGATATATTTTACATGTAGTAACTTTTGGTCTTGCAAAGGCCGCTTACTATCCCAATTCCCAAGGTTTATAAAAAAAACCGTGGTGGATACGCATTGGATCCAGATGCGTTGACATCCTCAAGAAACAATGCTTATGATCCAGTTGCGTAAATAAATCGAGTCCAATAATCAAATGCCTCTCTTTTTTTCTTTTTCTCATTTGCGCCGCTCCCATCGAATTTTCCAAATTGGGCGCAATAGGGAAAGAACTTGAAGCTCCTGTCGTACTGTTCAATCACAATTTTACGATGTTTCCCCCAAAAGTTTTTTGTTTGGTGTTCTCTAGTGAGGTTTACATGACAACGGTTAATGGGTACAGCCCGTGGAGGTTGCTGGGTGGTGGGTTGGATGGGGAAGGAAACGGTCCGATTGTGGAGTGTCTTGAGCAATAATAAAAATAGGACCTAGTTAGCAGGTTTGGTAAAGAAAAAGAAGAAGACTGGTAAATCGGCTTGGTGTTTTTTGTGATTGATTCATGCAGTTCACAAAACTAGTCGGCAGAGTAAGAACTAGAAACAAGTTGACCCAGCCTAATTTTCTCTCTCTCATCTATCTCTTAACTCAAATCTTTTTTTTTTTTTTGTCATTAAATCAAATATTTTCTTGAGTTCTGACCATGCTAGAGTCTTTCTTGAGCCGAAAGATGGTTCAATATCAAGTCACAAGGGTATGAGCAAGAAGGAATGAGAGATTATTCGTTTTCCTTTCAGCTTTTATATATGTTGTACATTTGGATATTTCACTTGTCATCCAACATTGGATTACATATGTTGTAAAATTGGATTATTCACTCTTTGTCATCCAAAAAAACCGTCGGACTTTGAAACACTAATTAATATATAATTCCCATTTATCTACGTTTTACTCCATGTGATATTTGCTGGATATGATTATGATTATTATCTAGCCTCTCATTATTATTTTTTAAAATCTTATAAAACATAATATTATTATTTTATGTTAATTCAAAATTTCATTTATCTTGATTTCTCGTGATCTGTGGGGGTTATCTACTTAATAATTTAATATATTAAATATTTTCACAGACAAAATTAGCATGCGTTCAATCACACGACTGAAATTAGAGATTATATTATTAATTAGTATCTTTAAAAAATTAAGAGTGATTGGTCTGATTGCGATTGTAGAGAATGTTAGCATAGGAGCATTGGTTTTTCGTCACGCAAGATTAAAAAATAGGCTAATTTAACGTTTGTTCAATTAAATATATTCACATAGTTTTATCGATTGCTCTTCAATTTTTTTAAGCATACTTTTCTTTTAAATAATAAGTAATATATTTGCTCAATAAGCGCCTGTGGCCTAATGGATAAGGCGCCTGTCTTCTAATCAGGAGATTGTGTGGGTTCGAGTCGAGCTTTTTGGTTCTCTGTTACTTCGTTGTTTTGTCCTTTTCTTCAAAGGACATGACTTGGTGTAGTTGTTGGCACTAGCCAACACAAGATAACTTGTTTAGGTCATTCTATTCAGATTTTCACAAAAGTCTGATCTGAGTGGATTTCCAAATGAATTGGTTTTAGGAATTTGATATCAACGGATGCAGAGATATGTTTAGTAAAGCTTGCTATATATATTTAAAAATAAAATAAAAGAAAGAAGAAACTGTTTACAATCTACATACATGCATAGTACATGTTTTTTCAATTGGAAATTACATGGAATAACTCCAGAAAATGAAAGATCATTTTCATCGATGTGGCCTAATCTACGCGCTCTCTAGTATAATTTCAAGTACCATACATAAAATTTACAGAGCAATTTCTTCTTGCCTAGGTAGAAGAATGTTGCTGCTGATGCTGTTGCTTTTGCTGCTGAATATTCAATAATTCAAGCTCCTTGTGGCGAAGCAGCAAGACCATTCTCTCTATTTCCAACCTTTTCCTTTCATTTTCAAGCTTATCTCTCTCCATTTCCCTCTCCTTCTTGCTGCTAAACCTGGTCCATTTCAACCGCTGCTTCTCCAACTCAAACGCTTGCACTTGATAGTCTACCTGCTGCTCCTCCAACTGCACCACCCTCTTCTTCATCCACTGCTTTTTCTCCCAACGACTCTTCCCTCCATCTTGCAGCACACCATTTGCTTCACTACTCAATTGCTGCATAACCTGAGATGATGATACACCAAACCCTCCCTTCTTTGGTCTCTTCCTCATCCCATCATTCTCATCATCCTCTACTTGAGTACCCCTTGATCCTCCTTCTGCTGATTCCTCTTCCTCCTCATCAGAATAGTCCTCTGAGTCATCATCCTCTTCCTCATCATCATTCTCTCTCAACATTCTCAAACTCCCCACCCCATTTTCTGATGAATGGAAACATCGTTGCTGCTGATGTAGTTGTTGTTGTGGATGATGATGATGTTGTGGTTGAGACTCAGTTCCAGCTTCTGCTGATTGTTGCACATTAGAAGCTCCATTATTGTTGTTGTTGCTCCCATGACCACAACTGTTATGGTAAGCACACATTTCCCTGAAGAACAAGTGCTTGGAGTTGAGTAGTTTTCGAACCTCTTCTTTCATCTTTGGTGACAAATCCATCGTATCCAACAGGCTTTGGTTCTCCACCACCCTACAAGCTGTTCCCTTGCCTAGAATGTCGTTGACCCGTTTGTACCTTTTGTTCAAATCATTGAACTTGTCTTCACATTGCTGAGGAGACACATAGTAACCTTTCTCCATCATGCCCTTTGAAACTGATTTCCATTTCCCTTTCTTTTGCAGCAATCCCGTGGCTTTCTTCTTCCCTGCGGGATCAGTGCCTTCAGAACCAGCCTCATCTCCAATGTAATAAACCGCCATTATTAAGAGCCTAACCATGGTATCAGTCCACTTCATTCTATGCCATGGTGAAACTTTCCTCTTGGGGTCCCCAGAACTGTTGTCATCGGCTGTGAACACAGGTTCATCTTCATCACTGAGGGTGCTTTGTGGCTTGTTGGTCTTGGTGGCTGAATAGTTGTAACCATGTTTTATTGATTGCTGATGCGCGTCAGTGTCATGGTGGGTAGCATAAGAAACCATTTGAGGATGATGCAAAGGGTGAGGGTTTTGCTGATTTTGGAGGTTTGGTTGTTGTTGTTGTTGTAAAGGGTTTTCTACTCCTACCAATCCACTACTGATGTTAGAAAATATTCCACCACCTAGTGCATTTGGTTCCATCAACACCTCAAAACAAGTTTAACCAGTATTTCTATCTAAAAAAATGCCTAATAAACAAACAACCTTAAGAAACGTTTGTTCCTAAAGACAAATTTAGAGCGAAGGGTGTGAATGAAATTAGAATTAGAAGACTTCAAGGTGAAACTGAGAAGCAATGGAATTGACCAAAAGACTTGGGTTAAGAAAGACAAAGATCAACGTGCATCATAGTAAATATTCACCTCACAAGCTCGCTTGGGAAAATGGCAATAGCATCATGTTCCACAAAGACTGAATGCATGTTATTCTTCGGCTTTTTGAAAGACTTTAGTGGCACAAGTAAAGTCAATCATAGAGAGGAAACGGCAAAAAGGTAGAGATGGCAATATACGAAGGTTGATGCAAGATTGGTGCCATGTGTGAGGAAAGACAAGGATATATAGCATATAGTATACACTAGTACCATATTAAGCAACTGGTTTTGTAGGCGCTGACAGAAACTGCCCATGGTTTTGGTTTGGCTGTGCTTTGGAAAAGTAACCCACAGGTTTTATGCGAAACGGGCAATTCACAGGCAGATTCACATCCACTTAAGGCCTGTTTGCACAAGAAGAATCAATATATATATATATAGAGAGAGAGAGGGGTATTAGCATATTTTATTATTTTTTAAGGTATTTAAACAGTAATTTTATTTATTATTGTTTAATAAATGTGTTTAAGATATTCATTAATAAGATTCTTAGTAAAGTCAGAGGAGAAAGACAAATAATAATAATATAGTTTTATTGCAAGTTTAAGGAAAAAACAAAGATGATGAAAATTTAATGAATGACACTAAAAAATCCCCTCTTAATAGGCGAAAGTGGGGGAAAGAGTTTTTATTTAATTTAATATTTAAAAATTAAATATATCTTTCGTATGTAAAAAGTTTTTATTTGATATATTTAAAATATTTGTTTAATCATTTTTACAAGAAATTTCTCTGTATATTTTAAAATTTACCTAAATAATCTTTTTTTTAGAGCGATGCTATATTTTTTTAATAATCTTATTACTACTTTATAAAATTAATATTAAATAAAAATAATCATTTATTATCATGATGAAATATAAAATATTAAAAAATTATTTAGTAATTGGAGGATTGTAAGAATAAAGGGTAGGAGTATTTAGAAATATTTTACTTTTATCTTTTATTTGTATAAATTGGTATAAATTGAATATTTTAGTGTCTATGTTTTTAAAATCTCTTAATTTTTATTTTTTAAAATTTATTTTTTATTTTTGCTGTTATTATCATTTTATATAAAATAATTTCAGAAAAATAAGAATTAAGTATTGACTAGGGTTTTTAAAATTTATGTGTTCAAAGACAGAAATATTATATTGATGCAAATTTAAAGAGTGAATTTAAAAAGGGTAGGATAATCTATTCGTTAAGCCAAATAGCTTTTTAATCAGTGAATATCTTATCGATCTACTGAGTCTGTTTCCTTTCCCTCAAATTTTCAACTTATATATATATATATATATATATATATATATATATATATATATATAAATAAATAAATAAATAAAACAACTTTGATAGAATATTCGTAGTCGAATAACGCGGCTGTTACGCACCCCGACACGGGGCTCCTGGTTTTGTAACTTTGGTTCTTAGTTTATCCAGTTGATTTTTTTAAAGATTAATAATTATATATTAAGATGCTTAAAAAATTATTTTTAACTCACCGTAAAAGTTAATTCATAAAAAAAATAATTATCTAACTCTAAAAAATGTAACTATACTTTTAATTAACATTACATATTTTAATACCCTCCTTCGTATTTAAGACTAAATATTTACATGAATGACTTAATGTTTAAATAAAATTAATTTAAATGCTATGTTACTAAATTAAATTAAATTTCTGCTAGAAATTTATTTTATTTAGTTCTTTTTTGTAAAAATAAATATTATAATTATTTTTTCATAAATATATAAAATAAAATTATACATTGTTAGTTCAATTTTTCGCTCATTTTCTCATAGCAAGATAAATGTATATATATATATATATATATATATATATATATATATAAGTATTCTCTTGAAAATGACGATTTTTCTTGCTTTATAATTCAACATCACCTCTCTCCTTCTTCTTAAAATTTTGTAAAAAAAAAATTAATTATTAAATAATTTTTATGTTTTCTATTATAAAATTTATATTAATAAGGTGTTCATTTAATATTCATATAAATTTTATATTTATTTATTTAATATATAAATCACCTATTTTAATATTGATTATTAAGTACTTTTACAATACATTATAATAGAAAACAGTGATAATGATCTGTGTACTTAGAGTTAGAGTACTTACTTATTAAAATAACAGTAATTTTTTATTAAAAATATAATAAATATACATAATTTTTTAATTTTTATTTCAGTCTAATACAATTTGTAATATTTTTTTAAGATCAACTCTTTAATAAATACTTAAGGTTACCAATTAATAAAATCCTTTCATAAAAAGGTTCGAATAAAGTAGTTTCATAGAATAAAAATAATCCAAATATTATAAGAATGTTATAATTATATTTCTAGCTGGTATATAGAAGATTTACAATTTTTTAATTTTTTTAATTTTCTCCAATAAATTTCATGACAATTTTAAAAAATATATTTTTCACTGTCAAGTGTATGAATAAGTTATTGTTTATGAATAATTTATTGAACAAGAATTTAATTAAAACATTAGTTTGAATCTAAACAACCATATAGGTGAAAAGGAAATGAGGATTACAGAAAGAAGAAAATGTTAAATCACTTTAAGCTTCTAGACATTTAACGCTAAATTTATATATATTTTATGTCTTCTAAGATTAATTTAAAATTTGGTTTACTTTTTAAATTTGTATATTCAATTTGTTTATACAATCTAATTAATTTTTTGAGAGCATTCGGTTTTAAAATTTGATTTAAGTAATAATTTATTTGCGTATTTTTTAAGTTTATTTTCAAATAAAATTTTATTTTTCTATATAGTTTAATTTGTATTATTTTAAAAAATAAATTTTCTTTCAATATATTTACTGAAAAAGGAGAGAGAAAAAATAAAAAAATTTACAATTTAAGAGCATGTTTGGTTTTATTTTTAAAAGAAAAACTATTTTCAAGAAATAAATCAAACGTATTTTTATCTCATTAGTCTGGAAGTGTCATCTTATGAATTCAGAAACTGGGGTGAATGACATAAACTTCTAGTGATGATCAATATTTAGTGTAAACATTATTACGATGGCAATAAAAGGTTGACCATTGTGGCAATGCTTAGTAGAGAAGGTGAGGACTCGTTTAGTTGTGTTGGTTCCTACACAGTGTATAATGGAATTTCTTAATCCGTAAAACACTGTACATGATTTAAAAAGTCATATAAAGTAACACAGCTATGACACATTAAACTCTTGCAATATTTTGACTAAACAATAGATAAAAATGTCATAAAAAACATTTATAAAACATTTTTAGTGGTACTAGTTATAAATGTTTTTAATGTGAGGACCAACATAAATATATATAGACTAACAAATATTTATCTTTATTTTTTATATTTTACTTAGTTTCAATTTTATCATCATATTAATAAAAAACAAATTTTATTTATTATAATTTTAAAAAATTCATGAAATTATAAGGATTTATAAATAAATCTTTAAAATATAGAGATCAAAACCAAAATTAAAGTAAATTATAAAAAAAAACAATTCAAATCATTTATTTATAGTAAAATTAAGTGAAATTAAAACCTTGGTTATCCAATTAATTTAATTTAATTTTACATATTTTTGTTTTATGTGACTCTTTTGTTATTTTTTAATTATAGTTTTATTTATCAATTGTGACAGTATTTAAAAGCTGAAAAAATATTTTATTTTCAGTTACGTGTTTATTACTATCATAATTAATAGGTAAAACAGATACTAACTAAAGAAATCAAAAAGTAAAATAAAACATTTTTAACGGACTAAATTAAAATAAAAAATAAAAAATGAAATGAAAAGACAAAAATATAAATTTTGGAATAAATATATCAAAATAAGATATAAAAAATCATATAAAATAATTATAATTTACTTATAATTTTTAATTTGAATGCTTATGCAATAAATTCAAATAAAGTTGAAAAGTTTTTTTAAAAATTGTACTTTGATATAACTATTTCGGGGTTGAGTAGGTTGAAAGCAGAATAAGGTCATTTATTAGTAGCTCATAAATTCAGAACATGCGAATTCACAGCGTGTAGGCCACGTTTTTTAGTAAATTTATAGAAGAGAAATTATATAAATTAATATAAAAATACATATCTTTTATAAAATAAAATTATATTTTAATTTTAATTAAAAATAACAGTAAAATTACTTTAAAAAAATACAGCTAAAATTGGTGTAAAATGAACATGTACCTGGAGTGGGGCGCACTGGTATTAGTGTGCACCCTCACACAGAGTAGAATCGAACAAACAAAGAGCATTGGGGTCGCACCTCAGCTTCCAATTTCATTTTCGAGGAAAATTCCCTCACGAGGGAAAGAAAAAAAATGCGATGCAATTCCAATTTGAATCCCCAAATGCTGCTTTCACTTCAATCCATTCCCCACGCGCTCTGCCTCTGATTTTGCCTTCGTTCCTCTGCGTCACCTTCACCTGAATGAAAGGAAACGTTTGCCAGGAATGGGGGCCTCGCTGTCGAACCTAGGAACCAACGGTTCGACCACCGCTCCGGGCCTTGGCGACATACCGGAGAGTTGCGTCGCTCGCGTTTTCCTGCATCTCACTCCGCCGGAGATATGCAACTTGGCGCGCTTGAATCGAGCGTTTCGCGGCGCCGCCTCTGCCGATTACGTCTGGGAAGCGAAGTTGCCTCGTAACTACCAAGATCTGCTCGATTTAATGCCTCCGGAGAGGTATCAGAATCTCTCCAAGAAGGACATCTTCGCGCTGCTATCTCGGCCAGTTCCGTTTGACGACGGCAACAAGGTATGGTGTTTCTTTTTAGGTTAGTTGGAGTTTTTGCGTGGTGAATTGTGTGTTCTGTGAGATTCGTTGATGGTAGAAGGTTTTGTAGGAAGTGTGGCTGGACAGGGTCACGGGAAGGGTTTGCATGTCCATTTCGGCAAGAGCGATGTCGATTACTGGAATTGATGACCGCAGATACTGGACTTGGGTTCCTACTGAAGAATCTAGGTTAGATTTCCTAAACTTTCTGTTGCTTTTAATTTACTTTAAATGACGTGTTTTAAGTTGTGATGATGTAAAATTAGGTAAGTTGTGATCTTAGTTTTAATTGAACTTGAGGTGACTTCGTGTATCCTTCTGTTCTCTGAATGGTGTGAGAACTTAGAAACCTGCATGCTCCGTAAATGTTTCTACTGAGCGTGTTGTAATTGATATTGTACAATGTAGTTGGTGGCAGGCATATCTGGATTATAGGATGTTAATTATATACTTGTGTCAATTCTTTGCTCCGGCGGCGAAGTGGTACGCCTGTTTTGTTGTTGTGATGTTTTACATGCCACTTTAACTGTGCGATGCAGGTGACCTTGTTGAAAGTGCTAAACTCAAGTTATAAGGTAGAATGTGTTTTTGGTATTATGTAAAAGCAACGATAAGAGCATTGTTTTGGTTTCCCAATAACTTCGATGACTGTGGTGCTTTGGTGGTAGAGGGTTCAAACTGGTTTGCCTTTTAAGTGATCCTCGGATCAACTATATATATGTTTTTGCAATATAAGGAGAAAAGGGAAAGAGTAAAAGAATGAACTGTTAGTGATTTTCTATAACTCAAGTTTGTGTTGAAGTATTTAGCCACATAAAAATTCACAGATCATGTTGTATTTTTCCTTACGAAGTCATATTAATTGAATTCAAAAGTAAAGATTTTTTCTATAATTGCCGCACTTGACTGCTGAAACCATGTTCCAAGAGCATGCCTCTTTGACTTATTTGAACGATGGGAGCTTTTCAGTGCCATTGTCCTTGAATATTGAGTGTGGATGGATAAACTGCTCAAACTTTCTTGGCATTCCAAGATATGACTTCTATTCCAATCAAGTGAAAGTTTTTGCTCTTATCTTAATATATTGACTGGAAACTGTTGTAGATGATCATCGAGGAGGCTAAAATACCAAGCTTAATGTAAATTTTTAATAAGAAATAAAGTTTATTAGTGAAAGTGACTGCACAGGGTACGTAACCAAATTATCAAGTAGGCTAAAGATATCAAACTTAACAGAATTCATGTAAAATAAAACAATCAAATATTAGTCTTTGTGGCTCAGAATTTGTTGGTGTAAAATCTTACCCAGGACTGGACTTAGATGCTATCTGAAAATGTCCCCATTTCTTCTGTTAGTTTACCAAATTTTCAGTTCAATTCAGATATGAATGCTACTTTATTTGGTCCAGAGCCTCAATGTCAATTGCTTGCATGCACAGTTATCTCTCTCTCTCTCTCTCTCTCTCTCTCTATATATATATATATATATATATATATATATATAACAAGTTTCATGAGTCATATATGTTGGAGTAATGTCATTATACATCTTGTTCTGCTGGAGCTTTTGTGGTTGTAATCTTGAAAAGCTTTTGCTAAATTATATATTAAATGTGATTTATACTTAAACTTCCAAGCTACTGATTTGTTAAATATGCCTTAAATTCTTAATCTAAATCCAAATCCAACCATCCGAATTCCACAATCTAAATCTAACATCAACTTTTAAAATCTGTGTACATGATTTATCTGTTACTGTTTTGTTGGTGTCTTATGGGTTTGTCTGGTATGCTCTGATTGCTCTATGATTGTCCTTTTGAGAAAGTGGAACTGGAGACATTTTCTTTTCTGTTGTTTCTCCTGCCTGACCCTTTTTATTTTTTCTAGTTTATGAATAATTCTGAAGTTGATGATACAGTAGTATTTCTGTGGTTTCTTATGCTTTTGGTTTAAATATGAACCTATTTTGTATTGATTATGACTTCATAATCATTCATTGGTTTAACTTTCCTGATGCCCTGTGGCTTGTGATGTTCAAAGGAAAGGAAAAAACAACAAAAGCTGGCCACCCTGCCAGACCCAATCCAAATGGTCTAGTGTGTTCTGATTAATTACTTATTATATTATCCACCTAAAAAGCAAATTATCATGTTCCAACATATTCGATTCTTTTTGGGCTTTGTATGAAAACATCATGATATTTTCCCATTAAACTTCTGTACTTACGTGTGCATGCCTTTATCTAAATGAGGGACATGATTTGCTGCTTTGATTATGCGCTAAATTATGCTCCCCTATCTGAGTTCGGAGAGATACTTAAGTTATACCACCCTCACTTCTAATTTTAAAATTCACATTCTCTTTGCCTAAGAGAAGTAATACCTATACTTTAATCTATTTTACCCTGAGCAAATGTTTAAGCATTGATGAACCGCCATGAACAAGTCCCCAAGGAGTACTTTTCCTCTCTCTTCAACTTTCAGTGTCACAGGTAGTTATTTTCAACACCATATTAATTTTACAACTCTAGAAGATGAAATGAAGTTTCAATTACTCTTTCTATTGTTTTGAAATGGAACTTTACCCAAAAATTCAGTTCAATCTCTAAGGTGCCAAAGTCAATGGTAAAGGATTTGAAACTAGCTATCAATTATATTGAGAGTTGTGGAGAGGGAAAAAAGCTGTTCTTAAAAGGCTCATTTAATTTGAAATGGACTAAAGATAGCTCATATCCATCTCTCTGGGGAAAACTTTAATTTAAGCATCTAGTAGGGGAGGAAGATGTAATTTACTCTTAATTATTTCTGATTTGGAATGATATTTTGAAATTCTATTATATATTCAATTTGGTTCAGTCTGTAGATGTGTTAGCTTTGAGCCATACTTATGACATGCTCAATCTGATTCTACCGAACTTTTGTTCTATGAATAAAACTTCAATAGGTGGTTTTGATTGGTTTGCTGAGCCTAGATTAGTTTATAGATAGTTGGACACCTGGATTTCCCAATGCCTTCTAAACTTAAATAGTTAAATTATGCCAACTTACTGTTTATATGCTATTTATGCTTCGTTTTGCAAACTGTAGTGATCTTAAGCTTGATGCTGAAGCTGCTTTGTTTAATCTGTCAGCTCTCTTTTGTGGATGTTGCATTGGATTTTTATTATTTGTTTATTTCAGGTTCAACACTGTAGCATACTTGCAGCAAATATGGTGGTTTGAAGTGGATGGGGAGGTTAGCTTCCCATTTCCTGCTGATATTTATACTCTCTCCGTTAGGCTTCACCTTGGACGATTTTCCAGAAGGCTTGGTCGGCGTGTATGCAATTATGAACAGACCCATGGTTGGGATATAAAACCAGTGAGATTTGAGTTCTCAACTTTGGATGGTCAGCAAGCATCATTTGAGTGCTGCTTGGATGACACTGAACAAGATGATGCGCACGGCAGCAATCATAAGCGTGGACATTGGGTTGATTACAAGGTGGGTGAGTTTATTGTCAACGGATCAGAACCCTCAACTAAAGTTAGATTCTCCATGAAACAGATCGATTGTACACACTCTAAAGGTGGGCTTTGTGTAGATTCTGTATTTATTATACCTAGTGATTTGAGAGAACGCAAGAGAAGCGGCATTCTGAAATAACCACACAGAATAGGGGTTTTATTTTTTGGTTTATGTCAAAAATCCCCGAATACTCTGTTGGGATCTGTTATACAGCGCTAGTGTAGAAAATTACTGGTGTAGAAAATTAAGAATCCGGAGCATGTTATCTTTTTGGTTGGCCTTTTTTTAATTTTTAATTTTTTGGTGGTCAGTACATGTGATCTTTAGTTTTTATATAATCACCATTTCTGTGTTTTATTTATTTATTTCCATGCTTTGTACCTTTGTCAGATGAGACGGATAAAGAAACAGGAGAACAAGCTTCGCCAGCACTTTGGTCTGTTATTAATTTTGCCATTTAATTAAATGTTTACTGAATTAATTTTTTAAAGCAATAATTTATGTCATAAATTTATTTATAAAAATTTACTAAATTAAGTTATTTTAATAGGTTATATTAAGAAATTTATTAAAATGAACTAAAAGAAATGTATGAAAGTCAGAAACTATTTCTCTAAGATGTTCATGAGCACTTTTAAATGGCTCTTGATAAAATTGATGTGCGTTTAAATTAATTTTATTCATAGATTTATATTAGAATATGCATTTTACTCCAAAGCAAACAGGGATTTTGTTTTGATGCCTTCAGTTAGTTGTTGACAGTCAACTTTGGAAGAATATGCTTGGTCAATTATTTATACAGTGTGACATTAATTCTCTGTTTCGTAGAAATGAAAATGAGGAATAAGTAAAGTTTTAAATTAGAATTGAAGAGAAAAAAGTTATTTTTTCGTTATTTAAAATTTATTCTTTTAATAAAATAAAAAATGGGATTTATAATTTTCTATTTTTTTCTTTTATCCAAATAAATCATAAGCAGAGCTAGTGTTTGGCTATTTATCTAAATGTCCACCTGGATTCACAAATTCACCATTCACATGTAAATATTAACATTACATTTGTTCTTAACACTTTACTGTTTTTTTTATAAAATATAATTTCGATTTTTGTAAATATAATTTTGATTCTCTATAATTTTGTCAGTTTTAATCTTCATATTTTTTTTAAAAATTAAATAATATATCCCTACATTGATGACAGATATTTAAACGTATGCCATATGCCCATATATATGCGACGTTAGAATACTCGGTGTGTGTGTGTTTGTTTAATTTAATCTTTTAAGATCATACAACTGATAATAAATGTTTAAAATTATCTATTAATCATGTCTAAATCCATAACGAGAAAAAATATAAAAAAGTATATTTACATTAATTAAAATAAAAAAATAAAATATATTTTAAGCATCGATCTCTCATAGGAGAGAAATGTAATTTCCTCTTAATTTTTCTTTACATATAAAATTTACTTTATTCACCACATTTAAAAGCTAACCTCTTTCTTCAAAATAATTGCGTCTATCCTGTTTCAATTATATTGCTGATATCAATGTCGAAAATAATTGTAATGTGTCAAAGTTTAATTGTCCTGCACTAATATTATGAATTCAAAATTTGAAAATAAGAATCTCTTTTTCTAAATAATTGATTAGCAAACTACATTAAAAAATATGCTTAAAATTTATGAGTCTAAACTTTAAGTAAGTTAATAAACTTAAGCATTTAAATATATAATCTTAAAATTTATGATAATGACTAATACAACCACAATAATAATAATAATAATAATAATATAACTTAAATAAACTACACGTTAAACTTAGCAAACTTTTCACATAGAAAGTTTGTTTTTAATTAAAAAAATATTTTAAAAAATAAATTTAGCTTAAATAAATAAATATGGTTTAACTTGAGCCTAGAAAGCATATGGGTTGAAGTCAAAAAGCTTCAAAAGTTTCATTGCATGGCAGAAAAAAGGGTGGAAAGCAATACAGGAAAATAAATTAAAGATCATACTGAACCTGCTTTTTGGGTCAGGCCAGAGAAACGAACATATAAATTGTGAGAACTGGGAAATTTGGGGGAGACAACAAGGAGAAGAAAGTTGCCATAATTAAGGTCCTCTTTTCTTATGTCATCCACTATCTAGGGATTCCCCTCAATGCGAAGAATCCATGTCACGTAGTTTATTAAACAACAATTTTCTTAAGAGTAATATTGGTTGCTTTGGTTTAATTAGGTCCTCTCCACATTTTTATTTAACGTATTACTATTACTACTAGACATTAGTGGTTTGGAACTTAGCATAGAGTCAGTCATCTACTCATATATATTAGAATGGCAATTCAAGGATTCTTATTTATAACCTCTATGCACTATGGTATTTGGATGAGGCAAAGTAGCATGCACGTACGCAGGTAGTGGCCCATGACCATGTTCGGCGCCGTTTGCGTAGAGTCACATATAGTTGTTATCTTTTTTGCTTCTGTTTCAGTATTTCAGAACTATTTCTTAGACCAGTTAGGTAATGAGTTATGTCATTTATATATGCGGTAGGGGCTAGTGACGTAGTAGGTTCTACAAATCCCACTGAGTGAAACATTTTACTTCTGAATAAAGTTCACATTTACAATATTATCCAACGTGTTCAGGACCACGTTTCCAGATCACAAAGGTCAAAGCCAAATTATGACGTAAGTCTCAATTGCAGAGACAGCAGTTTAATTAATTCAATGTTTCAAATCTCTTCAGCATATGTGGTTAATGGCTATCTTATTCAGGCACACACGCAGGACCACTCTCAAGATATACGGTGAAGAAGTTCTCTCTAGTTTCTACCTATTTTATAGGTATGCCTAGGTTTTTATGGTTTTGCAGTTTCTTTAACTCAGGCCTGAGCTTTTTTTAGATCCATCTTCTGTTAGTACTAATAAAATGCCACTTTGTTTAATATTTCTTTCACGTGGAAATAGGAAGAAACTAAATCACCATTTGGGTTTGTCATACTTAAGCTCAACAAGTGGGCCTCCAACTAAGTTCTAACCAGATATGTTTCCAATATTTGTCTTCGCTTAAAGGGTAACTATAATTAGTTAAAGCAAGCCAGTTTGGTTTTGGGTACTCATTGATGGTTCACAAGGTCACAACAAAATAATTAACTCAACCACCTTTTATTTATTAATGACTAGCTAGAAGAATTTAACTTTGAAACCATCATATCCAACGTTAATAATCTAGGTTGAAATGTGGCCTATAAATGCTTATGATTATAACTTCTATTAGCATATTTAGATTAATGTTTAAATGAATATATATGAACTTATGTTTATTTCAATATTAATCATTTGTTATAAATTTGTATAGACGTTAATTGCAATTTCTTTTATATATTTTACGTACACACTGTATCATCACTCATAACCAATTTGGATTTTAATCCTTCTCAAAGGTATTCATATAATAGACAACCATAAAAAAAATGCTTTCTTTCATTCAAGATTAATTACCTTACGGATGAACGTTGAACAAAGGGTAAGTAAGCAGCATTACATGTACGGGAAAAGACCATATATGTTAAAGATATCCTACTGTTACGCCACTTGCATTCTTATATATATGGAATTATATATTTCCCGTACAAATAATATGCAACAAAAACATTTCTCTTTGTATTAGCCGAAAAAAACAAGAGAAGATTATAGAAAACTTTTAAAAAATGGTAAAGAGATGATGTAATTAATAGCACTCTACAGTCACCCTTCCCATTTGAAGGTTTGGATATGCATATTAGAGCAGTGTTTCATTATTTTTTGGCCGTACCCGTACGGCACTGAGGCTCTCCTATTAAAAAGCATGTAGCGTTGTTATCATGGTACGTGAATCAATAAACAAACAAAACAAGAACAATTGATGTATACAACTAGAAGTTGGATTCTACAATGACCTTTGTCTCTTTCACCATTTCCGGCTCAAAGAACTTACTTTGTCGTTTGAAACTCTACAGTTTTGTATCTAGTAAGTACTCCAAAAAGTCCAAACACGCGCAGTCCTATAACTCCAAAAAAAAAAAAAAAACCACAGCATTGCATCAAAATTTATTAAATCAAGGGAACCTAGATCCCATTTTTATGCACAGAGAGAAGAAGGAGTGCAAGTAAGATATCAGTTGTCCTTTCTGTAACACTGCCCGAGTCATAATTAAGGTGAAAGGGAAATGAGGATGAATGAACAGATATGAGCCCAACTTCTGTTTCCTTTACCCTCCTTTATTGGTGCTGCAGAGCGGGCAGCTTCTGTGCCCTCATTCGTGTTGCAATTCAGGAAATCATTTACTCTCTATTCACTAATATTTATATATAATTAACTAGCAAAAAATGTTATATCTTCTTATTGTTTGAGTTTATAAATGTTTTTATTTACATAGAAGTCACATTAAAAAAATTAATTAATAATTTTCAAAACACACGTATCACTTTTATACGAATAAAACAATTTACAAATTAAGATAGTAAAAAAATTTAACATTTTTCTTAACTAATATAAAGAATAGAGTTAATATAAATAACTTCATTCTATGTTAATGAAGTTAACATTCTTTATTTTTGCGATATATTACAAGTATTTAAAAAAGATATTTATTAGAATACTTCTAAATTTAAGGGATAATAATTTTTTAAAAATTATATTAAGATATTAAAGGATATTTATATTTTTTTAAAATATATTAATAACTCTACTGTTAAAATTAACTATTATAATTATTTTACATATAAAAAAGGATACTCCTTAATTTCTATAGAATTTATCTTTAAAAAATACATGTGAAAAAAGCATTCCATAGAATTAATTATGCATATATTTTATTATTGAGCATTTTTAAAAAATGAAACGTTCCGCATGAAAGCTAGATTGGGGGCCAACTTTACACATGCCTTCCCTTTTCCACGCCTTGACCTGACAGCACGGTCCCTTCCTACAGTCTCTATCTTAGACACAAAACTTGGTTGCTCCCAAAAGAAAAGGAAGGAAGCAGCACACACGTACAATCCACAAATGTTAAACTTCATTCCTCAGTCTTAGCCTTCTTTGTGTTGAGTAGTAACACTCAAAAAAATGTAACATAGACTTAAATTATTATATACAAGGTACAAATCTTTGTTTCAACTCTGTTTATAAAATAATAATAATAATAAAGAAGACAAGGTAAAAGTCTATATTATTTTTCTTATATTTATTTTCCTTCATCACTTTTCTCAACTTAAGTAGAAGTAACGGAGTGATCAACTGCCCATAACTCCTCCTTTGTCTTTAAGTTATTTTGAATTAACTCTTCTAATAAAAACTTATATTTGATTAATATTGAATAATTTAATATCTCTGAATAGCTTACACCCATAAAGAGAAAGGAATGTAGAAGTTTCGTTTCTCATAATCACAACTCACAACCATAGTGGCACGCTTCATTGGCTTAGTTAAATTCACTACTGCACTCACTACCCACCTATCTTCCCTCTGCCTATGTGGTCCAAACCGACCAAGTGAAGCCCCGAGGTCATATAAGACAGACCATTTTTGGGGATGGAATTGAAAGGAAGAGACAGGAAAGTAGTAAAGACAGATATGGATTGGCATGAGAGCACAAGACCATTTGTTCCTCGGCCTGAGTCTTCCTTAAGCTTCTTCTACAACTACAACAACCACCCTTATCCAGGTACGTACGTAAAAGAACAATAAAAACACTAGTCTTTTAAAGAATTGACCTTTTATCCTCCAACAATTTTAAGCTGAATTTCTTTTTCATTCCTCCTACTTTATACATTTTGAACTCTATTAGCTTCCACATATGCGTTTCTGTGCGTGAATGGCTTCTAAGGCAGGCACCTTATATTTTAATCACCACTTTAATTTGAGGATTAGTGTTTAGAGTTTTGAATATGAATATATAGTAACTTGAAGCCCAAGTAATTGTTCCATTTTCTTACTTTCTAATGAAGAAATCAGATAGAATATAGGTAGCTGTGTCAAAACTAACAAAGTCTAGCCCAATTAGTAGACAATTCTTGACTATGATCTAATTCTTAAGCCTTTTTTTTTAAGAAACTATACTTATTTCTATTATCTCTCCATTTGAAAAGAAATTAGGTTTTTACTGTGGGTTATAAAATACCCTTATACACACCTAAAAAATAGTTTTATAAAGCATTAGGCATATGTTTGAAAACCACACTTGATATTTCAGCTTGGACAGCATCCAAAATGCTTGTTATGATTTTCAAAAGTTGTATATGTTATTTTATCCTAAAATAAGTTATAAATAACCCCAAATATATTTATTCTTGTATATGTTGCATAAATATATCATATGTTGGATCAGAAGTGGAAATGAAACAAGCGACATTGACGGAGACAACGCAAAGGTTGGTTCCGGCAATGGAGAACGGGAACAAAGAGAAGAAGAAGCGATTAACAAGTAATCAGATAGAGTTATTGGAGAGGAGTTTCCAGGAGGAGATAAAGTTGGATCCTGAAAGGAAGATGAAACTTTCGAGAGAGTTAGGTCTTCAGCCTCGTCAAATCGCTGTTTGGTTCCAAAATAGGCGTACAAGGTGGAAGGCCAAACAGCTTGAGCATTTGTACGATGTTCTTAAACACCAATTTGATATCATCTCCAAGGAAAAGCAAAAGCTTCAGGAAGAGGTACTTAGTGTTTTAAATTATGAATACTGAACAATCTCATCACTAAAATCATTTACCTTTCAAATTGTAAAAATAAGAACAGAAATGATTAACATTAATTTTAATAATTTTTATAGTTTAAATGATACTTAAAGAATTTCAAAATTTAAAAATAATCTTTACCTATAAATTTAAGGATTAACTTAATATATTACTTTACATTTTACATTGACGGTGTAGTTTTTGTTGCCTTTCAGAATACGAAAACCTCTTTTTCATTTCAAGTTTGAAAATAGCGGTCGTCTATCTCATGTAATCGACTCTACGCCAAATAATAATTGCAATACACAAACATATTACATCATTTTAATTTTCATCTTCTTATCAGGGTTAAATTTTGATTATGTAACACAAGTGAAAAGATGTGAGAGCGAAAGATCGAAATGTGTAAACATTTTTGAAAATTACCATTATCTTTACACGTTTTTAATATGTGTTTCTTTATTTTATTACTATAGGGAAATATATATAACGAGACAAGTATAATTAAACTCAATTATTCTTTTGCCTGCCTTTACACATGAAGATATTTGACCTGGTGAATATTTTTGAAACTTAATAAAATCACGTGATAAAAAATATAACTTACAGTGTTGAAATGAGTTTACATTTGAATAAATTTGATGCAGGATCAAAACGCTACTTAGTTATATATATTCTTGGAATTGATTCGTGATGCACCCTGAACAGGTTATGAAGTTGAAGGCAATCCTAAGAGAGCAAGGTTTTAAGACGCAAACACTTATGGGTTATACAGAAATATCAGGGGAAGAAACAGTAGAAAGCACATCAGAGGCGCTTAGGGGTTCCACTTCCAACAAGTTTGCAGAGGGTTACTGTTCTTTCACTGTGGATGATTATAACACAGTTTCATTGCCTCACTGCCAATGGCCTGCTATGCCTTATTATCCCTAAATCTTCCACAACTTAGAACATCAATGAGCTTAACGTAATAACTATAGCCCTAGACCTGGCATTAGGACCCATGCAGACCTGTTCTGATGATAGTTATGATTCATGAAACAGCTATGCAGGCCATCCATTAGTATTTCACTTTTAGTTTCCATTAATTAACTTGCATGAACTCTTATCACGTACTACTTTTAGATAGGAAAAGGACAATTGCACTTTATCTTTTTACACTTCTTATCATATATACCACGTAGTTTAGAGTGAGACGCTGAAATGTTAAACTTTTCTTATTTTATTTATAAAAAGGTATAAAATTTATGTGACAAACTAGGATGCGAATTAATAAGTCATTTTATTAATAAGAATTTCTATATTAATCGTTACTGTCAATGTAATAAAGATATAAAAATGTTATGAACATGAATCTAATTAAATCATATATTGTTTGTTTATTTGATGACTTCCTTCGTGAATCATCAGAACATGTGTATCACTGCTAATTAAGTGTACATAAATTCCAATACCCAGGGCACATAGTGAAATGCGATCCAAATGAATATTATCTGCTAAATTAATACAAACTTGATTCTATTGAAAATAATACTAGCTTGATATCAACGAGAGTGTTTCAAATAATACAAACTTAATTTTCTTTAAATTAAATTTTAAATTTAAGCTGTATGAATGAAAAAAAATCCTACAAAAAGAACTAAGCCAGATCGAAGATAATCTAAACTAGTGAGCAATGTAACGCATACTGTATTTTTCGAATTTTAGTAAGTTGATCACGGAACGAATATAAAACAGATTTAGTTTAAAGTAAAATTCGAATTGATTATATTTAATAGGGTATAGGTTATTAAAAAATTTAATTAATTTGACCAATACATAATAAAATTTATACTAATAAAACACCTGTAAATATCTGAAAATAAAAACTTATTACAGATAAAATTATTTATATCGGTAAATATTTATGAACTTGATGAAATGAGTATTTTTTATCCACCTATCAGCGGTGTAAGTATACGTATAGTGATACTCGTATTCGTAGGTTTTTGTGTATATACAGTTTTAAAATAAATTGTATATAGAAGTAAACATAATCTAACTTTTTTATTTGATGACTTTTCTTATAATAATATTGCGGTACTGTCGTTGTAATAAAACATTGTGCTAATTTTACTTCTAAGTTTTAACAAACTTTATGTTAACACTCTCGAAGAGCTAAGATTTTTAATGTATACCAAGTATTCCCAATAAAAAGTAAACATTGGTAGAATCTTTCAATGGGAGTCCAAACTCTATAATGAGAATGTAAAACATACCCACACTCATACCCACACAAACTACCAGCGATTGTATGGAAGATGAAATACTTGTTGGGTGGATGCAGGTATCAAAATACCAGCCCGCAAATACCTACTTATTTATAATATTTTTATTTTTTTGAGATGAAATAATTTTTCTTTATTGTTTTATAATGAATAAAAAATTTATTATATATATATATATATATATATATATATTTATACAATAATTATTTATTTAGATGGGTTGTTATTAAAAATATAAGTAAACTTGATATGTTATTTTAAGTATTATTTTATGTTATAACAAATTTTAATTAGTATGCTGAAGTTATTTTATAAAATATTACACTTAACTATATTATTAAAATTTCAAGGCTTAAATATACTTTTCTCCCAATATTTTTCGCATAATTTTGATTTTATCTCCTAAAAGAATTTATTTTCATCTTTATTTTTTTTCTAAATTCAGAACTTTTAAGCCCTTTTACTAATGCTCCTCAACAAAAAAAAAAACGTTTCATGCATAACTTCTTAATTAATTACATCATTATTGACTATTTAAAAAATATTGAAATTTTAAATATCGAATAAAAAATTAAAAATCTAAAACTAAATCATAAATGGTGAAATTTACTGTACACCGACTATTTAAAAAAATATATTTACTCATCAATCTTTAAATATATTTTTGTATTATTATCAAATGATCTTTTAATTTAAGATTTATTCTTTTTTTAAAGATCTTTTTATAATAAAAAATATTAAAATAAATTTACAACAAAAATAAATTATAAAATAATTAAACTAATAATATTAAGAAGCATCTAATATCCCTCAAATCTTAGCAGGACAAGAGCAAGCACTTTCTTAAATAGCCATCAATACCTGATATAAACGGGATGAATATATATTTTTTGGGTCAACAATGAGGATGAACAGTTCACAAGTACCGCATGCACCTATCCGGCCCCAAAATATAGGGCCAATCGTAAGTAGCGACTTCGATTGATGAACAAGTTTGTTTCGATTATTTGAATAGGTGGACCAAAAACATGGTTTCTTCGGATTTGTCTCGATTAATTTTTGTTTTATTATAATTAATTTGCTGTCAAGAAATTTATGCCATAATTGCTTTTAAGAAAATTAAACTTAGGGTTATCATTTATTTATATCTAGTCAGTTTATAATTTTTCCTAAATATTCTTAATTGGAAATTTCACACTATTATACTTTTTTTGTCCTACCTACTCGATTATTATTACTTTTAAATTACAAGTAAAAATTGCATATTCACTTAATATTGAATTTAATTACCAAACCAGATATTTTGTCCTTTTTGGTACTTTTGTTGACATTAATTATAAATATATACATGGAATGGATTTTCGAAATTATTGTAGTTAATTTTATCGAATTAATTGTAACTTCGTATGTGACAAACAATGGGAAAAAACCATCATATGTACCTTCTTGATAAAACAAGTAATTCACTACCCGATTACATAACACCTAGCCTCATTTCCACTAGACACCTGCCTACACAATTTTAACAAAATAATGCGTTTGGTCTGGAAGTTGAAAGGGGAAAAAACAACAAAACATGTGATAATGTGAACAGGTGGTATTAATCGAGGATATCGACGAAAATCTGCAGCACAATAATTTTGCCCATACGGAATTCCTCATGTTCATGGAGATTGATAAGTGTCCAAACAAAATCAAGCAACTCAAGTAAAGTAAATTGCCAATGAGGGGGAAAAAATGTAATCTGCGTAATCTTAGTAAAAGCAAGGGTGTTGATTCTGGTTAAACTCAACTTTGGGAACAATCAATTTTTTGCCCAAGCTTTAAATGATAAACGATACAAATGGACGATGGAGCAACCCCCACCCTTCGGCTAGACAAACTCACAACAAAGCATGCACCATCAGGCATTGTAAAGGATAAATTGCCTAGAAACAAAACATTAGCAAGATTGGCAAAATCCATTAAATAACCAGGTACTCTCTGAAGCTCCAAAAACAGGTTTGATAAAGCAGTTAAATAAAAAGATTAATCAAGCAGATAAAATTCAGTACAGAAGTTTCAAAACAACTATTCAAATAATTCCCAAAAATAGGAACAAAACTAAAAACTCAGCGTTTCCCGCCTCCACCACCAAGTTTGGGACCTTTGGACACAGCACCCTTTTGAACATTGCCTTTGCCTTGTGCCTTTTGTGTCTTAGCTGCTACTTCTGCTTTCTTAGCCTTTTTCTCATCCTTTGTTTTCTTGATTCTCTCTTTAATTTCACTGCACAACATCGTATATTCAGGTGGATATTTTATCCATATTTTTTATACAAAAAAGATGATAAAAAATAACTAAATCAGGCTCTGAAACAAATAGGGTTACATGGTTTATGTAAAAAATAGACAGCATGTTAGCAAATGAGGAAGGCAATTAAAAATAAGGATTATCTCCTTTAAAAAGAAGGGTGTGCACTCTAGAAAATAAAGTGCAATTATAACAGTAAATTAGAATAAAAATTGAAATTCTATCATGTTAATAGTTTCATGTATGTACTTAGCCACATATTATATAATCAACAGTTATAATTGCATTCCATTCTCTTACATGCATCCACTCAATTAATTTAGAAGCCAAATCCAAGAAAGAGATTTAAAACAGTAGGCAGAAACAAAAAAACAAAGAACACACCGAAGAGCAGCTTCCCTAGCTGCATCACGAACTTCTGGCTTCTCAGTTCTTTTCTTCTGAATAACTTCCAAAGTGGCACCAACAATGGACCTAGAGTAAGGCTTTCTAGTAGCACGACGCCTCTTCTTCACAGCTTCTTGAGCAATGTCCTACTCATCACATGCAGACAAACAATCAATTAATCCATTAAAATGCATGCAATCAGTTGTGAAATAAATTAGCACAGTAACTTGTTTATATGTGTGGAATAACTTAGCACAAGGTCAAATTCAAATCAAGTGGGTGTGCAACAACATTTTCATATGTTAACCAGCTTCATTAATGTCAAAGGCAATTATGATTTAACAATTCAACTTCAGGATTAAGTCTACATGGGTTTATTGTTTAATCTTTAAAACATTTCAATCAAATAATCACCTTCTTGTGTTGCTTCCTATACATTGCAGTCCAGGTCAGCTTAGATGGCTTCAAACGGTTGTGAAAATACCTTTTGCATTTTGAGTTGGCAAACAGGAAGACCTGTAGATTCAACAAGCAATAGCCCTCACATCAGTAACTAACTAACTATAAACACACCATGGCAAATTGAAGATTCAGATTGAAATAAAGCAATACATAGGTCCAAAATTCAAGGAGTCAATTTAATCTCACCTGAGAATCACCGCGTACAAATCTGATGCCTTTTCCTGGGTAGATCTTGGCACCGCTGAATCGGCATAGTTCAGTTCTGACACAGAAACATCAAATATAAATACACTAATGGAGGCTATAATTTGAAGAAAATTTATCATTCATTTGATCAAACACAATGTTGAAATGTTATGTGCCTAATAAATTTCTCAAAAGCTGCTTTGAAAAATAAGACATCTTCCAACGTATTATCAAAAGCTAACGACGTCTCTGAAAAAAGAAAAAGTACGAACAGCTACTCAGAAGCAGCTCTAAAACACGTCAAAATTTCAGATACTGCGTTGCAGAATCACAAGAACGTGATTATATCAAGCAACAAAATAATAACAACGACATAAATATCGTTAAACTATTTTCTGCACAGTAAAAAATCCTGAATATCTATCACATTTTCATGCTCAAGAAGCCAACAACAAATTCTACAAACATACAATAATAACTTCAAAACAAAATCGAGCAAAACATCATCATACTATGGCAGCAAAATAAGAAGGCAATTAAAAAAACAGTAATGAAGATGGGGTTAACTTGAACAAACAAACTTAAGGCACATGGAATTTTGAATTCAGAAGAGCTTATGTATCACAGAGTGTAGAACTGTTACAACAAATTACATATGAGATCGTAAAAAATGAGTTGATGAAAGAAGATGAAGGTTCCATACTTGAGAACCATGGCTGCTGCAATAGGAGTGGCTGCTCAATGTAAACCCTAAAAACCTAACGATGCCCAATCCCCCTATCTATATCCCGAAAACACGACTATTACAAATACCCTTTTCTCGTTATAAAACCAAATAAATGCCACTACTCGGCCCCTTTCTTATGGACATCTTTTGTTTGGGCCTAATAAAAACAGTCTGGCCCATAAAATTGATTTTAGTATTTGGGCTCGAGTAAGCCCATACAAACTATGAGAAGGAAGAACTGGCGAAAATGATAAACAAAATTACTGAACAGAACAGAACACCTTTGTGAAAAAAAAAAAAAAAGGTAAAATTATCACCATTTACAAGAAACGGAACTTTAACTGTTTTCATCCATCTCAATAGACTAGTGCTTATTCCTTGGCCATTTGTTTGCACAGGTTGGCCAAAGAAATGTATAAAAATATATGGAATATTAAAAAAGACTTTTTAGGTAAACATTGCATACATTTTTAGTTTATCAATTTATAAGAATCAATGTTACATCATACTTTTTTTTAGATTCTAGTTCATTATTGAATAAAATATCAAGTGAGATATTTAATGTTAATTATTAAAACTACCGTTGTATGGATTTGTTTTATTTTTATTAAATTTATTTATTTTAAAATATAAAATATATAATTTAAATATAAAAGTAAATAAATATATTAAAAAAATTTATTTCTTAAAAAATTACTATTTAAAATATGTATAATTTAGTATTTTCTAACATAAAAAAATAGCATAAAATATTTTTTTTTTAAAATATAAAATAAAATTTATATTGTTTCATGATATCATAAATCATTCATCGTTACAAAATTTTAATTAAATAATTATAACAATAATATATAAATATAATAAATTTTTTTATATAAGTTATAAAATTTAAATTAAAGGCCTAATAATTTTTTATTTATGTATTTATTTATATTTATTAAATTAAATTTATATAATAAATTATTTATTTATAATTATAATTTAAAATTATTAATAAAAATTTACTATATAAGTATTAAAGCATGATATCATATTTTTTTTAAATAACTTAACAGAATAATATATAAAAAATAAAGTTGTATTTATTTAACTAATAGATAAAATTTTAAAAATCTGTTTTCAATACCAATATATATATATATATATATATATATATATAATATTATATGTTAATATTTAAAAATAAAAATATATTAAATTTTTTATATATAAATAAAATTATCATAAAAATTTTTGTAAACAAAAATTAATAATAATATAATATATATTCTGAGATAAAAGTTTTCTTTTTGATAAAAAAAAATTTAGAATTGAGTTTTTTAAAATGATTTAATTATCTTATATTTTTATAACTTCACAGAATTAATATTGATTGACATTCTAAATAAATAAAATTTATTTAATAATTAAATATAATAATATTATTTTATTTGGATCATAAAGTTAAAAGAATAAATTTATTAATTTTTTAATATAATTTTTTTATTTTTAAAAATAATTAATATGAACTATTTATTATTTATCATTTATCATTTTAATTAAGAATCAATAAAAATAAATATATTTATAAAGTAATTTAATGATAAAATAATATTTTAAAAAATATATTAAAAGAAAAAATATTAATTTAAATAAAATTTAAAAAATAAATTTAAAATGCTATATAAAAAGAAACGTGTAGATTGAATTAAAAATAAATAAAAAATATATATTGTTATTAGTTCTGTAATTATTTTAAAGATATATAAATATATTAAAATATTATATTACTCTTTAAATAATATATGTGTTCTAACTATTTTAACGTAAATCGAGCGAATGTAAGATTTTAATTTTGTTTTCATATATATTTTTTATGTATTTGTCTAATACATTAGCTAGTTCTACAAAAAGATATTAATATTCAGTGAACTTGATTTAAATATTTTTCAGAATTAAAAACTATATAATTTTAAGAATATAACATAATAAATAATTATATTAATAAGCAAAATATTTGTATTGATATTACATTTTTATATATAATATTTGTTTCTAGATTTATATCTTAGAAACTAATTGTAAGTTTACAAAATAACTGAATTTTTCTATTAGATAGTACTATTCTTTGTATTTGTAATCGAATGCTATAAAAAAAAATTAAATTAAAAATTTTAAACTCTAAACTTATATCGAAATTTTGAATAATCATATAATTAGAATATGAAATTTTAATAAATAAATATAATTTAATATGGTAATATAAAAAATATTTTTATAATATTTTAAATACTAACCTCTATTTTTCTCATATTAAAAGTATTTTGATAGTTATAAAGATTTATATTTCATACTCTTTAAATTTTAAAAGTATGTAGAAAGAAATGTTCATTAACTTTTAAAATAAATGATATATACAAAAATTAAATATTACATTTGAACTTAATTTAGAGTTAAAACGTTATTTTATTTTTTACTTATTTATTCATTATGATATAAAATTATTAAATATAGAAATAAAACGATTAAATCATATTATTTTTATTGTTATAATATTTAATAATATTTAATTTATTTTAATTATTATAGATAATTAGTTTTAATTGAAGAATTTTGAATTTATTATCATCATTATAACAATTTATAAACAAAAAATATTGCAACAAAATCATTAAGTATAAATATTGTTTATTATTTAATTTAAAAAATTAAAATTGTCATCATAATTATTATAATATAAAATATAAATAAAATGATATTATGTTAATAGTTTATACATAATTATGATATATTAATTTCTATTAATTTTTTTTTAAAAAAAACTAAAATAATTGAAGAAGAGAAAAAAAAAGTAATTAAATAATTTTTAATTAAAATTTAGGTAGAAACTAAAAGAGAAAAATGATTATATTTAATATAAAATTTAATCTTTATATCAATTAAAATTATAAATGTTGATATAATATAAAATTTATAAATCACATATCAGATTTGTATAAGAACAAAGTCAATAATATATATATATATATATATATATATAATAATAAGGTAAGAGAGATATATATAATAAAATAACAAAATTATTTTATAAACGACTTAAATATTTTGTGACATTTTACTTTTCAAATTCTACACATTATTAAAAGAATTTATATAATACCGTAATAAAAATTGTTCAATCTTCTAGATCTTCTATTTTTGTCTTTTGTTCACTATTTTTTGTTTCGTCTTCCTCAAGTTGTAACTTAAAAGAAAATATTAAATATAAATTATTGTATGATCTAAGAAATTTGAATAATACATTATAAATTTATAATTTACACATTAATTTTTATTTATTTTTTGGTAAATTTGGTATTTCCATGGTTTGAGATATATGTGAATAACTTATTGCCAAGTTATTTTCTTTTGTTTTTGTATTATCTAAACCTTCTTCATTCTTAATCTGTATATATCAAACAATAAAAATAAAGTTATTCATCATTGTATTATAAACATTATAAATGAAAGTAAAGAAACTCAAATTTAATCTCCTATATTACCTTCACTGTCGGCTTCACAATTTTATTTATAGTGAAATATTGTCTTCCACAAATTTCAAAATAAGTACTCATTTTTATTTAAAAAATATGTGAAATGTCAATAATTTTTAAAAGTTGTGGAGGCTATTTCAACCCTTCACCATCACCATTAAAAGAATATCACATAAAAACAGTTATATGTTTTAATATATTTTATTTATATAATCAATCATTTTATTAAAATTTTCAATAAGTTTGTACTTAACACATTTGCTTATAATTTCAGATATTGGAATAAGATATTTTAACTTTACTTGTGTTAATTGTTTAACTTCATATAATAAAACAAATATAGTTAAATCCGTAAAATCTTTAACATCAAGCTCAAGACAAAATATGTAATGTATATAAATTAAGATGATAATATATAAGTTATTTTATTCTGATATAAAAATTTAAAAATTAGAATACATAGTGATGAATTAATTACCTTGTCATTAGATACTTAACGTCTTTATGACATGATTCACATTTAAAATTTGTAGTTGTGAAAGAAACTTTTTTCCTGCAATGGAAGCAATAAATACAATACTAATCATTTTTAAGCAATATATCATTCACGGTTGCAATACAACCAATTACAGTATTTTAAAAATTAATTAAAAAGTTAATTTAAAAATTAAATAAGAAGAACAGAGTATACAAGAAATTAAATTTAACATATCATTATTTGATTTTACAATTGTCAAAAATTTATTAAAATTCCTACAATAAAGTGATAATGAATAATTGAAAATGTGATTCAGATAAAAAAAAATAAAGAACTAACAATAATTAACGTAATAGAAAATTTTTAAATAATTTCAATACGTGACTGAATCTATAAAATGAGTAATTTATGATATGTCAACATTGACACAAATTTTTGTTGATCTTGATGTAAAAATAAAAATATTACCTATAATGCATACATTTATATTTTTATAATTAAATATGAAGCATGTATATATATATATATATATATATATATATATGTTCTAAATAAAATATTTTAAAAATATAATAATACAATTACCTTGAAATTCTTTTACAATAATGGATGTGAATATTGCAATATTGATTTTGAATCCTTAGATACATTGTCTTTTATTATTTCTTCAAAAAGTGCAATACAATCATTTCACGTTACTTTTACTCTATTTTTCTTGTAAATAATTTAACCAAAATTATAATATTTTTCAATTAATAATAACTTTAAAATAATTATTCATATCTCATGTGGCATTAACTTTGCTTTAAGCAGTTATCTTTTGTTCAACAAAACTACTCTGCATGACCACTCTAATCATATCTATTTATAAAATAAATAATTTTAAAAAAGTAATTGATAAATTAAATACAAATTATATAACAAATTTTAATAAAGTTTTATCATAAAATACCTATTAAGACATTATTTTTACAACGACTTTTTAGATTTTCAAGTTTACAAACTCAAAGATATGGACATGAATTATGTTATTATCATTTAATTTTTTAATAACAGTTGTGGCATGGAATTGTAACATGAAATGATTATTTTCAACTACAACAGATCTATCTTTATTCTCTGTTACTGAAAATTTTGTTATGAAGTATAATTTTTCTTCCTTTAATATACGTTTGAACTTATAAAAAATACCCCGTCCCATAGAAATATGTATGTAATTGTTATATAGAAAAGAAAAACTGATCAATTAAAAAATTTAAAAATAAATTAAGTTAGTTATTATAGAACAACATAATTATAATTTATTAAAAATAATAAATTTTTAATAAAAAAAATAAAATATAATTAGTACCGTATTAATATTAATTAATTCTTTTTATGATATATTTAATGTATCTCATAGTCGTGATATTTACACTTTTATTTTTTAATAATCTGTTGTTAAATTCAAATCATTAAGAAAAGTCCATTTCTTTTCGTTGAAACTTATTGTTCTCCTACAAAAGCATAGAAAACATAAAAGTAAATAATTACTTGTGATAAATATAAGAAAATAATAATAGATTTGATATAACTTAATCAGTTAAAAATAAAATTCAATACACAATATTATCTAAAAATAATACAGCTCTATGCTTACTCAAAAAAAAAATTGAAATATATAACATAATTTAGTGAAACAATAAAAAATATAAAACTCAAAAACACATGTACTTATGTGGATAGGTAATTATTGACTGCTAATATAATTACAAAATACAAATAAAAAATGATAATAGAAAGAACGACGAGGAAGTTTTCAAAAGTTGTTTAAACATAACTTATATAAGTAGCAAAGACCTACTTGGAGATATATAAAAAGTCAAAAAAAAATAAAAAATTAATAAAATAAAAATTATATTTTCATTTGTATTATAGTTTACTTATCTTTTTATTAAAAATTTAATTTAACAATATACAATATAAAACAATAATTGACATTCAAATGTTAAATTGAAGTAAAAATAAATATATATATTTTTATTTTTTAATTTAAAAATAACTTAATAACTTCATCAAATTTTTTCAAAAATATTTTTATACAATTTAATTAATATTTTTTTCCTATTTTTAATATTTGACATAGAAAATCTTTAAATTATTTTATTTATAAAAAATGTTAATAGTTTTTTATTAAATATTATTTATAGTAATTTTGTTATTGTCATTTTTAACAATATATAATTATTAATTCTAATAATTTTTTCTAAATACAATTCAAAGATAATAAGTATGAATTAATTATAATAATAATTCTAAAATTATTTAAATTATTATAATTAATTTTAATAATTTTTTATTTAATATAATTTGAAATTATTTTATCTTATGTTATATATAGTATTTTTATATGTAACTTTGTCTTTTTATTAAAAATATAATTTAATAATAGATAATATAAACTAATAATTTTGTAAGTGTAATTTTTTATTTTAAAATAAATTTTACTTTTTAAAATATATATTAAACTATATATTATATTAAATTAATTAATAAAATAATTTAAATATGTAAACTTGTTTTTTCATTATAAACTTAAAATTAACAATATATAATATAAACTAATAATTTTATAAATATAAATTTTTTATTTAAATTACATTTTAGTATTATATATAAATATTAAAATATAAATTATATTAAAATAATTAATAAAATAATTTAAATATGTAAATTTATCTTTTTATTAAAAATTTAATTTAATAATATATAATATAAACTAATAATTTTATAAACGTAGTTTTTTAATATAAATTACATTTTATTATTTAAAGTAAATAATGAAATATAAATTATATTAAACTAATTAATAAAATAATTTAAATATATAAAAAATAATTAAAAATTTAATTTAATAATATATAATTTAAATTACATTTTAGTGTTTGAAGTACATATTAAAATATAAATTATATCAAATTAATTAATTAAATAATCTAAATTAATATCATTTAAATTTAAACATAACTTAAAGTAAAGATACAATTTTATTTTTGATTAAAAGGTAACTAAAAAATGTATATATAGTTTTTATTCTAAATTTTTTATATAATATAACCATCAATTATAACAAATTTCTTAAATATGTTTCATAATAAGTATAAAGCAAATATAATTTTAATTTGTAAATTATAAAAAATATTATAATTATTTTTAATAAATGGTAATTTAAAGTAATTTATAGTATGAACATTTTTGTTGTTCTTTGTAATATAATATAATCATTAATTCTAATAAACATTCTTTAAATACAATTTAAAGATAATAAGTATAAAGAAAATATAATTTTAATTCGTAAGTTATACTTTTCAAATTTTAATGCATAAAGAAATAAGTAAATGCAGTTAATAAGAGTGATTGCATAGGGTTTGAATTTTAATGCATAGAGTAATAAGTAAGTGCAGTCAATAAAAGTAATTTTATATATTTAAATTTTAATGTATAGAGTAATAAGTAGGTAGAGTCACGTATATAAAAATGACTATAAACATTTCAAAATTTAATACATAGAGTAATAATAGGTGCAATCAATTTTATATAGATATATAATTTAATGTATAGAATAATAAATAGATGTTGTCAATTTTATACAGATAGATTATGAAAACTAAACTTGTATTTGCTCTTAAATATGATTAAAAGTATAATAAAGTTTATTTCATCTAAAATTGTTTTTGTTATTAATTACTTGATTATTAATGGTACGAAAACTTTAATTATTAGGGATTGTTTAACCTTATCGAGTTTCTTTTCTAAAGTTGACCACACTTTTAAATAGAACTATAGCTCTTTAAACAACCCAACACGAGTTTTAGTTTCTGGTTTGATTCACACGAGGAAGTAGAAACTTCAATTGTTGAATGTTTCCAGCATTGCTCCTGGGTTCTTAAAATATGATAATAAAAAATGTAATCATTGCCATATAAACTATAAATTACTCAGATTAGGTTGTGGTTGTTTTATAAGCTTAATTATATTGGGTTATTGGGCATGAGCCTAGAGGACAATTTCGTAAGCTTTGTGCTGGTCGTTGATTAACTTATTTGTAAATAAATAAAAAAAGTCATATTCAGCTTTCGCTTGTCTACAATAATTGAATGTGCTTTTTTTTATTAACGTTCTGAAAAGCATGTCACATTTTTAAAAAAGTTGCGCAAGTAAATCATTTAAAAGATATTTCTGTTCGATTTTTCATATGTTTAGACTACATGAGAGAGCGAACATTTGTATAATTCTATTTGTCATAGTTAAACAATTGTTTCTCCAAAAACAATTTCAACCAAATGCACAGTAAAATAACTGTGTTGAAGTTTGTTCTATTAGATTATGATTCAAGGGAGTAATTAGTCAATCGATCACGTATTATTATTTAATTTTTAAAAATTAAAATTTACAATTAACGAACTAAACAAAACACTAGGATTAACTTAGATGGAGTCATATATGTTATATACTGTTAAATTCATCAATCTCCAAACAAGTATAAATACACCAACCTGTTGACGTCAAGCCTGTTCAACACTATGGTTTAGTGGCATTATCCAAATTCAGCTATATTGTACAACTTGTTCTTGCATTACTATTTTTAAAAAATTGTACAAAATCATGTTACTATTTTTGTACGAATTCATATGCAATTCGATTTAATTCTTCACAGACAGTTTTTATGATTTTTTCGATTAAACAAGTATAGAGACAAATTTTGGGTAAGCCATGTGGAAGGAAAGCTTTCAATCAAGAAAAAATCACACAAAAGGAAGAGACAAATTCTAGCAGCATATTCAAAATATCCCTTAATCTACACAAGAAAATTACAACAGTATTCCTTACTACATAGTACAAGAAAAGAATCACCTTGCTTCCAGATCCGTTTAACTAAATTTACTGGAAGAAGCCAAACAAAACCATGATTAAGACAACGACGTATTTTGTCTCTTCACTTCTGGCTGAAATGATATCAACACTCTTGAAGTCTCTTTCTGATAGTCAGGTTCAACCAAATTAATCGCGAATTCAAGCCTAATCATATAGCACAAACACCCAACTTTTCAGTTCTTAACGTGTATAATTCAATCTTTATATTTAATATAAGACAAAACTTGAACTTCTTATATTTTTACTAACAAATTTCCAAATCAAACAATGACGTGTGGCTTTATTTTTAAATTCCGCAGTATGTTTTACCGGATTCTATTTCAATGTTTGACTTGAAAATTTTATAGAAATAATGTAATGAACTTTAAGTTTATTCTATTGATATTAGGTACGTGAATAGGTGAATTGACCTGACTTTTATATGTATAGCAGTAGTTCATTAGGAAAATTATTTGGAGACGTCTATTTTTTTTTAATGTAAAGTGGGTGAGATAAGAGAGAGAAAACCAAAAAAGAAAACAAATGATACACTGCAGTGAGAAGTGTGTTAGCCAATAGCTAACCCTTAACCATGCACAAATAGATTTTCTCATAGGGGAGGGCAATGAAACAATCCTTATTTATTACATGGAGAAAATTATCATCCTGGTGGTCAACTAGGCATTGACCAGCATTCCTGAACGCTATTGTCCTACCCTGAATTTACAAGCTTTCTTCACACAGACTCTGGAATTGAATAAACACCCAACATAAATTACATATATATCAAACAAATGCGTCACTGCAATGAGAAAAGTGTTAGCCAGTAGCTAACACTCAACTGCCAACAGTGTCGAACAACTGGGAGGGTCAGCTACCCTTATTTTTTACTTGGAGAGGAAGGATCTCTCCGTTGGTCAACTAGACATTGACCAACATTCATCAACGCTGCTATTGTCCCACCTGAATTTACAAGCTTTTTTACACCAACTCCAGAATATTGCCTTTGTCTGCTACCCACTGCACACTAAATAAATCACTGACTGCTACAAAAGCCTAAAAATCCCATGAACTCGTGGTTGTGGATCATTTTAATGCTCTTCTCAATGCCAACAACACCTGAGAGAAAAGGGTTACATTTGTTACATGTATTACTGTAGAACTTGAGTGCACAAACCGTTATATTATAAATCAGTAAATGAATTTAATTTGCTTTACCCATGGTGAGAGCGCTAGCAAAAATGACCCCTGAGAGGATGAATACAATGATTGAAGCCCTTTTAAGAATTGCCATCAATTTTCTCACAAAAAACTGTCCCCAGAAGCCAGCCAAAACAGACACTGTGGTGAGGTATAACGCTGCAAAAGAAATACGACAAGCAGCTCTAGATGTTATCATCAGACACAACATATCACATTACTACAGTTTATTCTATTTTAAATTTTAATCATGCACTGAATCCGTTGAAACTACAGGATGTAGGCAGAATGAAGAGGAAGTGAAAAATGGATGGTTTATAGACAAATATGATACACTGTAGAATCATAAAAATTACCATAAGGAATGGGGAACCTCTTGAGAAGGTAGAATTCCACCACAGATAAAGATGATGAAAACATCATAACAAATGTTGCTGTGGCACTAGCAACCTACAATTTAAACAAAAAACACATCCTCGGAAGTTAAGTTGCTTAAATTTTTATGTCAAACAAAAAATGCGTCATTCATATACACTCTACCTGGGGGATGACACCAATCTCAATGAGAAGAGGCCCCAAAATGAACCCACCTCCAGAACCAAGTAGGCCTCCAACAGTTCCCCCTAAGATGCCACAAAGTGCACAAAATAAAATGTGTAAAGCAGTCCATTCAATTGAAGCCTCGCAGATGGATTCCGGGTTCCCTGTGCTTATTCTCTTTTTGTGATCCTTGTACAATCTCACTGCTTCACAGCTAAACACCACAAGTGCAATAGGATACTGAAATAAAAAGAAAAAAGGTGCAAGCAAATAAGTTTGACCCCACTTCATAATAGGTTAACTAACAAATTGTGCTTATGTAGTTGTCGTTACCATCATACCTGTAAGCAGAAAAGCACCCAATACCATACACTGCAAACCTCTACATCATTCTGCACACCGACAACAATAAATTTAAAAACAAAGAAATAAAGAGTGAACAAACTTTTGATGTGAATGGGAAAGAGAGAAAGAGGGCTTGCCTTGACGACTTGAAGTAATAGGAAAGAAACCCACACGGCCATTAGCACCAAAATCCTTTTCCACTTAAGGTTGAAACAAAGAACTTGCTGAGGGGTTTGAGGGACAAAAAAACAAAACAAAAAGTCAGTTTTCTACTCACCTACTACGATGCAATGATAATTTTAGAATTGTAGTGATGAGTTTGCATACCATAGGTGACTTCTCTTCTTTAGGAATCAATGGCTCATATTCTGTGTCGATTAGAACTGCATATTTCATGAAATATTATAGGTACTATATATCAATAACAAAATCAAAGAAATAAAGTCATTATAACCATATACACGAGGTGCGCTTTAAAGAAGAGAAATTAAAATTACTCTTATTTCCAAATTTTTATAGTTTTTATTTTTTGATTAATTTGAAAAGAACATTATTTTAAATATTTTTATGTCTGAATTATTATACAACCAAAATGATGGCTGTGGAAAAGTACAATCCGCTTCTTACGTTCGCCATGAGAATTAACAAAAGTCGCTTGTTGCTTGGCCATTTCTTTCTGCAAACAGCAAACACAAAAAATAGAGAGATAAAGCCTACGACATTGAGTTAAATTGTGTTTCATAATCTTAAGGCGTGAAATTTTTACCTTAAGAATAGTCTCTTCCCTCCACATCTCAGTTCCCTTAAAGAAAGACCTTGAGGAGGTGCCTATAAAAAATAAGTGATTCATTCAAAGCATGAATGGTTTAATTTGGTTTGCAACTAAAGTTTTATACCAACAGAGATGACAGACCTATGAAGAGAATAATGGTGAGGACAGTGATAAGCCAGTAGGGGAAGACAACACTGAGGGCAACACCAACAGTGATACCAAGCATGAGCATGGGCTGAAAAAGAAGAGCCAGATCATAGTCTAATATAGGAACCTCTTTGGTTGGATGAGGCACTCTAAGGTTATACCAAACGGATGATGCTGATGCCCCCATTATCATACCTGCAACAAGTCAATAACTATTGATCACAAAACAAAGCAACAACTTCCAATGTTCTCTTCTCTTCCATATTATTATTTACATATACAAAACCAAGGCCATGCATAGCCAAGAGAAGAATAGAACTACATTTAGAAAGAGCAGCAGCAGACTTGGTATCAAAACCAATAATGAGAGTGAGCATGGGAACGAAAATGCCTCCACCACCAACCCCACCAACGGTTCCAAAAGCAGATCCCAGAAACCCAATCGCGGTGGCCAACGCAAGTCTCCAACTCACCTCCAATTCCTGCACCCCAACAAACCAAGCATTAATCTTTTTTCACCCCATCAACGATTCATTCACGATAAAGATGCTAAACATGACAGAGAAGGAGGGGTGACATACGGGCCAAACTTCATCGAATCCATAATGGCCATGGGAATTAGGAAAAAGTGACACGGAATGTTTGTAGTACTGGTTGGTTTTGGTGAGGAACAGCGCACAGAGAACCGCAACAGAGAAACCGGATACGATGTAGACGATGAATCCTTTGGTGGACATGGCTTACGAGTGGCGGCCAATTGATATTGAGGAACCAAAGAAGAATGAATATAAACCTTAGAAGCAGATACTCACATCACATGTTTCTTCTCCGAACGGACTAATAACTAACACAAGGATGACAAAATCACTATTACTCCTCTTTTACCCTTTTTCTTATAAAAAAATGTTTAATTATTAAATGACTGGGATAGAATCAATTATTTTATGAGTATAATGTTTTGTGAATAATAAAAAAAAGAAATTAACCTACCTCAACAATCTTTTGTTCAAAACATTAAATTAAGATAGAAAAGCTCTCCTGTACTCGAGATGATAACATGTTTAACTCGAATAACACCTGTTAATTAATTTATGTCTTCAGTGGTTATAAAATATAATTTAATAATATATTAAAATAAAATATCAATTTTTTCTATAAAAATATCAAGTAATTTGAAAATAACATAAAATTTTATAACTTAATTTATTTTTAAAAAGTGAAATATAATGACTGGAATTTTTATAAAGAATTATTGATTATATTATGTCACGAATTTTTATACCTATTTTATTTGATTTTGTTGTTATAATTAAAGAAAACATAGAAACTCAAACAATAAGGTTTCAAAAGTGTTACTGGCCGCTGTTAGATTCACAAAATCGTCGCCATATTATAGTGATGATTTTGCGTATAATAATTTTCCTTCTTTGTTGCTTTTCAGTCTATCCTGCTCGTGGGTCATATTAGAGATTCCCAAAGGGTAATGAATCTTCACAGATTCAAAGTTCAATAATGATTATGTTTGAAATTTGAAAAATCACGGGTAACATTCATATTTTTATTTTATTTTTGTGAAAGATTGAAAAGAGTTGTTGATTATAATTTTGATTCATACCTTTTGACATTATTTTGGTTTTAGGTCGTCAATAATACAGCTAACTAGATTCTTTAATTATCGTCAGCTAATTTTCATATTTAAGATCTTTTGTATTTTTACTTATGTTTAAATATATTATTTAAAATAATTAAAAAGTTTCTTACTATATCTTTATTTAATATTGTGAATAATTAATTTAACTTACTAATATAATTATATCTTTTATTTGTTATTTTTTTACTTATGAACAAAGTGAATTTGTAATAAATTTAAAAATTAAAATGAATGTAGCACAAATAAATATTTTAATATAACATTTGTTGAAATTTTTAATATGTCTATATATCTTTAAATAATAAAATATAAAATAAGTAACAACAAAATTCACCATAAATCAATCACAAAGAATAAGACCTGGTGTTTAAACTGGTGTCGAAAATAAGACCCAATTTCAAACTGATTACGAGATATAAACTGTTTCATTCTTATCTAATTAAATATTTGGAAAAAATAATAATCATTAATGAAAAGTGGTGTTTAATTAAAAAACATAATTTGATCTTTTATTTAACTAAAAACTAAAAGAATAAATACAAACAATTAAAATTAAATAAACTAAAATCACATATAAAATAAAACATGAAAACTAAAAATACAATTAAACCTAACTATAATCATAACTAAATGCTCGGATATGAATGCGTTTCACGTGATATCACCTGGTGAGTGGTGACAATTATTAACCAGTGAAAACCTGTCAACATTCATTGCGAAATATATCATCTTATATAAATTATTCAATGAACTTTTTTAATTGCTACAAAATGAACACGAATTTTACATGACAGGCACATTATGGCTATTCTTTTGATCGATCAGATTGGTGATCATTGTCATTAAATAATTGATTGTGGATTACTCACTCACAATCATCCCCACAAAAATAGTTGATGATAAGATTTGACTCATATAATTAAAACAGAAAATAAAACCATTAGTTAAAAATATTATTATATACATTATTAACTAAAATCGTTTGATAAGCTAACTTCAATAGTTTCTATTTTTTTTATATAAGAATGTGATTGGAATGTTATTATAATGCTGCATTCGAAACTTTCCCAACTTCAAACTAAAAGTTGTATTTTTTATTAATTTTCAAAAATTTCTTATAAGATTTGAGTATATAAAGTGATAAAATAAAAATTTGTTCTATTAATTAAAAGTTTTTCATGTTTACAATAAATAAATTAATTCAACATGAGCAAATCCTCATTGTTTTCTACTTAAAAGTAAGTTATTTTCTTTAGAAAGAAAGCCGAAGGTGATCCATTAAAATTGGGGGAAACACATTATTACACAACAAACGCATACATAACCTGATATCCCCATCCAATTACACTATTTGAACGGGTCAAATCTACATGGATATAGATATTATGATGGTATCACATTTTCTCCCGACGACGCTCCACATGAACAACTCCTTCATCATCGAAGCGTCCCACATCGCTCATAACCTGCTCTGCTACCTTCAGCGTATCCGCCATCGCTCCTGGCCGAGACTCTTCCACTTCGATCACCATCTTATCTCTACCGCGCCCACCTCCGTAGTCCCTCACTTCCTCTGTTCCACTCACTTTTTCCTGCATGCACAACAATTACATCATCTTAACATAAGATTAATTAATTATTTAATTAATCAATCTAAGAGAATTAAAACTCTTCAAAAACCTTCGTCTTCTCCATTGCTTCCTCTTTCCTGCCAGTGAAGAGACCCATAGCCTTTTTGGCAGCATCAGCAGCAGAATCCTTCAGCTCCCCAAGCTTCCCAACTGCATTGTCCTTTCCTTCTTTCGCCTTCTCAGCTGTGTAGTCCTTGTACTCTCCAGCTTTTTGCACTGTAGCATCTTTAGCTTCCTTAGCCTTATCTGCAGCATAATCCTTGTACTCCCCAGCCTTGTCCATCGTCTTGTCCTTGGTTTCTTTTGCTTTCTGAGATGCATAATCTGCATACTCCTCAGCCTTTTGTTTCGCTGCATCCTTCGTTTCCTTGGTCTTTTCCCAGGTAGAATCATAAACCCCAGGTGGGTTTTCAACCGATCTATCTCTCACTTCCGCACCCTCCTGAGGCTTGCCAACCACAGCTTCCTTGGCTGCTCTAAACATGGACCCTATCACACTGGGTTTTTGCTGTTCATCCTCACGTTGTTCTTGCATTGCACTCTCTCTTGCTCTATTAACGTCTTCAAGATCCTTAGCAGCAAGCTTTGCAGCTGCTTCAGCTCGTGCTTGCTTGAAGTGAGCATCGGAGTGCAGTGTATATCCCTCTTCACGTTCATTTGCTCTGTTGATATCTCCAATGTCTTTCGCAGCAAGCTTCGCGGCTGCTTCAGCTCTGTCTTCCTTGAATTGTTGCCTCGACGCCATTGATCGATTATTCACAAAGTTTCTTTTTCGCCCAACTGTAACTGATTTTTCAAAGAACTGGCTTTTGAATTTCTTATGCGAAAGGTGGTGATGGATATGGATTGGATGTGAAGGAGATAAGGTGGGTGTTTCATGTATATATATCCATTTGAAGCATTGAACATTAAGGAGGATGGGATTAGGGGAGAGTGACACGTGGAGGAGAGATTTATAGTGAAGTGACACGTGGAGGGAAATGGCAGTGGCAGAAAATGTAGGTGTGACGCGTAGCCTCTGGGATGCTCCTCTGTGGTGACATCTATATTTCGAAAAACGACGTGGCACGATTCAGGCTAATTCAGTTCCTTTTGTTTTGTCTGACCGCCACATGAGCATGTCTTGTTTCGCGTTCATAAATAAATTATCTGGATAATTTCCCTCTTATGTTTACATTCATTCCATATTTTAAATATTTGATGATTCATATATAGTTATTTATGACTGTTTTCGTATAAATTGTTTTATAGTAATACTTAATAGCATAACTTGTCCAATAATAGAAAGTATTGTATAAATATATGGTGAGGGAAGTTTAGTGTATTATGGGTTTATAGAATTTAATTTTTATGAAGATATACTTACTTTATACTGACTAATAAATACGTAAAAAGTATCTAGGGCTCGAGTTTGAATAATCTTTTTTCATTTAATGAATGATGGGATTGAAAACATATTAAATTAATATTTTACGTAGAAAGACATGGGATTTGAACGGAAACTGACCAAGTAATACGAATATTGTTATTCGGGTAGAAGTTTTAATTATGTAATGCACGCTGGTGAAAATTTTTATTTGAACGTTTTTTATGAATGTGCCCATTATACACGTTGAGTCTAAACAAAAGCATTTGTTAATTATACTCTTAAACTATGATGGGATTCACATTTGAAAATCGCATGTTAAAGCTCAACTCAGTTAGACGCAAATTGACTCTGCCAAAAACAAAACATAAACGAAAGTTACACATTTTATAATCATTCACCCATAGCCATCGTTACACATTCCTTAGACAAATGTATGGGATCCAGTCTATTCAACATTACTTCTCAACTTCACTACGATCTTTTTCTTTTTTTAACAATTTTATGTTCTGTAAGATAAGCAAATATCTTTGTGTAATGAATTTTGAACAATTTAATTAGATCATGGAAGATAAGTAATATGATATTTTGTCTAATAAGTAATAAAATATAATGGACATGGCATCGAACATGGGAAAGTAGAATTTTATTTTAACTTATGACAATTTTTTACACGACAGGAAAAAAATACACCATTTTACATTGCGAATCTGAAAAACTTTGTTAATCGTGGTAATAATATACGAGCTATTGATCATCGTGAAGTCTGAAGTTCAATCTTCTAAGCCACACAGAATGAAGGATCATATGGAACACGTCGTATCTCTTAGGAGGAGAGTGTACCTCAAAGTGCCTCCTAACTTGTCCAACTCTTCTTTGCATTCTTATATACTGCCTTGGAGAAATACTCATCAGAATTTCCTTCAAGTAAGGAATATCCTTCACTGATACCTCAACGGAAAATGACTTCCAATTCAAAACATCATTGAATGGAGGAACATAATGATCTGAAATGAGCACTGGGACACACCCTGTGTATATTGCCTCCACCACTCTTGGGCTTGCTACCTCATACCCACTGGGACAAAGGCAAAACTTGCTCTTTCTCAACATTTCATAGTAGGACACACCCTTTGGAAGGTACTTGTGAACTTGGATGTCATTGTCTTTGTTTTCCCAGTGTTCAAGAAGAACAGGCCTAATTGGGCCATGAAGCCCACCAGCAAAGAAGGCCAAGACTGAACGTCTAGATGCTGATGGCCCACCAATCAAACCATTTATTGAACCCGTTTGGAGATTAATTTCTGGCAAAGATACATCCTTTGAAGGTTTGAATCCCTCAGAGGTGTTAGCATTGCACAGCACACGAATCGAATTCTTGTGCAAGTTGTCAACGGAAAGTGAAGCCTCTGGCCCCTGAAAGACAAGAAAATAAAAATTGAATATTTGGTACAACAACATTGCGTTATCTATCTTAAATCAACAAAGCATGGATTATGAATAAATAATAGTGTGATCTAATTAATTACCCAATCATGGCAAGCAAGCATGAAATGATCAGCTCCAAGGCTTCGGTTCCAATAGGGATATCTTGCGGCAATGACGTTGACATAATCCGTGACAGTCTTTTTGATGGGGCCAAAGTCATGAGAGTCACGTACATATACAAATTGGACCATCATTGCTACACTAAAAGGTAGGAAATATACATGGGCCTTCTCGGGGTCTCTTGTTCGGAATTGCTCATTCATCTCTATAGTATGGATAAAATTTCCCTCCATTGAGTATATGCTTTTGCAAGGTCCATTGTGAAAAACCGGAGGCTCCCCTTCTTCGTAGACATATACTTTGAAATGTTTCTCCATTTCTAAGTAACTCCTGTCATAGCAATTTCACAAAAATAAGGGAATAATGAATTATATTCAACATTATAGACATGTGATATTGAAAGAATTGGCCAGAGCCTATTCATAGTGATTGTGAATATTACTCTCAGAGAGGTATATTTGATACTAGATATGTTACAGGATAAAAGTTCATCAAAATGAAAATTAAATGAAGCGGTGCATTATTTACCTGTGAAATGCGTTAGCATTGTTATACATTGGTCCAACTGGAACATAGTCTATATCTTGGGTTTGATTCCCGTTTCTTGCTTCTCTAATTGCAGCTCGAGCTTGTAATAGACCAGCTTCGGTTCTATCTAAGATGCTGAATTTTCTTTGCAGCTTCGGTCTCCACGGTGGAACATTAGACTCGTTCACAGGAACCACATTGGGCGAAATATGGGAAACATTTTCTTCATATTTGTTCTGGTAAATAAAATGATGGGTCATCATCACATTTATTTATAACACAAATGGCTAAGATTTTAATTTCGATGATATTAGAATGACATCAGAATTTGCGTAACCTCAGTTGTATTTTCCCCTCCTTATGTGAAGTTGACAAGTACTTTTAACCAACTCTTTCATAATCATTGGTTCATGTGAAGGGGTTAAATGTAGAAAATAAACTAATTCCCCTCTAAAATGAAAACTATCCAAAAATAATGTAAAAGATTACCACGACCAAATATTTGTAATTCTCCCAAAAGTTCAATTTAATGCGGTAGCTTGTAGAAACAAATAGCAAATTGTAAACCAACTAAAATATCTTAAAAGTGAAAAACCCAAGGGCAGGCGAGGGGGTTTCACGTTCATTTGCGTATGCACAAAGTTACCATTCAAAAGGAGCATAGCATAATCAATAAATTTAACTCTGAATTCCTCAAATCCGTAAACAACTCCTAGGATCGCCACGTTATGGCAACAATTACAGGGTAACATCCAAGTTGATACAGCAATTTTCACTATTTCAATTCCCTACATTTCACCGAGTAAAATTGCTTCCAAAACATGAACTATAAAACAAAATATTATATTAAGACAATATAGATATAACAGCAGTGCGTATACCAAAACGGAATGGTCTGTCAAATTTTAATTTTAAATTTCTCATGACAGGAAACGGTGCAAATTTGTCTTCATTTACAATTTCATTCAAGAAAAAAAAATTAAGTGCTGTTTGAACCCGATATTTTCAGGTATCACCCCTTATTCTAAAAATTTTATCATAAAAAAAAAGAGCTTAAAATGAGAACACAAAGAAAGTATGTAACAGGATCTCTCTCCCTTCACTCGGATAATAAAGGAAAGAAAAGCGGTTTAATTAAATTTCTCCATTTTTCTGCAAAATTAAAGAAAAAGGTTAAACATTAAGTCGATATCTAGTCATTATTGGCGTTCTCAAAGAATAGCGCATTTACAAATTAAGAGGGAAATTGAAAGAAAAGCCAATAGCCTGAGTTATGATTTTTTTAATCTGTATATTCTTTTCTTCTTGAACAGAACAATCATCTGATATTTCACGAAATTTCCATCAGAGAGGCTTCCACAGTACTTGTTATTCACCGGTGCTATATTGATTAAAAAAAAAAGAAACAATATTTAAGGATTGAATTAAAGGAAAATAAAAAGCTTACAAATTGTTGAGGTGTTTGTATAGCCTGAACGGAAAATGGTGGTGTAGAAGAGTGATTGAAGTCAGTGTCATCAGAGATAGCTTTCTCTTCCTTGCCGTGAAAATCCACAGCCATCACCACTATCTCTTCTCTCTGTTTCACTTCATCTGGGGCCTCCTTAGTGGTGACAACACCACTGGTTGATGAAGAGGAATTAACAGAGCTCAAAAACAGAGGTGGATTAGCAATGGGGTTAGGACCCAATATAGAAACAAGGCCGGCAACCACAATAAGAGGTATCATGAACAACAAGAGCTTCGTGGAGGAAGATGACTCTGAAGCCCTCCTCCATGCAGAATAACTCCATTTACCAACACCCATTGAAATATCTCGTTAATCTTGCAGCAGAATTCCTGAACAAGGTTAATTTGTGTACTCTACCTAGCTGGTTGCAGAAGTCATGCTTGTGTTTTGTTTACAGAGAATAAAGAAAGAAAGAAAGAAGAGAAGAGAAGAGAGGTTTTAGAAGAGAGTTTTGGTGACATGGGAATAGGATGCTGAGAGGAAGGAGAAATGTTGGTAATAAATTGGTGCCATCTCAGGCCAAGCGTCCTCACACTTTGCCCTCAAAATCCGAGTTTTTGCATGCAACTTTTCGGATTTCCGGTTTTACCCTTCCCTTTTCCTTTTACCTACACCTCATACTTGTGTTTTGTATAATAAATTTGCGCTTTTTTTAAAGATTAGAAAGATAAGGAAAAAAAAAAAAGCTATAAGATGAATGTGAGAAGAGAATGAACAAATATTATAAATCTTAGCATTAATAATGTTTTCCTTTATATTTGTATATTCTATTTAGTTAAATTTTATAATCAATTATTAAAATATATGGTCAACCGATGGACTATAATTAAGTATTGTTAGATTACATTTAAGATTAGTGAATGGTCAAAATAAATGAATGCTAGATGATAGTTACTAGTTGTATCAAGTTAACACATACTAATTTGTTTATAATGTAGCTTTTAATATTTTCATCTTACTGTTGAGAATGATTGACTTTTGTGTTTTAATATGTGATAACGTGTATTGTGACTAAATTTAGATATTATTATTATTATTATTATGTTAAAAAATAAAAATTAATCATTATTGTGTTATATATAATTTTAGAAAAATAAGCGTTTCATATTTTTAAGAAATTAATATAATTGTCTGGTATTGAATGTACATAAAGAAATTTTCAGTGTTTATTATTTAAAAGAAATTAAATAAATATTTACCATCATATCATATAAAAATGATCTTATTTTTAAAATAAAAGTAACATTTTTACACAAATATAAATTAAAATAATTAAGCAATTTTTATTTAAAAATATTTTACATTAAAATATATTTCAATATAATTGTATAAAAGCTGTTAATTTTAAAAGTTGAACATTTTATTTATTTTTTATTATATGAAAAAATTATTAATTAAATATATTTTAAAAACTAAAATCACATTTTTCTATATGATAAATATTTTAATTTAACACAAAATAATAAAAATTTAAATATAAAATTAATAATGGAATAGTTTTCTTTTTCTTTTTCTATCAGTTTTAATACTTTACATTTTAAAGATACTATGACCAAATCATATCAAATTTTAATACTATCTATATAATGTACTATAGTTGTTTTTAAAACTAGATTACTTATATAACTAATACAAATTTTACTCAATATTGATTTTATACATAAATAATATTAATTAAAATAATGTAAAAAATTTATAAATATTTTATCTTTTACTTTGATAATATGAATTTACTACTGCTTTGAATTTTTATTATATTATTTTTTATTTTTTATAGTATTGTTTAAAACATTATATTGTCTATTGTTTATTATTAATTTTTTGATAATATTTTGTATTTTTTATTAGTTTACTAAAAAATATAAATATTTATTAGCAATATATATATATATATATATATATTATTAAATCCATGAAATATATGCACATCATTATGTTCATGTTATTTAACTATTTGACATTAAATTTACCCTTTAATTATTGTTGAGCTATAACTTATTTCATTGTTGAAGACAACGTGACAAATAAATTATTATGCGCTAATATAATATAGTTAGTAAATGTCCATTAACATTCAAACATTTTGAAATTGATTAATCGTAAAATTAATTTAATAATGTTTATTGTAGACTATGAAGTGTTTGATTTAAGAGAATAACGGATAAAGAAAAAATAAAAAAAAAAGGAGGGAAAGAAGAAAAAGTAAACAAATAAATATTTTGATTGACACATAAAAAGGAGGAAATTAAATAATTTTCTTTATCTTTGGTTTGTAAGAAGAAGAAAGAAAAAACAACATTATTTTACTTGTATATCTTTAAAATATTAAATAAATTAAAATAAAATAAAATCACAACTTATTCTATTCATAGGTTTTAATTACTTGTGCTAACTTTATTTAAATGTATAAAAAAATATTAAAATATATCATTATTAAAGTCCAGTTTAAAATAAAATGAAAAACATTTGAATCCATCCTTGTGAACGATAAGTATCAGTTAATCATATGAGAGAAAAAAAAGCAAGAAGACTTTTTGATAAAAAAAAAAAGAGAGTATGAAAATGGAAGTGTTTAGAGTTTGTTTTAAAAAAATGTACGAAAAGGTTATTTCGAATTTTTAATATTTTTTATTTTATAAATTTTAAGCACACTTCCTCTTTTCTCTGAACTCGAGATTTTGTTCGTATTTGTTTCCTTTTATTCTCAAGATATTTAAATTAAATTAAAAATATATATGAATTTTTCTCTCTTTCCACAAAATAACAAGTTAGTGATTTATTTTTCTATTATTATTATTATTATTTATATTTTATCGACGTTAATTTTACAGTGGATAAAAAGGTGTGAAAATTTGGTGCTCCTTATTCAATGGCCCACTTACTTTTTTACTTTATTTCTTCACTTCTTATGTGGAAGCGTGTCTTGGTCCCCCACCTGTCGTTTTGCTACTTCACTTTACCTGCACGTGTCATTTTCACCAGATAATCAGTGAGGAATCATACCATTTTGTTGATATTGGTCATTTTATTTTAATATATAAAGTTTTTAATAAAAATTATCATTATTTTAAACTAATTTTAAAAATAGTTTTAATGTTTTTTATGATTAAATAAGTTTTGAATAAAATATTAAAACATTTTATCTAAATTACGGGTATTCTTATTTAAGTTTAAATTTTAAAATTAAATTAAAATAATCATTCATCAATTGATTTATATGTTTGGTGATTAAAAATATATTATTTAATATAAATAATAATTTTAATATGATTATATTTAATGGGGTGATATTAAATAACGACGGGTGTTAAATTTAATATATGTAGTGACACTTTTAAAATATCTTCATTATAATTAAATTTTATAAATTTATAGGTTAAATTTAAATTTCATCTAAAAGTTTATAAAAATTTAAGCAACGTGTCCCTTCAAGTAAAATTAATTGATTATGCTACAAGATATAAGTTGAGTGTATACAAGTTAATTTTTACAATATATTTTACCTATTTTTCATTCTTATATCACATCAAATACAGTCTTCTTAAAAATTAAAGAACAAAAATAGATACAAAAATATAATATAATTTAGATTAAATACTATTTTTTATTATATTTATAAAAATAAATAGTTTATTTTTTAAGATTAAAAAATATAGTTATATACAGATTGAATCGGGGGCAAAATGGCAATATAGTGGTTTATAAGTAACTCTAATGCATGCCGCTCCATTTATTTCATCAACGGGAGTTATATACAATTTCTTCAATAACTTCACCGTTAGATGCATATTGGATCGGGGTCCAACTTTATTTTATTAAAAATATCTCCCAAAATGCTATTTATTTAAGTGGATTTCCCCCCCTCAAAATACGAACTAAAGCATGTGCACACCTCAGCATCTTGATTTAAATATTCTACATCATTTATATATAAAAAGACATTAATGAAGCTACTTAATTTGTCATCTGATAACATATCATCTTCCAAATAAGTTTACTAGAGAATATTACGGAACCTTATTATTGATGCCAAAGAAAGCATGAAATCAAAATTAATATAAAATTAGAAGGTTTATAATTTCTTCACCGTTACAGCCTTTACTATGGTGTTAAATGTACTAAATAATGGTTCGTGTGAAGAAAGCATTTAATTGTTTATTTATGGTTTTAAAGAAAGCAAAGTTTTTGCGGTGTGGCGGCGAATCCAAGATGTCCAAAATAGTGTGTGATTCAATTCATTAATCCACTCCTTAACGCAACGGCACCGCTGCAGAGTTGTCGTCAGCTCTCTTAAAACCTGCGTTCCTCAATATTGATGGGGTTGCCATCATTGCCCAAATTCATTAGTGTCTTCCGAAAAATAGAAATATTAAAATACATTAAAAATTATTAAGTTAAATCTATAAATAATTATTTCTATTTTATTTTTCATATTTGCTATATCCTCGTAACGAGAAAGAGAACCACATGCGAGCCAATTACGCCCAAAATTACATGTCATGCGTGGCGTGGAGGTTGCTCTGAAATCGATAGACGCCATTTTGTCCGTTGACCCTCCATATTAATTATTAAATGTATAAACATAGTTATGTAGATTCTCAAACAAACAAATCAAAAGATTGGATATTTGGCAAATCGTTACACCAGATCTTCTAAGCAGCAAGCAGATAATTACCCTGTCTTTCACTTATAATTGTTGTTAATAAACATCGTTCAGCTAAGATCTTCTTTGATGGGTCATGTGTTCACAAGTGGATGAAAAATGAAACATTTTATCGTTATAGTTTAGATATTTCTTTGAGTCATCTAGTTAACTTAAATACCAGTTGATTGGGTTATAAATAATCAATCATTCGTTAATCATTTACTAATATATAAATTACAAAATACTATTATGTCATATTTTTTATATTTTCAATCACTTAATCCCTCCTCGCCTTTTCTCCCCTCTCTGTGAGCTTTTCTAACATTACTCACATTTTCAAATTAAAATCTAAAAGCAAAAGATGAATCTATAATCACTTTTACACGTGAACAACCACTTGAATCGATACTTAGATAATATTTATAAATTTACATTTAACTTAATGTTATTAGTTATAACGTTTATTTTGAATTTACGTTTATAAATTTTTTGACGTGTTTCTAGTTATGTACGCAGACAAAATTGCACAACAAAAATTAAAACATATTTTATATTTACAAGAGAAAAAGCTGGGACCTTTATCAGACGTACGAATGAAGATTAAGAAGGAGAGAAAGAAAAAGTAACATATTTTCATATACTTCTGTTCCTTCCGTGGATAAGTTTCTGCACACTGCACAGAACGAATAAATACCCCAAAAATGTAAACATGGTGCAAACAAAAATTAATAAAAAATGATGATACCTAAAAGTTGTCTTACTATGTAATGTGTCAAACTAAATTTGGATAATTTTCTTTACAGCAGCACTTAACCACACCGGGATTGTAATGTGGCGAATATTTTGATTTGCCCATTTCTTTATCAGCATTGAACAAATAACGTATTTAGGCAAACGATTAGAGGCTTAATTTATTAAACTTGTGTTAAATTTATTTTTAAAATAAAGTGATCTATGCTTCTTTTTTTCGGTCAAGAACTGATTTATGTTTAAAATGTTTTATTTTACACTTGGGGAGGCTTCACCACCATTTTACATTGGGTTGCTACTTGGTCCATTTGAATGAAGGGTTTGGGCTTAGAATTCTAAATTTCCACATATCTCTTTCTCTGACATCAAGCCCGAATCCGAATCAGGGCCAACCCTCCCCCACTTTTATCCATTTGGTTTGGGCTCCAGTTGCTTAAAAAGACCCAGCAGAGTTGGCAAAATACAGAACTGTATCCGTTGATAGGTGGTGAAGGTTGTTCACCAATATATACAACCATGTGTGTGTGTGTCCCCAGTATCTTTCAGAGTTGAAGACCACTGATTATCTTAACTCATCAACAATATACAGAAACGGACCGTTTGTAGTAACAGTGCACGGGGACGAAATCATTGAGGGAATGATCGTCAATTTTATTATGTATAGAGTTGAATTTGAATTCAGAATTCCTTCATTATTGATATGTAGTGTCGTACAGGTAAATTTAAGCTTTATACTGAATCTACGGAAACAAATTACTACAATTACATTACCGAAGCTATACATGTGAAAAATGCCATGTAAGGAGCATCTGCCTTCCACTTCCACTTCCTCTCTCTGTTTTACTTAATACTTATTTTCCCTTATCCGAGATTGGTGCCATGAAACTAGTAAAATCTATGAAAAATCTTTCGTACTACACGTATGTAACATTGCTATCCTATAACTTACAAAATCATTCGGCAAGCATCATTGATATGAATGAGGATGATCAGTTAGATCAACCAAGTGTCTCTGCATGAGCACTTGCCATTGGAGAAACAATGAAATCCAGAAGAATCTCTGAGAAAAATATCCCTCTTCGTGACAATAGATGCATATTTTACGAATGTATGGCAGTCCCCACAAAGAAGGACATTCTTTACAATCCGAATGGGCTTTCCCGGCTTGGTCATCAGTATTCCATAAGTTGCTGCCAGTTTTGAACTGTGATAGAACAGAAAATTTTTCTTTTGATGCTCCTCTACTTCATGGAGAACAAAACTCGTGTCTGGTTCGTATCCAATTTTTTGGCATTCCAAGATCAGAATCTCCAATCCACTATATATGTCTTTCTCTTGTGGATGTGATCGATCTCGAGCATAAAATGTATGTATTTTCTTCTGACAAACGATCCAACTTTGAGCTGGGAGTTTGCGAAATCCCTTTTCTCTCATACTTTCCCTGACCATTTCAGAGCGGTCCCATCTCCCAGAAGCAGAATGCAGGTTTGAAACAAGTATAAAGGTAGAAGGATCGTTAGGTTCCAGGGCAAGAATACTCTTAGTAGCCCATTTTCCAATCATTGTATTCTTATGTAGCCTACAACCATCAAGCAAAGCGCGCCAAACAAAAGCAGAAGGCTGAAAAGGCATTTTATTGATAGTTTCTAGTGCTTCTTCCAGTAGACCCCAGTGTCCCAAAACACTGATGAAGGAGGAATAGTGCTCAGATGTGGGCTCAATTTGAAAAACACTTCTCATTGAATTAAACAAACGACGACAGTCATCAACCAAATTTGAGTTAGTGTGCCTGTAAGTTGAAATTACCAAAACAAATGTAACTTGGTCAGGTTTTATGCCCTCCTCCTGCATTTTCAACCATGTTTCCAGTGCTCTGTCCCCCTGTCTGTGCAGAAGATTTCCAGAAATCAAAGTATTCCAAGAAACTATATCGGGAGAAAGCATATCACTAAATATCTTCATTGCATCTTCAACATTCCCACACTTGAAATACATGCTAACAACTGCATTCCCTACTTCCAAATTAGACTGTAAGCCAAATTTAAGAACATGGCAGTGGATTTGCTTACCCACATCAAGATGTCCGACAGTTCCACAAAGACCGAGCATTGAAACCGATGCAACTTCATCCATAATCACTTTCCCATCCGATTGACCAAGGTGAAAAAGAGAAATTGCCTCTTCTGGTTTCCCATTTCGAGCATACCCACATATCATGGATGTCCAAGCTACGGACCTAAATTCCTCCAACTCCCATCTGCAAAACATCTTCTTTGCATCCGCCATCCTCCCACACCTCGTGTACATGTCAAGCAAAGCAGTTTCAATGCAAGCATTTGATCCAAAACCAAACTTGATAGCAAATCCATGAATCTGCTTGCTGACCCAATAGTCAGCAAGCAAGCCACAAGCATTAACACCACTAGTCAAAGAGAAATTCGTTAACTCCAAGCCCTCTTCCACCATTTTTATAAACAAATCCATAGCCTTTAAACCTTGGCCATTTCTACAAAAACCAGACAAAAGAGCATTATACGACACAGAATTCTTTTCAGGCATGTCATCAAACACCTTCAAAGCTAAATCCACCAACCCAAACTCCATATACACCGTGATCATCTCCGTCCAAGTTATAACATCCCTCGTACTCATCCTCTGAAACAACCACACCACATCATCAAGAGTTCCACACTTAGCATAGTACCCAATAAGAGCATTCCCAACGTTCAATTCAGCGTCCAACCCAACCTTAACAGCATGCGCGTGGACTTGCTGGCCTTCCAACACCGAAACACTTGCAGCACACGCAGTCAAAAGTATCGACAACGTGAAATAATCCACTCGAAACGCATCACTGGCTTGCATGTCACGAAACAACTGAAACGCAGCGTCGTACGTAAGCTCCTGCAGCGCACCGGACATAACGGTGTTCCACGACGCAATATCCCTGTGCGGCATTTCATCGAACAGCTTAAGCACAACCGGGAAAGGCCCACACTTGGCGTAGAGAGACATGAGGGCGTTGGCGACGAAAGGAGAGTCCAAGTGGCCCGTTTTGATTGCAGCGGCGTGTATTTGAAGGCCCAATTGGAAGTGAAGAATCCGAGTGGAAGCGGCTAAAACGGCGACGTATGTGTATTCGTTGGGGAGGACGTGGGAACGCGTCATGTGAAAGAAGAGGCGGAGGGCTTGGAGGTGTTGATGGGCCTTGGATAGGCCGGAAATGAGGGTGGAGTAAGAGACGACGTTGGGGGAAGAGAGGGAGAGGAAGAGGCGTTGGGCGTGGGAGAGAAGGCCCAATTTGAGGTAAGTGGATATGAGAGCGGTGGATAGGTGAGTGTCTTCCTCGTGTTTGAGAAGGGAAGCGTGGATGGCCTTGGCGAGGTTGGTGTCGCCGTGTCGAGAGGACAAGTGGATGGCGTGGTGGAGGGAGTGTGGATCGTTTGAGGGTGGAAGGTAATGAGTGGCATGGCGGCGTTTGGAGGTGTTGGGTTTGAGGAGAGATTGAAGAAAACAAAGCGAAGAAGAGTGGAAGAAGGACTTCGTTTCCAGAACTGCCATCTATCCATCCATATCCACTCTTCCAACTGCAATTTCCTATGTCGTTTTACACTTCATACGCCTACTGTTTACAATTTCGGATACTTCTAATCTCACCCTCTTTTTTCAGTATTCAAATTCATTTTTGCTAGATTATTTATTTATATTTTTAATATAATATAATTGATAGTAATTTTCTACTACCTAAAGGATGAAATTAATGAAAAATATTTTTTATTTATGCTCATAATTTTAAAGTATTAAATACATTCTATTGATGTTTTAAAATATAAAAAAATAAATAATAATATTTTTATGTTTTAATATTATAAATATTTTTTAAATATATTTTACTTTTTATCATATGCCAATTTATGCACAATCCCCACCCTCAAGAAGTCATCTATTATTATAAAGAGAGAATTTTAATTCATGTACACTTCGTAAGCTATATCTTTTTTTTCCTTCTTTTTGGTGCTTTAAATTTCATGTAAAATATTCTTTAATTTATGTAACATAATATAATATTGTGTTTTATTTTTACTAATATAAACCTTTCCTAATTACTAATCTTATTACATGAATCAGCGAAATTAATATACAAGGGAAAAAAGAAGAAGGTCGAAATATTAATATAAATGACGACGACGACTACCATGATATTTTATTTTCAATAAAATTAAAAAGTTCACCGGTCAAATTGAATGACGCAAAAACTTAAAGCATAATTCTCCTTGTTGTTTTTCCAAAGCGAAAATTAACTTTAAAAAAAGAGTAAAGAAAGTGGTGTTGGTTGCGCAAATGGAATTGAGGAGCGAGACTTACCTCTGTTGGTGATTTCCATGGACGGACATCGTAAACAGCAGGTACTTACTCACTCACTCACTCTTCTTCCCTGCAAAATCATTCAATCTTGTTCCTCGATTTCCTTCCGTGCCGTGACTTTGATAGAATTGGGAATCAAGGAATGAATCACTCAATTAATGATGATTTTGATCATTGCTGTTCAGGTATCGTTGAGAGGAGCAAGTGAGAAGGAGATTACGAGAGACGACCTTCTTCAGAAGGTCTCTCGCGAAAGAGAGCTTCGCAATTATGCCAAACGAGCTGCTGCTGCTGCTCTCTTCATTCAGGTCCATCATCTTTTTTTAATTTCATAGAAATTTCTTCCAGATTCAGCTCCCCCTTCCTTTTTCTACATCGCTACCATTATTTCTTCTTGTCATTGGATAGCGTGTTTATGATATATTCTCCCGTTAGATGGCTAGATGCATGAGTTCTGGAAGCACGGATATGATGCGGGTACCGTTATACTGATAAAATTTTAAAATTACAGGACAAGACACAGTTATAATACAAAATATAAAATTAATGTAAAATAAAACTCTTATATGATAAAAAAATTGAATACATAATAAAAAATATTTAAAAATGCAACTAAAGGTATTTATAGTGTTTATGCAATATCTGACATGAATATGTGTTCAACATGGATACCATTTTGAAGTGTTTGTGCATCTTAGTGTGCCTTGATACAATGGAAAAGTTGCAGCCTAGTGTGACCTCGTGGTCATGAGTTCTGATTGTGGAAACGGCCTATATGTCATGCGCTGTGTATATCTCACCTTCCCTTTTTTTGTGTTTGGAGCATGTTATTCAGTGCAAATTTTGATTTTTGTTGATGTTTAGAGAAGTCACAGGATAAAAATTTAAATGTAATATTGAATGATAGTGTTCTTATGGTATTTTACTTGATGCTTTTAGATGACAATGCTTGATATTATTTTGTTCAATTAATCAAACCAATGACCTAGAATCCCTGAAAACAAAAATATGTATACTTGAGGCCTACTTTATAGTACACTTTACACTAGAAGGTTGGTAACTACAATTTGTTAGTATCTTCATAGTTTTCATTTCATTTACACCTCATGTTTGAATCAAAATGAAGAACTAATATCTGTTTTTCAATGTTAAAAGAGAGTATGGAGGTGCTTCAAGGTCACAAAGATGGTTGCTCTGCAGCTTCAGCAGGAGTGGGAGATAGTGGTGAATCATTATACTGGTGTGATGACAGCATGTTGGATTTCAAACAACTTGTTGAGACCATTTCTGTTCTTTATCACACGTATCACTACTCAGCATCAGAAGGTCCACATCAAGAAAATAGACTCTATGAGGCTGTGCTTTACAATCCTACTGGAAAGCATGAAATCATCTGGTATATTGCCTCATTCAGATGTTTTTTTATCTGATTTAAAGTTCACTTTATAATTATGTAATCATTTTAATAATGGCATGCCAAGAGATTATATGAAATTATGAATGCCAAAGTACGTTTTTTTTTAATCTGTTTTCCTCAGTTTTGAGAGTTCAAAGGAATTGTTCCCCCCCTCCCCCCTTTTCCTTTTTGTTTATCACACCTACTTAATTCATTACTAATGGATCTGTTTTTCTCTCTGTTTAGATTCAAGGCAGAACTTTTGCTCTCTGGCAATTGGTACAACTGAAGAAAGAAGAATATGGAGTTACCAGGCACAGCAGCTGACTTCTCTTAGTTTCTTCATTCTTTCAGAGTTTTGTGAATGCAATTCAGGGGCTCAAGATATTATTATTATTACGTCCCTAGCAATGCGTGTTCTTGTTATGTTAACTGATCTGAAAGGATGGAAAGGCATTACAGATGACAATCACTTAGATGCAGATTTAGCAGTGGAAGGTTTAATTCAGTTCATGGGGGGTACTAATAGTGGTTGTTATGTGTCTATTGCCAGATATATTAGTGCATTGGATAATTATTCTTCTCAGTCAAAAGTTATAACCCAGGCAGATGAAAAATTTTTCATTACTGCAAGTGCAATAACTTTAGCTGTGCGGCCATTTTATCTGACAAACTGTGATGTAAAAGGCCCTGGTATGCTGGATGTCAACCATGCTGCTAAGCAGTATATTGTTTATCTGCTGACCATACCTTGGCTTGTGCAGCATCTCCCATCTGTTCTTCTACCTGCTTTAAAGCACAAATCTATTTTGTTTCCATGCTTCCAGACTCTATTGGTAAGCATCATTAGAGTAGAACAATTTCTCCTGCCAAATTATTAGTCTGCTTTTTTATTTTACTGACAACTTGGTCTCTTTTTATAATTTTTAATTCTGTTTGGTTTTTTTCACTTTCTTCTTCTTCTTTTGAAGGAAGTGAAGAATCATGTAATTATAGCCCTATGTATAATTTATTAAATTAGTGCCAACTTTTAACCTGCAGATTTGATGGTTGTGCATGCACATTGGGCTTCTCTATGCATACTTAATTTGCTTGATATTGTAGTTATACGTTTGCTAAATCAAAGATGAATCTTTCTTGCTTAATAGCTAAGTTTGTTTTTCTATAGTATCTGTCATTTTAGTATTGTAATTATGACAAAGCAAATAGTTGTTCTGCTATTTTTTTAATCTACCATCAAATTATTTTTCTCACTATTTATATGGGGGAATATATAGATTCAATATTTCTAAACTGAAAAAACTCAATATTTTATTTTTCTCAGATAATATTTTGTTTTTCTGTAAAAAATATAAAATAATGGTTCAAAGTTGATTTTTCACCCTTAGTTTGCAAATATATTATTATTTTTCCTAATTTTATTATTTTATATTATTGATGATGATGCTTTCCTGTGACGGATGAAATTAAAAATAATGATGCTTCATTGAATTGTTAAAATATGAAGTTTAAATGCCTTCTATTAACCTTTCACCTCAAGTCAATAAATCATATAACATCATAGATTGTGGTTTATAATTCAAACATATCAGAACTGATCAAACTCTGACAGGCAATGACAGATTTTGAAAGAGAACATTTTAACAGAGATGTCAGAGTTGGTCAAATCAGAGAATTTTGACTCTTTCAAGGTGATTCCACCAGTTGGTTGGGCCCTCACTAACACTATATGCTTAGCAACAGGGAATGAGAATGAATCCTTCAATCAAGGTTTAGACTATGCATTATATGTCCACGTTGTTATTACTCTAGCAGAGGGCCTACTGGCTTGTCTTGATAATGTTGGAAGGGTCAGAAAGAAAAAGAAAGCCTTTCAAACTGATGTTGAAAGTTCAACACAGCCAGTTGATATGGTTCTGCAGGAGGGTGAATCAACCAATGAGTCCTTAATAATATCATACATGGACCAGTTTAGGCCTGTTTGTCAGCAGTGGCATCTCACAAATCTTTTGACATCAATAGATAGAGATGCCTCTAACAAGGCTGGGACTTTGGTCTCAAATAGTCTGGAATGTTTGGGGAAGCTAGATTTGTGTGATGTTGCACTTTTTTATTCTCAGTTATTTAGAATATTTTCAGCCTTGAGTCCAATTCGTGGCTCATTACCAGTTCTCAACATGCTATCATTCACTCCTGGATTTCTTGTGCGATTGTGGGGTGTACTGGAGGATTCCTTTTTTTCTGGAGACAAACATAATGCTGATAATCACATGAGTGAAAACAGAAAACATAAAGCATTTGAGAAGATGCAAAAACACACGAGTAAAGATGGGGCTAATAAGTGGGTCACTGTACTTCATAAATTTACAGGTAAGTCACAAGCAGGTACAGATTGCACAGATTCTACTAGCAGTCACTCTGAGCCCAGCAGAGTGAATGAGGATTTGTCAGATTTATGGGACATAGAACCTATGAGGCATGGCCCGCAAGGCATTCCAAGGGATATATTTTCTGTGCTTCATCTTTTCTGTGCAACCTATTCTCACCTGCTTTTAGTTCTTGATGACATAGAATTTTATGAGAAACAGGTAATTCCTTGGCGTCTCCTTGTCCCTGTCCTTTTATGAATTAATTCAAAATTTGAAAAACTAACTTTTCAGGAGCATTATATAACATTGCTAGGTTCCATTCAGATTAGAGCAGCAACGAAGAATTGCATCAATGCTCAATACCCTAGTTTATAATGGCTTGTCCCATGTTAGTTGTCATCATAATAGGCCTCTCATGGATTGTGCTGTTAGATGCTTACATTTACTGTATGAAAGGGATTGTAGACACCCATTTTGTCCTCCTGATTTGTGGCTTTCTCCTGCTAACAAAAGCCGCCCACCAATAGCAGTTGCTGCCAGAACTCATGAAGTTTTATCAGCCAACCTGAGATCTGATGATTCACCAGCTTCACTGAGTGTCGGTTCTGTAGTTACCATTGCTCCTCATGTTTTCCCTTTTGAAGAGAGGTAACTACTACCTCTGACCATTAAGTGAACTCTCGCATCTTGTCATAAATGTTTTATGCAATTGATGCTATCCTGTAAATATCTTTTTGACATTTCAACTGTCACCTTCAAATTGATACTTTAGAAGGATAAAATATGGGTAAAAAAGAGCTAATGACCAGTTTGCTGCCAGCATGAATTGGTTTGTTAAGTTTTCTTATGTGAGTAGAAAGTAAAAGTTCGGAAAAAATTTGATCTTAATTTAGTTGTCTTGTCACTGTGGTGGTGTTAATTAACTTAACTGAACAAAATTTTCGGGGTACCTTCACCATATATTTATTTATTTATTCTTCTGTTGGCTGATCAAATTGAGAATTGATAAACTGATATCACTTTAGAAGATTACTGTTAGTATGCCCTTTCTTCTTGTCATCTTTCAAATTTTCTTAAACTTGATATGTGCACAAAGAATCATTTGGGTATAATATTACTCATATGTCTTATGAAATAGTGGATTTTTTAGTACATGAATGGTTATTTTGTTTATTTATCAATTATACACTGGGTTAAGCATTAGGAAACTGTAAGTGTAGAAAATCAACTAGAATAAACTTGAAATGGGAGAAAGATGCTCAAAGAAAGTATCAATCAATGTGATTGAATTGGACTTTTCTTCCTAAGAGTAAAGGGACAGAGTTTGGATGGGATATTTGATTGCAACTTGTCATTCAAATCATGTTCATTTGTTTTGAATGTTTTATCACTGAAATAGAGTTGAGATGTTTCGTGAATTCATCAAGATGGATAAAGCATCCCGAAAAATGGCTGGTGAAATTTCTGAACCTGGTTCACGTGCTGTTGAGATAGTAATACGTCGAGGTCATATTGTTGAAGATGGATTTCAGCAATTAAATTCCCTTGGGTCAAGGTTGAAGTCATCAATTCATGTATCATTTGTCAGTGAATGTGGCCTTTTGGAGGCTGGCCTGGACTATGGTGGATTATCTAAAGAGTTTTTAACTGACATATCAAAAGCAGCATTTGCTCCTGAGTAAGTTTGACATGTTATTTTGTACTTTGTTGCATCTATTTCATGGTTAGTTCCACTTTCACGAGTGACTTTAAGCTGACACTTTTTCCTTATGTCTTAGATATGGACTCTTTACCCAAACCTCAACATCAGACAGGCTTCTAATTCCAACAGCATCTGCCAGATATTTGGAGAATGGTCTTCAGATGATTGAGTTCCTTGGAAGAGTAGTGGGCAAAGCTCTATATGAAGGAATATTACTAGATTACTCTTTCTCTCATGTTTTTGTACAAAAGCTATTGGGACGATATAGCTTTCTTGATGAATTATCAACACTTGATCCAGAGCTATACAGGAATCTTATGTATGTCAAGGTAAACCCATGAGACACATCCATGCTATTTTGCTTCTCTTTCGTACAAATCTTTGTTCAAAATTAGTAAGGGTCATTCACAATACCTCACATCGTTTTATATTAGGGTTTGTGTTTTTTGAATTTTGACTCGGTTTGATATGCCAGTATAAATAATATGTGGATGGCCTAGTCCGTTTGCAATCCTACTATAGTATAAATAATATTTTATATAAATATTTCTCCTTGAGTCCATGTCTTGGTGGGTAGGTGTAGCAGCTGGATGTTAGATAACTCAAGAATAAAAGTATTATTTATTACAGCCTTAAAATTCATTAATGTGATGCCTTCTGAATTTGCTATGTTAGTTTGGTTCTAGGATCGGAATTGTTCTTCCCTTGAATGCTAATCAATGTCTCATTTGCTAATTTAACTTGCTTGTGTTTTGACCTGAGTGGATACTGTGTATGATTGTTCTTGTATTTTTCCATTCTATTGGACAGAATTATGATGGTGATGTCAAGGAGCTCTCTCTTGATTTCACAGTTACTGAAGAATCATTGGGCAAAAGGTATGTGATTGAGCTCAAGTCTGGTGGCAAAGATATTTCTGTGACAAATGAGAACAAGATGCAGTACATACATGCAATGGCAGACTACAAACTCAATCAACAGGTTTTCCTGTATCATAATGCATTTTTTCTCCTGTATTCACTGTTGTAATAGGTATATATGTGACAATGTTGAAATTGCAGATATTGCCGTTTTCAAATGCATTTTATAGAGGGTTAACTGATCTTATATCACCATCCTGGTTAAAGTTATTCAATGCTAGTGAGTTTAATCAGGTATCTTCTTTTTCCAAGTGTGTTGACAAAGTTTTGTTAGGGACTTTACTGTTTACTCTTTTTTCTGGCACAAAGGGCAATAGAACATTTCTGTGACAAAAATTTTGCATTTACCATTGCCTGCTGTATCAGTGTTGAAGTAGCTTTTTTTTTTGGTGCAAAGGAATATGCCATAATAAGAGAGAAAGTCTTTAGTAGAGTATTCAAATCAAGATGCATTTATTACTCACCAACTACAGCCAATGTGCAATAGTTCGTACTGTGAAATATATTCTTAGATATACAAGAATGCAGTTGCTTTCAGGTGGCAATTATGATATTGACATTGATGATTTGAAAAATAACACACGATACACTGGTGGTTACAATGAGGGAAGCCGGACAATCAAGATCTTTTGGGAGGTATTGGCATCTTAAAACTATATATATTTTCCAACCTCATGAATTATATTGAAAAGTTTATGTGCTATCAGTGCAAATGCCAAGTTTAAGAAACCAATATTCAAACTGTGTACAGGTAATTAAAGGTTTTGAACCAAAAGAGCGCTGTATGCTTCTTAAATTTGTCACCAGTTGTTCTCGTGCTCCATTACTTGGGTTCAAATACTTGCAGCCACCTTTTACCATCCACAAGGTATGTTTTTGATGTTCTATGTTTGATGGACATTCAAAATCATTTATACTATCTCCTCATCAATCCCATCCTGCTTTGTTCTTGCAATGAAATAAGGCATGGTTTGTAATTTTCCTTTTACTCTGGCAGAGTACATTAAGCACAACAATATAGTTGTGAAGCAAAGCATCTTGAACTCAACTTATCATTTATCTGGAATAACTTGTGCCCTAGATGGGACTTATATACTAAGCAGTTTTATGTTAGCTTTAGTGCTTCAATTGCTAGCTATGAGTTGAAAGAGTTGTATTAGATGCTTAGACCTTTATCTTGTGGTTGCCCGTTTTGATTTATAGGATCTCTGCATTTCTCCTTCTCTCCTTTGCAGTATCGTGATCCAGTAATGGAGTTGGAAGAATCCCTAGAAATAATACCTTGTTTAATGGAATATTAAGATGTCTTGATTTCGTTGGTTAGTACTCATGTCTATTTGTTTGCGTAGGTTGCATGTGATGTCCCTCTTTGGGCAACAATTGGAGGACAAGATGTTGATCGACTTCCATCAGCTTCAACCTGCTACAATACTCTCAAGGTAATACTAATCGAGAGTAACATGGGAACGCATCCTTAACTGTATACTTGGGAGACATTTAGCATGATAGATTCCTAACTCCCAAGTATTTTTTCAAAATCTATGAATAAGATATTTGGGGTTTTGGATGAGATATTTGAAAGTCAAGATCCTTATGTTGCTTATGAGTTATGTAACATTAAAAATTTGATTCTTGAAATTTCATAATATCATGCCTCAAAATGTCACATATATAGGTTTGTTAGTTATAAATCCAGACTTTCGGTTGTCCACTAACCATGTCCATTTAGCGATTTGAGTCATTGAGACAAAATTGTTGTCACCTTTAGGCAATCTCGTGTCATATTATGAGTTATTTACAGTTTTTTTTTTCTGCCTCTCAATGATTTCAGCTTCCAACATACAAACGTCCAGGCACTTTGAGAACAAAGCTTTTATATGCTATCAGTTCAAATGCTGGATTTGAACTTTCTTGATTTGCTTCAGGAGGTCAGTGTTTTTATGATGTATCTTATAATGAAGGTAGTGTCTACTTTGATAAATCGAACTCTACAAGATTCAGTCTTGTTTCAGTGCTACTGTTCACCTGTCCTCTGTTTGCTAGTTTTTTTGCTCGTTCCCTTTTCGGTGTTAAGGATATGAATAAAGTTCTTATGCCTTAATTTTGTTCAACCACAAAGCCATTGGAAGCATTAAGGTAATATTGACGTCAAACAAGTTTCTGACGGGATTAGCATTTCATTTTAGAGCGCAAGTTAGAAACAAGCCCACTAAGAGAGATTTGTTTCTAGAATAACGTCATTTCAATTTGGATTTCCGATTAGAGCTCATAGGTGTGTGAGTTTGAAAATCATGCACACGTTGGTGTGAGATTTAACAGATATTTAAATGTTGCAATTGGTCTATAGCCAATCACATGCAATTTTTTGCAGTTTTGATCAGCAGTCAAAGAATCTGAGAGCTGTCTATTTGTTCGTGCGACTTGGTGGTCATATCCCAAAGAAGCTAGAGTATATCAATTACCAGTACCACAAGTTTAGATCACCGAGTTCGTTCTGCAAATTCTCAGACTTGCTGTTGAAGTTTTTGTTAAAGAAAATAGCATTCTGATATAGTCTGGGAAGATATTGGTTGCTTCTAGAGCTAAACAGAGTAATTATTGCGCCCAAATAGCCAATTAGTGTCATGGTTGTTACTTCAATCCTCCTCCATTATCCCGTGCATGGAGATTCTGTTGTATGTTCATATCGGGCACAACGTTGTTATATTGATTATTTGAAGCATATGTGTAAATGCAAATAATTATCATCACGCAATCAAAATGCATGGTTCACAGGTTTTTCACGACTGGAATGGCATACATTACTCGGGTTGAATTCATCTTTTGTGTCTAAAAGCAGGTTATTATTCTCCATTCGGACATTACACGGAAACGGGTATTTTTCCTTTACATTATGCTTAGCTGAAACGAAACGACCGTGTTCTATGATGGGCTCTGGACGTATATGTAACATTTTTTGGTTGGGAGGAGAGAAATAAGTAACGAGAAATTCAGACATAGAAAACTAATAAAAATTAAAAAAATTTGTTTCATATATTTGTTTTCGTTCTCTATATTTCCACTTACCCCAAATAATAGAACTATCGAAATTGCATTTTCCCCTTGTTAAAACATGACATCAAACATAAAAAAATAGTTTTAGGTCAATGGTAGGTCTCCCTTGAAAAATAATAAAGTTCTCACAACAAACGTTTGAAATGTATGAGTTAAAGAATATTAATATATTATTGAAATTATCACCTAAAAAAAGCTAATGATTTTTTAATGAAGTAAATATTTCTCATTACATATTTTCTAGGAAAAGTTAATATTTTGAATCTCTAACTTTACTTTTTATTTTGTTTTGATTTTCTAACTCTTATTTCTTTTTAGTCCTCTAATTTAATTTTATTAGTTTGGTCTTCTAAATTATTTTCATTTCATGTTGGTTCTTTAACTTTTTTTCATTTTATATTGGTCTTAAATTTTTTTATTTATTTTATTTTGGCTTCCTAATTTTATTTTAGAGAATTCAACTAAAATAAAAAACAAAATTAGAGGACTAGCATGATAGAAAAATAAATTATAGGATCAAATCAGAATAACAAATAAAGTTAAAAGATTGGACTAAAACAAACGTTTAAAGCTAAAAGATTATAGTATTAATTTTTCCTATTTTCTTGTTTTTTTAAATATTGTTTTAAGATGTTTGTTGACAAAGAGAAGTTAAAGAAAACAATAAGAATTTTAACTCTCCCTCTTGCACTAGGTGTGGTGATAATTTTGAATCAATCATCCATATTTTTTGAGATTGTTTTTTAATAAGACAGGTTGGGACCACTTCATTTTTCTAAAACATAAAACTGTTTTCTTTAGTAGTAATCTACATAATTGGGTTAGTAGCAACCTTTCTAACCAGTGTAATATTATTTTCTCTACTTGGCCTAGACTTTTTGGTTTTGTAATCTGGTATCTGTGGCTTGAGAGGAATTCTTTTATTTTTCAGCAATTTTATATTTTTCCTAATAATTTAATTCTATGTTCAGAACTAACAATAATTTTAATTCTATTTTGATTAAGCAGCAAAGCCGTGTCAAGTAGATTCTCTTCAGTTCTAGTCACCTCAAGTTTAATGTGGATGGTTCGGTTCCCTCTCATAATAAAGCTGTTGGATTTGGTGGTCTCATAAGGGATAGTCAAGGTAAATTTGTTGCTAGTTTTCATGGATGCACATCTCCCTGTTCTCCTCTTGGTGCTGAACTATGGACCTTATTCTAGAGAATCAAATTGTTTCTCCAAAAGCAGATTCAATGTGATTGAAGGAGACTCTAAAAAAGTGTTATCTCTTGTTTTGAATTGCCAATCTTGTCACTATCCTTTTGCTATTTTACTGCATAATATTAGAGTCCTTTTGAAACAAATTTTGTTTGTTAAGTTTAATCATATTTGTAGAGAAGTTAATTATTGTGCCAATTGGCTTGCTAAACTTGGTGTTGATGAGTATATTCTTTTAGTTTATTTTGATAATTCTCACTCCTCTCTATTCTCCTTTCTGTGTTTTGATGCCTATGAAAGTAAGTATTTTCAGATATAACTCTTAGTTTTTATTTTGGGTGTTTAGCCCCTTCTTTTAGGAAAAAAAAAGAAGAAGAAGAAAATAATAAGAATTTTTAAAAATAAAATTAGAAGATTTATAATTTGAATATCATAATAGAAATAACTGTATGTTAATGTTTTCTTTAGTAAACAGAAATAAAAAGTTTAAACAATTTGCAATACAAAATATTAAAAGAAAAAGCTTAATTTTGATGCTCCGTAAGTGTACAAATTTTTATATTGTTAATAAATTAAAATATATTAACGATATAATTTTTATATTACTTATTATAAAAATTAATACTTGATATAAGTCTATAACCATCTATGATTGGATGAAAGTTTAATATATTTAAATTAACCTCTTGAAAAAACAGTAAAACGACTACCGCAAATTGTAAATGTTTGGAATATTCCATGACATGCAAAATGGATGGCTTTTATGTTTGATATAATAGCAGTCATGATTTCTATTAAATTATTGATTCCGCAAAAATATTACTCATTATTCTTTCCTTAACAGGTAGGATTTACAATTCTTGACATGATGACATGGGATATATTTTCAGTGTTTATGTTTGAAATTCAAAATTTTATTACTCAATTAATTTTTTTTACAACATTAAACTTTACAAAATCAATGTTAAATTATGTAATGTTATTTTCATAATAATGTATGAAAAATTTTAAATAAATTAAACATGCATAAATATGTAATTTTATAAGTAATACACTTGCTTGTATTTTAAACAGTATATTATATCTTTATATCTTAAAATAAACCTCATAAAATATTAAATAGTTTTTAAAATTTGTAGACTTAATATATTCATTGAGAGTTCCTAAATCACTGCATGATATAAACTTTATTATCTATATAAAATTATTAAAAGAATAAATTAATCAAAACTCACTTTTAAAATATATGTATCAGGTAACCAGTTGACATTGGAATTCCGTGGCACTGATTATTTGACTTTTTAAGATTGGATAATTTTGTCACATAGAAAACTATTTGAATACAATATTTTGCACTTATTTGTGTTGCGGAAAAGTTGAATATATAGATGTTATTAATTGCTTTGATAGGAATGTTTTTTCAAACAAATAGGAGACTTGAATTCAAGAATGTGGAATAAGGTTTAATATATTGGACTCATTCAAGAAGTATGTAGGACTTTTTTAATTCTCTTTTTTTGTGATTTTTTTCATCTATGTATGGTGATTTTGTTTGTGGATTTTTTTTTTCTTTCTTTCTTTTACACGTTTATTTTTTTATCATTTATTTTATTTTTACTACATTTGGTTTCTTTCTTTCTTACATTTAAGTTCATTTGAGTCATCTTCTGCTAATTGGTAAAGAAAAAAAAAAAAAACTGACTTGTGCTAAAATAAAAGGAGAGAAAAAAGAAAAAAAGATGAAGAGAAAAACATATTTCTTATGATCAAATTTGTATTACTGGAAAATAAGGGATTAATTTTAAATTATATTGTATTTAATGTTTAAAAATTTGTTAAGTTATATTCAATATTGAATATGCATACTTATCTCTTATAGTATATTTATTGTGCATTATTGAAATACTCTTGATGTCTGACATCCTTTAACTTAATACTCCTCCAGAGAAGTTTTACTCTTACCACTGTTTTTTATTTATTTATTTACAATTAAGAGATATATAAAAAAGAAAAGCATAAAATAAAAATAAATAATGAAACGAAAAGAAATAAAATAATTATAAAATTGCAAAGTTATGTATAAAAGTAATATAACTCGAAAATATAACATCACAGGTATGATTTCCCACAGAAGAAAAGAAGCCAAAAAGTTGATTAATCCAGAAAAGAATAAGATTCCAAAGCGCACGAGGGGGGCGAGTTGATGGCATTTGGTGGTGTAGAAGGGCTCTTGAGGAAGTCAAAAAGCTATATCATTGTTCTTTGTTCCTCCAAACAAAGGAAAGGCAATGCCATGGACACAAAGGCACACTATGCAAACCTTTGTTAACATAAAACATACAAAGGATCAAATTAAGATTTTGGGTGTCCTTCATTGGCTTTTGATCAAAAGAAAAGTCTAACCAACCAAATAGCTGAAAGTTGTCTTTTTTTTTCTTCTTGAAGATGGAAAACGCACCATCAAAGTCTCAAGTCCTAAAGCCAGTGATCCTCAAAGCTGGTGTTCCTTTGGCAGTGTCTTTTGCTGGTTTCATCTATGCTTGGATCATGGCTAAGAAAAGCATCTCTAAACCCACTTCTTTATCATCATCAAATGAAGCAAATTCTCATCAAGAGCCTCAACATGAAGAAAGTTGTCATAGCCTCTCTTATATGGAAGATGAAGAAGAACATAGTACCTCTGTGGATGCAAGTGTAGTTGCTGAGAGCTCAGTGATCCATGATACCCCATGTTTTGAAGAAGAGATTAAAGGCTTAAGAAGCAGAATTGAAGGCATGCAAATGAGGGAATTGGCCTTACGTTTGCAGTTTGATCATTATTGTGATATGAAAGAGCAAGAATCTCTTCTTGGAGAGATCAAAAACATGTTGTCACTTGAGACTGCTCGTGTTGACTTCTTGGATAGAGAGATTTCATCCATGGAGACAGAGAATAAGAGATTGGAAAGTTTTTCAGTTCAATATCTTAGAGTTATTGAACAGATTGAGAATTGGAAATCTGAGAATAGAATGCTTCGGAGGAAGTTTCAGAAGCTGCTGAGGAAATCTAAGGCACAAACCCGCCTTGCAAAGGAGCAGGCTTTGAAGATCAAAGTGGAAGAAGAAGAAATTTTGAGAAGCCATGATGCCTTGGAAACAAAAGTTAATGTCATAGGTAAACTAGAGGATAAAATGAAAGAGCTGCAAAGGGTGTTGGATCAATTGCAGGATGAGAAGAATGAACTTCTGAAGAAGCTTGATACAGCAGAAAAATCATATGCTTCTAAGGTAAGCAATAGATACGTATCAGACCAATCATTTACTGGTAGTTGAAATCTAAAAGATTTCTCAGATCAACTACCTAAGATAAATCATAATAATAACGGTTTTCAGTCATTAGAGTTGATTTCAAGCAAACAAAAGTGGTAAATTTTTATTTGAAATAAAATATTTATTACACTTTTATATTTCTAATATAATAAACACTTACTCTTCTAATAAAAAATCTTACTACTTTTAAAACCTTAAAATCAACTTTTTGGATTGATGTTAATATTTTCCTAACAGTAGTAGAAGTTGGTATTTATGAGTTCAATTTTGATCTACTTTTAATATAAGGTTTACACTGTTAATCAATCATATATTGGTAAGTCATTAAGAGGGTAGGACTATGTAAATTCTTTGTCTTTGTCTTCGGAGGGGAAGTTGAATGGCATCCTAATCATTACAATACAATGTTCCCCATTTGCAGATTGAAGCTGGAGATGTAAGTAGGGAAGAGTACAAACAGCTTTTGGATGAATTGGAGCAGATCAAGAAGGAAAGAGCAGATGAAGCTAAAGAACTCATTTACTTGAGGTGGACCAATGCTTGTTTAAGGCACGATCTAATGAGGAACCATGAACAACAACAGATTCAGGATAAAAATCATATAGAGTTGGAATTTGGAGGAAGCGATGACGTTATCCATTATGACTCAGAGCATGAGTTACACAATTCCCTTTTGGAGCATCACAGTGATCCTTCGTTTGATGAGCATCCTAGTGCTCATGATCATAGTGACAGTGCTTGTTCAAAAAGAAAAAAGTTTCTTGAAAGACTAAAGAGATGGGTGGAAGGCAGTGAAAAGGCAAGGATTAGGCCTTCTCTTTCCAAAGGGGCAGAGGAACATCTAGTTCCTAGGAGGAGGTCATGCTCTAGTGCTTATTGATTGCTACTTGCAAACACAAAAGTTTGAGGTTGGCATAGAAGCAGTGATAATGTGATACAGCAATAAAATAAGGGTCTTACTAATTGGCTACCTCTTCCTCCATGAGAAGACAATGTTGTTATATAATACATGGGCATCACTAACGCAGTTACCTGAAAAAAGAAATATAGTTCCACCACAATCTGATCTTCTATGAACTTGTGCACTATAGATCAGAATTATGTTTCTCTCCACATAAATATTTATTGATATTATGTAAATAATAACCAGGCTTTGTCTACACGCAATCTACATCTCATTCAATTAAAGCATACTAAACATCAACTGATTAGGAGCTATAAGAAATATGTAAACAACTCGTGACACCATTTGGTTCAATGAGAAATTTAATTTTAAAGAAGTGTTTATTACTTAAGAGGGTTGAGTAAGCACGTGGGAAAAATAATAAGGATGTCATGCCTACTGAAATTTCGGACCAGAAGACAACACTGTGACATGAGAGGTGAGAAAAATCAAAAGATTTAACAACCAGGTGGAAAATTGGCTTTTATTATTGTAAATATGCTATCATCCTCATCCATATTTGGCATAAAAGGGATAGAAATTGTTAAGATTTTGGGTACATCGAGCAGCTAATTATGTCATGATTTGTTCCTGTAAATTGACCCATCCAAAATTTACAAATACTTCACTTATGGGGTGAGCTTTCTTTGCTAGAGTTTTGGTCCATCAATTCCATCCATAAAAGCCAATTAACCGGAGAAAAATCATGATGGTTCATGATATATCTTTTGTTTCTCAGCATTTTATTAATAGCACTCTCTTAATCTGTTGCCACGGTCCTTTCATATGTCATGTTCTTATTAATGGAATTATTTCAATATTCAATTTTACTGTTTGACTGTTTCCTACATGGAACTGCTTGCTTGTAACAAAGCCCATTCTGATAAGCCCATTTGTGTTTTGAGCTGGACGCCCCTAAAATTGTTGAAGATTGGTACCCAGAAAACGATAATGAAACTGCAATAAGACTATCAGTATTTTCAAAGTATTAAAAAAATATTTAATTTGAAAAACTTAAAAATATAAATTTACAATAAGTTTTGAATCATCAATTTTTTTTTCTTTTAAATGTAACTATCAAATAAAGCTTAATAGTACGAGTAGAAAAGAATAGAACCATAAACAAGTAGAAAAATATAAAAAGGAAAACCTCTAATAGCTTGAATTACTTTATACTATTTCAATTAAAAGAAAAAGATTAAATAAAAAAATATAATATTTCACTTTCACGCACCACACAACGAAAAACAAAATAGAATTGTTAGGTGCATTTGGTTTGTTTTAATTTTTAGTTGATATACTCTTATTAATATATAATAACTATATAAGTATAATTTTTTTTATATTTTATGTACAAAATTATGAAACAAAATTTTGTTGTTGTCTTTTTTTTTGTTCAAAATTTTAAAAAATTAAATAAAATTGTGTAGCTTTTTTTATAAATATAAATCTTAATTATACTTTTTATTCATTTAATTTGAAATATGTGTGATTTTAAACTCTTGTAATTAATTTTTTATTTTAAAAATAAATCAATTTGGTCTATTCATTGTCTTTCTTTAACATAAAGCCTTAAAATATTTTTTGATTTTAAGGAATTGGTAGAGTAGAGTAAAATATGAGCCTTACATCTCACAAGTTACTTGTTTGAGTCTTTATTCGTCTGAAAGAAATAAATGTAAGTTATTTGTAAATATTTTTGAACTCTACTTTTCTCACTCTAAAATGAGATATTATCTCTATCTACATTTTTTATAACAAAGAAAAACCTAAAATTTTCTCTCTTCAAATCTTAGTCTTACACTCTACAAAATCTTTCAAATTTTAATAATTTTTTACTAATTTTTTTATTTTAAAAATTTTAAAAAGTATTTCTTATTTCAAATCCATCATAATTTCTTATGATCTTAAATAGAAAAAAATTAACAAAAGAACCATATGTGCTTCTTAATTGACTACAAAAAAATATTGATAAACTAAAATCGTATGTAATTCAAATTGAAAGGATTAAAAATGAAATAAAACCTAAATATAATCATTACAAAAAGTTTATTAACGGAAAAAACAATTCCTTAATTTATTTTTCCATTTCTATTGTTATCTCCCTCTCCTTGTATTGTTTTCAAGCTGTAAACAGGCTTCAATTTGTTTGTATACCATTGAAAGGACACAGAAATGACGTTCACAGAGCACAATCACCAAAAACTAACGATTTATACAATTTTATATTATTTTTCTTTATTTTTATCTTTCATATCACTTATCTTGTATTTCTCTCTCTTTCTTTCTTTTTTTTTCTATTTATTTCCTTGTTGTAAAAGTTATTATTAAAAATCTTGGTAAAAGTAACATTACTTAAACATAAGTTGTCCTAAGTCAATTAAACTCAGGTGAAATCACCTGTACTGTAGAATTATGAGAATGCAAGTGTTTTATGGATGGCATTATCACTAACATATTGTTACTACCTGTTTCGTTTTGGAGAGAGATGCGCAAATATTTGTCAAAGATGTGCAATAATTTAGTCACTATGATGATCATTAAGCTTGTGAGCACGAGAGAACGTATTAGAAAACATCCCTAATATGTAAAAGTTAATGATGAGTGTTTGCCATTATTATTGTTTTTTTACAGTGGTTAATAGCAAACTTGATATGGCTTAATAAATTACAGAATTGCACTGGACTGATGATAATGGCTAATGACTATTTTAAAAATGTTTAAATTCACGTTTAAATAGTTATGAATTTAGATTTATTATCATATTATTAATTATAATTTTTGCATCAAATTTATATTTATAAGTTCTGTTAACATATTTTAACTATATATTAAGTTAATAATCTTAATTAATTCAAAATTTAGAAATTTTGTGTATTTATAAGTAAAGGTTAAAAAGATAATGTATTTTCATAGCTAGAATTTTCACAAAACGACATTCTTAAGTCAGCATTGTTTATCACATTATCTCTTAGGATTTCCATTTGACTGTTAAGATTCATAAAGTGTCTATGTGATAGGTTATGGTTATAAAAAGAAGAGTAATTGTTAAGTGTCAATAGACAAAATTAATTAAAAGATCAAAATAATATTAAAATAATTTTATTATTATATTAATACATTTTGATTTTTTAATTGGTTGTACAAGCAAGCTAATTACAAGAATTGCTAGAAAAAAAAATAATAGATAGTTGACCCAATTTGCTAAAACATACGTTGTTGGTATAGTAATCTATTTTCCATCATTAATAAACATGAATAAAAGTAATTATTAATTTTCTATTTATTAAATGAAGAAAATGTAAAACATCTTTTATTTTTAAAATATTAAATAGATTCATTTTTTCTTTTAAATATTTATTAATGAAATACTAGGAGAATTAATAAGAGAACATGATATAACTCATTTTCACAAGAATAATTCAACATCTTTTTGCAACATATTCTTATTAATCTTTTTTTGCTTATTTAACAAATAAATAATTTTTTAAAATTTCATAATATTAAATGTAACTATTCCTAATTTAATACATTTTTTTCTATAAAGTATAAAAAGGATTTAAAAATAAGATATAACCATAATAAGGAGGATCTTGCTAACTAGGGCATTAATTAAAAAATTAAAAAAAAAATTGAAAATTATGTTTTGTTTACATTAAAAATGACGAGAGATAAACAAATAATATATACATATTTTATTTCTAACAAAGGGATTGGTTAATTTCACACTATTTACATCAGTTGTTTTTAATGTGAACATGAATCTGTGCGGAGTTTCTTCTTTTTTTTTTTTCCAGATTTTTTGTTATGCGAAAGTAAATATCTTTTGGGTTCGTACATTTTGTAAATTCTGCATAAGTAGCTAAAAGAGAAATCCGTGTGGGGAAAGAAATGCTGTGAGGGAATATTCATTAACTGGAATTGGGGACCCTCACCCCATTGCCAGCTAGAGAGAAGAGAAAGTGTTCATTCTAAAATATCTAAGAGATTAGGAAATTAAGCTTTTAATGGTCTTCCTAATGTAGTAAATAGGAGATATCTATGTAGTACCAGTAATTAATGGAAAATCTCTTCTTACATGAGTTTTAACATTCTCATATATTGTTTTTTGAACTTTAAAACTTGAACTCACTTGCAGATATTAACGGTGTGATGTGCTTGCGCATGATCCATGTGTCGAAGGAATATATAAATATATATATTGGGTCATCACATTACTGATAGTGCAAGAATTATAATGGTTTAGGCATTTTGATATATTTTAATTACTAATTTCTCCACTATGATCTCATGTGTATCTGCTTCCTTGACTAGATGAAAAGAAGAAGAAACTCTACAAATTTGAGTATGTACCAAAGCCTTTTCTCTTTGCACCTTATAAAGAGAGTATATGTATCGTCAAAGGCCGTTTCTATGACCATACATGCGGTATCAACTGGTCCCATAAATCACTACCATTTTTATGGTATTCCATTTTGTATGGCTTCTTGTAGCCCCTTTTAACTTGCACTTCACCACTTTATTCCATTGCAATAGCTAGGTGTAGCCTTTTTATTCATTGATCATCGTATCTATAGATCAGTTCATAAGATGTTACTTCCCCTTGTTGTCCATGCAAAAATGATTGCTGAATCAAACATGAGACTCAGCTTCCATTTTCGCTCTGCCTTTCTTCTTTTCCTTGTCCTTGCCCATTACACTGCTTCACAAAAGACTTGTCCAAACTGTGGCTCTATGCAAGTTCCATACCCTTTGAGCACAGAACCAAGTTGTGGTGATCCATACTATAAACTTCGTTGTGATCTTCACGCTCAAAGGCTTTACTTTGACACCCTCAATGGAAGTTCCTATCTTGTGCTCAAAATCATGTCTTCAATCCAACGCATGGTGCTACAGCCACCACCTTGGTTACAAGGTTCATGTGTTACTCAAGACATGCCGAGAAGCAATGGTATTTGGTTAAACCAATCACTCCCTTTCAACATAACTTCATCCAACACAGTGTTTCTTTTTAATTGTTCCCCTCGCCTCTTGGTTTCTCCTCTTAACTGCACTTCTTCTAGTATTTGCCATCGTTACTTGGAGAATTCAGGTCATGTTGATACAAAAAGAGCACTGGAGTGTGCAAGTGGGGGTGGTCTTCACCCTTGT